TGCATTACATTTCATTACGTTTCATTACATTACATTATATTATATTATATTGATCGTACGTATATGCTATCGGAATAGTATATCTTGGTTTTTATTTTAAACATCTGGGAATTTCCGTATTTCTTGGTTTCTGTTTCATTGATTTTAATTTAATTTGTATGAACATTTCCTATCATATTTTAACGGCCGCATTTATATTTTACTAGCAAATTTTGATATAATTTATGAAGTGATAAAATAAGTTAAATTTATTTTATATTTTATATCCATAATGTTTAAAAGAAGAGGCTACGGAACAGGAGGTGGAGGAAGAAATCTCCCTGGAAGAAACGCCAGCTTAGTTAATAATTCATCTTCATCACTATATCAATTCGGTGATTTACTGAGGCATCAATCAAGTAATTCCGATAAAAATTCCAAGTTTAGACCATCAAATGGCTTCAAGAATGTTAAAAGAGTTGGTCCTGGAACTTTGAAAAAATGGCTTGAAGATTACCCATCCAAAGTTTTAAGTGAATTGATAACTGACAAATATGGCTTCCCGGAAGCACTTGATGATGATCATTTTGTGAAAAGATTCACCAGAGAAGTAATTCAAGTAGTTGTTAGGGCATGTTCTGCAGATCAGAACCAAAGTGGTGTACATATGTTGATGAATAATATTAGAACATCAAAACTAGGAGAAGTAGGTTTCAATTCTTATTATAGCGAAATTTTTTTGAACATCCACATTCTTGATGAAAAAGATGAGCAAATAGCATTCAAAAATTCTTTTCTGATAATTAAAAATTTGTTAGGAATCTATCCTAGTTGCTATGAAAAATTTATTGCTTCTTTGGCATTGGTTGAACAAATATTCAGGAAACTAAAAACTGATTCCACATTTAAACATCACTCTGATGAAGATATAAATGCTGCTGACATGTTGTATAATGAAACAAAAATAATTTTCGATTTATTGGTTATTAAGGTTCAAAATGGAGAGGATATTTCAGCTAATGAAATTAGAATACCTCAAACCGCGCCAAATAACTTTAGAGATTTGAGTGTTTTTCCTGATATTAAAAACGACCTTCTTATTTGTGATGAACCTTTTTTAAGGCCTATTGAGCCTAAGAAAAAATTTGATGATATAGAGCAGTATTTAGATATTCATTTTCGATTGTTAAAAGAAGATTTTGTTCGACCTTTACGAAATGGAATTAAAGAATATCTTGCATCGCATGAAGACTTTTCTGTAAATAAATTGAAAAAGAAATTTTTTGATATAAAAGTTTATCAAAAAGCTCAAATTTTAAATCCTGAATGCTCAACGAATGGGATCTCATATAGAATTATTTTTGATGTAAGCAAGCTACAAAATGTAAAATGGGAATATAGTAAAAGATTTATTTATGGTTCATTACTCTGCTTTTCTCATGACAATTTTGAATCAATTTTTATCGCTACGGTTGTAGATAGGAAGCCTGAACTTCTTACTCATGGTATTTTGACTGTTAAATTTGAAAGTAACATCAGAATGCTAGAAAATTTTACAACATTAGAATTTGTTTTTATTGAAACATCTGCCTATTTTGAATCTTACAGACATATTTTAAATGCTTTGAAATCAATTGAAGAACAAAGTTTTCCATTTAATAATGTAATAATAAAATGTGAAAAAATTATTAGTCCACCTAAATATGTGCATTTAAACAGTGGTCTTAAGTTTGATTTTTCAGATTTGTTTCTTATTAACTCAAATCAAAATTTTCAAATTGTTACTTTAAGTGATACAAAAACTTGGCCTTTGAACACTGATATAAATTTTGATGCTTCCCAACTGGAAGCTTTAAAATCAGCATTTTTGTCAGAAGTTTGTCTCATTCAAGGACCACCTGGTACAGGAAAAACATTTATTGGCCTGAAGATTGTGCAACTTTTACATACAAATTGGAATGTCTGGAATAGTCCTGGAACTCGTCCTATTCTTGTGATTTGCTACACCAACCATGCATTAGACCAGTTTTTAGAAGGAATAGCCAAATTCATGACTAAAGGCATAGTAAGAGTTGGTGGACGAAGCAAAAGTAAAGAAATCGATAAATTTTTTTTAAAAAATATTAAGAGAAATGTGTTTTCAAGTAGAAGATTGCCACCTCATATATATGAAGGAAAAAAACATGTTCGAAATGAAATGTTAAATTTGGAGCGGGTGATTGAAGATGTAACAGCGCGTATAAAAATATTAGAAAATGGATTGATTCATGAAGACGTTATTAGACCGTTCATGTCTGAACACCACAAACCATTTTTTTCTTACTCTTTAAATGGGTCTAAAATACCTTTTTGGTTAGAAATTTATAGCTATGATTTTTCAGATGAAGAAATTGGTGATGAAAATGACGAAAATAAAAATATTAATGACGAAAATAAAGAAATTATCAAAGAGGAGAATAATGAAGAGTATATTGATGTAGCTCAGGAAGCTGATTTAGAAGAGTTGAAACGCATTTTAGATTTTGAAGAAGATATGAATTTTATTGATAAAAACAAATTAAAAAGTCAATTAATAAAAAAACAAGCTGTTGAAGATGCAGAAAAAATTATTGGTTATACATTTGAGCAAAAAGTTAATGAAGGTGAATGGAAAACACAGAGACAACAAAAAAAAAAGTTTAATAAATATATTCGTGAAATGTTGTTCAGCAGAGATGTGATGACAGAATCAGAAGCACATAAAGTCGGTAACATCAATAATCTCAGCTTAAAAAACAAATGGCGTCTTTACAGATTTTGGGTTAAAATGTATAAATCATCATTAAACGAAAAAATTAGAAATTCAGAAAATGAATATCAAATGTTAAGTGACCGTATGGTGGAACTAACAAATGAGGAAGATTGCTGGATTATGAATCAATCCAAATTGATAGGAATGACAACCACCGGTGCTGCAAGATATACCGGAGTTCTCAGCGAAATAAGACCAAAAATAGTTATTGTTGAAGAAGCGGCTGAAGTGTTGGAAGCTCACATAACCAGCAACTTAACATCTGGGTGTGAACATTTGATTCTTATAGGGGATCACAAACAGTTGAGACCGAATCCTAATGTTTTCAAGTTGGCAGTGGAATATAATCTTGACGTTTCTCTTTTTGAACGGTTGATAATGAATGACATTCCATATATAACTCTCAAAAAACAGCATCGTATGAGACCTCAAATAGCAGATATGGCTAGAATTATTTATCCAGATTTAGAAGATGATGTTTCTGTTTTATCTTACGAAAACGTAAAAGGGATAGCTTCAAATGTTTTTCTTATAAATCATAGCAATCCAGAGCAAACTGACACTGAACTAGCTAGCGTTTCAAACCAATTTGAAGCGGAATATTTGTCGAAACTTTGTCGCTACTTACTGCAGCAAGGTTATTTGCCTTCGCAAATTACTGTATTGACACCATATAGTGGACAAATGTTTTGTTTAAGAAAGTGCATGCCCAAACGTTTCTTTAATGGTATCACTATTTGTCCTATAGACAACTATCAAGGAGAAGAAAATGACATTATTCTTTTAAGCATGGTCAGAAGCAACGCAAATGACGTCATTGGATTTTTAAAAGATAACAACCGTATATGTGTGGCATTGACTCGGGCAAAAAAAGGTCTGTACGTTATTGGGAATTTTGACATGTTGAGACGTAAATCTGAATTGTGGGCCAAACTATTACAAGTTGCAACACGATATGACCCTCCTTTTTATGGGAACACGTTATTGTTATTATGCGAAAATCATCCTAATAAAAGCAAAACAGAAATAAACTGTCTCAAAGATTTTAATAAAGTGCCGGAAGGAGGATGTCTCATTCCCTGCAATTTTAGATTACAATGTGGACATGTATGTACTCGTTTGTGTCACGTATTTGATAAAGATCATAAAACCTTTAAATGCACAAAACCTTGTGCTAAAATTATTTGCACAAATAACCATGTTTGCCCCAAAAATTGCTGGGAAACATGTGGAAAATGTCTGATTTTGGTTGAGAAGCAGTTGGCAACTTGCAACCATTTCCATAAGATGCCTTGTTCGACTGATGCTGCTGATTTCATTTGCAAATTTCCTTGCCAAAAAATGTTACCTTGTAATCACAAATGTTCTAATTATTGTGGAGAAATATGCACAAGTGAATGCAAAACACAACTTTTAAAAAAATTATCTTGTGGTCATACTGAAAAAGTTAACTGCTGCGAAAAATCTAAATTGGTTTCATGTGCCGTGCCCTGTAAGGAATTGCTTGAATGTGGACATCACTGTGAAGGCACATGCGGAGATTGTTTTCAAGGCAAAGTGCACAAGGCATGCAGTCAGTCCTGCAGCAGGTCTCTTATTTGTGATCATAAATGCAAACAAACTTGTCATGAGTCATGCACTTCATGCAAACAACAATGCAATACCAAATGCGTTCATAGCAAATGTTCAAAACTTTGTGGGGAAATATGCACCAATTGTAATGAACAATGTGATTGGAAATGTGAACATTTCAAATGCTCTATGTTATGCCACCAGCCTTGTAATCGAAAAAAATGTGATCTTCCTTGTAAAAAATTTCTCGAGTGTAAACATCCTTGTGTGGGTATTTGTGGAGAGAAATGTCCAAAGCTCTGCAGGTTGTGTAACAAAAAACAACTTACTGAAATTTTTTTTGGCACAGAAGATGAGGACACTGCATGTTTTGTTCAACTTGATGATTGTGGTCATGTTCTAGAAGTTACTGGTCTTGACAGTTGGGTTAAGCAAAGTTTCAATGATTCGGCAATAAAATTTATTTGTTGTCCAAAATGTAAAACTCCTATTAGAAAAAACTTAAGATACGGAACTGAAATAAACACGATTTTTAACAAAATACAGTCGATAAAATTGAAAATTTTTGGTTTAGAAGCGGATATAAAATCTAAGACGTTGTTGCTATTAAAAAATGTGTCAGCCAAACATGTTACCTACAGACAAATGCTCCTTGAAAATCAACTGGGTTTGTCTGAATTAGAAAGCTTTAAAATAGGATATTCGTTATTGAAGCATAGCAAAGAATTATTATTCAAAAAATTTATTATCCAAGAGGATGGCTTGACAAAATTAAGAAACAGGATGAAAAAATCGATAACAACTTTGTCAAAGCAGGAAATCAAAGAAATGCAGTATGAAATAACAAGATATGATCTGATGGTAATGTTTGAAGAATGCAAACACCAAATTGAAAATAATAGCAATCCAAGACTAACCAATGAAAATCGAGAAACTTTTCAATATACTTTTAACCTTCTGAAAAACAAAAAATTAGATAAGAGTTTTGAAGAAACAGCAAGAAATGTTTTGAAAAGTACGTCAAAATTATTGACTGGCCTAGGAATTTCTCAAATTGAAAGAGTTCAAATTCTCCAAGCGCTGTCTGATGTTCATAGAGGAGCCTGGTTCGAATGCCCAAATGGTGCGTTTTTATTTGTAAATATTTATATATATATTGAAAATAATACTTTGACACAAGATTTGTGACATTTAAAAGTTCATTCATTAAGCATGTTTTGTTTGATATAAACTCAAACATACTTTCATATTTATAATTTAATAAAAATTCAGTGTAAAAAATTATATTCCAAAATACAAAATTTTTCATTTGCACAATGAATAGTAAAAAACGCGTTCTCCCACTCAACCACCATATTATGAACGAACAGAAAGCACACGAAGTCTCACTATTTTACGCAAAGGTTAAAGGTCATTCTCCCTAGTGTTCTTCCTTCAGAGGTATCAACGAGAAACGCACACAGCGTATATATGAATACGCGTGAAAACACGCATCAAACGCATAAGCTATGAGATTTCTGAAATGCAATACAATGTTAATAAAATAGAAATAAATGAAAAAAAAACAGTAAAAAAACTAAGATAAATACAGTTAGTAAATGCAGTTACTTTTGTGCAAACGTTAGAAATATAATAAACAATATTATTAAAGATATGTATTAGAATGAGATTGGACAGTTATAAACTGGAAATTCAGAACAAATGTAACATGTGGGTTGAACATTTACGACAAATGCAAAAAAGATTATTTTTGTAATTTTTTATCTTAAAATTTTGTAGTCTTGATTTGATCAGATCATTTATTTTCAGTATTATAACTGTCATGTTCACCGTAAACAGCCTTAGCAACGATAATTATTTGAAACTGTGATTAACATTAATTATTGTTACGATATAATATTTCTATCATTGAAATAATACGTAGGCCACCTGTATGCAATTGGAGATTGTGGAGGTGCTATGGAAGAGGGCAGATGTAATGAATGCAAGGCAGTGATAGGCGGCAGGAGTCACGCCCTACGAGCTGACAACAGATGGAACAATGAGATGGATGGATCGACTTCTACGGCTTGGCCCGGAACCCTCATGAATCCCCAATAGGTTGAAGCTATGCTGTCGACGCAGTTTCTATTAATGAATTGAAAAATATTTTTAATAGTAATTAATTTAATAGTAATTGATTTGATAAAAATTTAATTGTGCTTTGTTATAAACAATGACGTTTAGACGTTACATTTTCTATGTTCCGTGTAACAAATATCAAGAGGTAGAGCTATGATGAGTTAATTTTTTCTTAATATATTTACGTCTTTGAATTATCATCACATTTCATCTTATTGCACATTTATATTTACTTGATCAATCGCGGTTCAGTTACATTTTATTAAGGATGTTCAGTCCATAACATGTGTTTTTTTTTCTTCAAAAATTCATTTTTGTAATATGTGCTATTTTAACAAAACTTTTAGAATTTATTTTCTTACTACAAAACAATTCAATCGATATCAGATGTTTTTGGGCATAAAATTTAAAAGATCTGCAAAAAAGAAATTAAATAAAGCAAAATTATACTATAACACATAAGGTGATTTCAGAAGCGCAAAATGTATGGTTGCGCCGAAATGGCAATCTAAGTTTCAAAAGACTCGTAAAAAAAATCGATTGTTTTTGCATTTGTAGATTAGAGTAAAACTTGTTTAACTTTGTTTAAACTAAATTCGAGAAATATATTGATATTTTTATATATTGATATATATTAATATTGTTTTTGTTTATGGTTACAAGTGAAATTTTATAGCCAGTGCTCTATCTCTTTCGCTAGTTAATCAATTTTTTTCTTAAGGGCGTTGTTCTATTTTGATACATTTCGATTATGGACACCATTATTTTATATTTTTGTGGAACCAAGTACATATAAACACACGTCCACACAAACACACACAGACACACACATATATATATATAATATTTTATGAAACCAACTACATACACGCCCACACACACACACACACATACACACACACACACATGTATATATATATATAATATTGGAGTCAGTCGGCAGATTAAATACCATATGTCAATATTAACTGGTTGTCAACATTTTTTTATTAGAATTTATTATGATTTAATGAAATTTGACCATATTTCGGCTTACTTTACACAGTCTGGTTTATTATCCATTAATCGATTGTATATTTTAAGAGTTTTTTTTATAGGTTAATCGTATTAAATATGTATCCTCAGTTTCATTCCTGGTTGGTGACTTCCTCTTCGGCTGGTGTTGCGCCATACCCCGATTTATCGTCCTATTTTATCAAGAACTGTACTACATTCAAATTTTGTTTTAAACTTTGGTATAAAGTTGTGGGCATCGCTCCCTTTTGAATCAACATCGGGTATTAGTTTGGGAAGGTTTAAGAAAACAGTTATTCAATTATTGTTGTCTAACTATTATACATAACTCTTTGGTTTTCCGTTTTTCGTTTATTTTTCTTTACAGACTTAAATTTTGTTTCATTTTTTAGTAAATTTCTGCTATATATATAAGTGCTTCTATTACTGTTGGCAATCGAATATGAACGTTCAACAAAATTTGCTTTTGAAGCTAACTTGACAATCGTTGAAAGCTATAACACTGATGTTGGAGATAGAGATCAGTGAAGTTATAACATTTACCACAATATATATACATATATATTTCATATAATTTTACATTCCGTCACATTTACGTTATTGTAGTATATTTATAATTCCTGTTTAGGACATAACGCTAAATTTTATCCCTTCTATCCATTTATTATGATATTATTTTAGAATCATTTTTGATAACATTTTTTAAAAAGAAAATTTGTTAATATTTGCCAAATATTAAACACTTTGTATGTATTTATGTTTAATCAATTGGTTAAGGAATTTTTTTTCAAATTTAAATTTTTGAATTTTTTTGCTGTTAAATAAATAAAAGATTTTTAAAATTGACGAAAATCAATCTTTCTTAAACACAAAACAAAACCCTCTTCATTTTTGGGTCCCATAAAACGAATCGGTGGCAACCCGCGTGCTACAGTTCTCCCATCTTTGCCCTGAAGCGTATGCACAAAATATTTGGCATTATTGTATTAACATTGTTTTTCAAGAAAAAACTAAGATATAAACGCCCTAGAAAACATAATTTATCCCATATCTATCTAAATTCATACAATTTATATATTTCATAGCTGAAATTTTAATTAATAAAAACAAACCAAAAGTACAACATTTGATTTTCGTTGTTGAAGCCTAACTTGACCACTTAAAATGCATTAACGAAAATTTTTTATCTGATATCATTCATAGAGATAAGAAAACGTCATGATAGCATTCTACATCACCATCAGCATATTTAATATGTAAGTATGACTATGCTGGTTAAGCACATTATAAAACTTGTTTTTCTCTCTTCAACATCAAATCTGAAGGAGTTGAATCATGCGTTCTATGAATTAGTCTATAAATTTTTTTAGTAGAAATAAAAACATTATTAATACTAATGGCAAAAAAATAATTGTTATTACAGGTTGCTTCTGAGTTGTTTTGAACAAATATTATTGCTTTATTTATATTATAACTCCTCTAATGTGATTGCTATAAAAAACGTTGTTGTAATTATATTTTGCAATAATTTATGCTCGTAATCATCTACTAGTTCTTCATCCTCGTCGTTATTCGCATCTTCTTCTTCTTCTTCATCATCATCATCTTCATCCTCACCGTACGAACTGTTTTGATGCACTCCATGCAGCTTGTGCATCTTGTAATGTTATAACGTGGATGCTATCATTTATTCATAAAAATTTTTGGACTCTATTTAAACTGGCAATGTAGTTCTGTTTATTTTTGCCGGCTTGTTGCAATTGCTGAAATATCGAAAAACTTAATGCACTAAAAAAAATTTTATTGTCATTGTTGAAAATCCATTTTTACATGTGATAAATAACTTAGGGTTTTTTAAGCTGGATTTTAGATTTTTAAAATTTTGATGATAAAATGCAGCAAGTCATCCTGATTTTCAGCGTTGCCTTGGCTTTTGCAACCGTTGCAACAAGTACAAACAAGCACAAAACTACAAGCAACGAAAAGTTTTCTTCCACCAAACATGTCGGTGACGTTGTAAAAAGTGGCTGGCCGAACTCTGATGTTTTGAATGGGAGAGCGTACGATGTTGGGTCGTGGTCTTCGAGACAACAAAACTACAAAGTGCCTAGTTATCAACCAGTTCGCAGACAGCAGCCGCAACATCTGTCGGAAAGTCAAAAAGTTAATCAGCAAAATAAAATGTCAAAATTCAAATCAAAACAGCAAAAATTTAAAAAACAGCAAAAAGAAAAACAGAAAAATGAAATAGAATTGGAACCTCTGCTTGGTCTCGATCAGTCTAAAAATTACAACAAACTGCTGGACAATGGGAACTCAAAAATAAATGTCGTCAAACAAACGTATGAACATTTGAACCAGACGCAGCAGGAGTCAGGCTGCAGAAGTGCCAAACTTTGTTGCCAGGGTAAGGACAACACGTGTGTTACACTCGGCAGAAGAATGAACGGCAAGAACACTGTAACGTGTTTCTGTGACTCTGTCTGCCTCCCTCTGGGAGACTGCTGCACTGACTACCAGGAGGAATGTCCAAGTATGTTGTACAATATCTTTTGTGTTTCAAACCAGTAACAATATGCGTAACATTTCTCATTGCGATTACATGCTCACCATTATTGTATAACTGATTTTATTTTGAATTATCGAAATTATGCACATAAAATATTTTATAAAACTTGCATCAACTACTTTCAATTGCATTCCTACTAATATTTTGATAGTACAATATTTTCACTGTTAAAATTTATTGAACTAAATTTATGATGGTTTGTATGTATAGGGTAGTAATTTCATATACATACATATATACATATATATATATATGTATATAATATATATGTATATTTATATATACATTGTATGTAGAGTAGACTGTAATTTGTTGTTGTTTTGATGGTAAGAACAGCTGATATTTGAAATAATAGATGCTCCTCTCGTCTACCGTACATATTTCGTTCATCTTTTCACTTGCTTTCTTTTTTCACTCTCGCTATCTCTATATACTAAGCTTACTTCATATTAATTTCCCTTATTTCTGTAAATTATTCAGTCGAATATATTTATATAACAAAATTCGTAATATTTAATAACGTGGATTAAAAACAAAATAAGTTCTTGATGGCAGAAAGTTGAAATGAAATAACACCGAAATCAAATTTAACCTAAAATGAATAGAACTGCTAGATCAGTAACAGTTTCAGTTCAGACGATCCGTCAGCATTCAGGCAGCGTCACGACGGTCGATAAGCATCAAATAAAACAATTTAATTAAATCATAATTTATCGTTTTTTTCTCTTTATCACGTTCTTTTTCATTGCCTCTTTAATTTATTTTCTGTTTCTATTGAACATAACTAAAAGAACCATTCGCAAGTGCAACGTACATGCAGAAATATCACTTGCTATTCAGAAGCCGCAACATTCTGCAACAACATTCAGAACTGCAAAATTACAAGTTATTTCTTTCATTTCAGTTAACTTAACTTCAAATGCACAACACTTACACACACGTCACACATTCACACACACACACACACACACATCACACAATCCTACACACACACACTTCATACAATCTCACACATCACACGATCTTTCACAAACACACACACATCACACACAAATGAAACATCATCTCATCTGGTCCGTCTGTAATGTAATCGCATCAAAACTTTTAATAAAATTCCACTGCGTTTAACAGCGGCGCTCTGGTGAAATTTATGGGATAGTTAGTTTTCAATGAACCAGACTGCTTGCTGCTCTTCAGTAGTATTCCATCATCATTACCCCATCGTCGTTATCATTATCATCATCATTTTCCTCATCATCATTTTTCATTCATCATCATCGTTGTTATCATCGTCACATTGCTTCACCGTGGCGTTATGAAAATATGATCATTCTAATTTATTACCACAATCAGATTAATCATTATATAACCAGCACCATCTTCTTCGATTGCATCACTCATCGTAAATCTTATCATCACACGTCTCTGAAAATTAAATCCTCTTTTTTATTTACTCTGCTGGCATAACTCTACTTAGGCAAGCAAATACTTCAATATTCCGAATTCCTAATCTTTGGTAACTTGTGTGCCTAATTGAGCTAGTGAATATCGTAAAACGTAATGTGTTGAATTAATGGCATGCACACATAAGCTCGTAAAAGTATATGATGGATGTATTTTGTTTGATGCTTGACACATGTGCTTATGCCTATGCATACCTAGATCCTACCTACCTTAATGTACTTGAATCTTATCTACGCATATTATATATATATATATATATATATATATATATATATATATATATATATATATATATATATATATGTTATATATATACATATATATATACTAGAGAATTTATATAGCGCCTTTTAAATTTCTCAAAGGCGCTGCTTAAGTCGTTAATTTATGTTTGAGTTATCTAAATACAATTTTTGATATCATTTACAAAATGTATCAAGCTGCTAAGCTGTAGCACCGCAATCTATTAAACAATAATTGAGCTAAACACAACCACAGACATGACAACAGCAAGACAACTACAACACACATGTGACTTGCGGATTGATTGGAATACTTTGCATCACGCCGTTCGTTGCAGCTTCAATTCTATTGAATTATGCAGTAACAGCTGTTCATTCATAATCATCGTTTCCACCATCATCGTCGTATCAATCATCATAATCATCATAGCCAACAAATTTATGGTCCTAATCATTGTCATCATGAACATCATCGTCATCATGAACATCATCATCATCATCGTCATCGTCATCATCATCACGATCATCATCATCATCGTCGTCATCATCATCTTAGCAATTACACGAGCACCCTCGTGCATTAGTTCTAACTGTCAGCATATAAGAATTGTTTAAACTTGTATTCATTAATATTTCCCGTTGTAGCTTGTTTATAATTTATTGATTCTAAATATTTGTTTTTCAATTTCGATCAAACATTCAACAACATAAAATGTAAAAAAATTCAGATAACGTATTGAACAATTAAATTTACAAATACATACATAGATATATTAATACATACAAGCATACATACAAGCAACCATACATAAATGAAAAATTTGACAGAAGTGGACTGCGTGGTGGGCGAGTGGGGGGAGTGGTCTGATTGTGACGTCAAATGTGGCTACGGAGCCAAGCAGAGGGAGAGGAAAGTTTTGGTGGAGAGTAAGAACGGCGGGAAGAAGTGCGAACCGACCGTGCAGAAGCAAGCCTGCGAAAACAAAATCTGCAAACAAACCAGGTCAGCCAGTCTGATGAGTGGGGCAGGAGGAGGAGGAGGAGGAGGAGGAGGAGGATGGAGTGGGGAGGAAATGACAGGTTGGTGGTGGGGGTGATGATTGTGTGATGATGTGAAGGACGTGTCAGTTAATGATGTGACGTTGGATGTAGTGATGGATGGGTCTGTCGATGATGTCATCTCTCGGTGAGATGATTACTTTTTTGTCATTGAGCAGATTCGGCTGCAAACTGTTTCATACTTAGATAGAAATTAAACTTTTTTACCAAAAATACAGAACAAATAATACGATGCAGTTTAGACGCATAAACACGGAGTGATATGATGTTTTTATATGAAGTATGTGCTAAAATTGATGTGATGTGATAATATGATAGTTAATGTTATGTGACGATAAGTTAATGTTATGTGGTGTGAAAAAAATATGAAGGGCTTATCTATGTATTAGTTGTGACCTGTTTGCGCCAATGTAATCATTTACATCGTTATTAACTTTGTTAGATAAACTTGCTAATGTTTGTTTGTTTTGCTTGTATTCATTTTTTTCCTTCTTTTTCACTTTTATTTATCCATTTTTCTTTAAAATTTGCAAACTCGCAACTACATTTTAGACATTAACACTGCTGTTAATAATATTGCAGCGGCTCTCAAATCTCCATTCACGGCACTGATTCATTCCTAATTATTTTCTTCCTTCTTTTCTAATCAAAAAACATTTGTTGAATATTTTATAACCATTTTTAGAGAGTGTAGGCACGCATCATCCAACAGATTGTCATTACGGTGCAATACAACACATCACTAACAAACCTTACAATTAAAAACACTCAACGTAGTATTTCCAATGAATTCTTCAACAACCAGACAGACTACCATCTAATTATTCAATTCACTACTTACTAGTGGCGCAACAAACCTTTCAACCGACGCATCTACAACTACCTCTGCCGACAAATGTAATTAATTAATTTATTAACTTCAGCATTAATCTATGTCAATTATGACTGTGAATAATGTATGGCGATCCTATTCATAACAGTAAACTGTATATACATCATCGATTTCATCAAATTTATCATAATTCTCTCTTTATCTTAATTTATCATAATTCTCATAATATCTCTCTTTCTTTCTCTCTTTTTTTCTTTCTCTCTCTTTCTTTTACTCTCTCTCTCTCTTTCTCTCTCTTCCTTTCTATATATATATATATATATATATTATATATATATATATTTATATATATATATATATATATATTTATATATATATTGTAAACATCGCCGTAAATTCATCACAATAATTTTTTCATTGCCATTAAACAAACATTCTAATTAATATTAACACTTTGAAATCATAGTCGTCATCATCGTCATCGTCGTCGTCATCTTCATCATTCGCGTCAAAACATTTTTATTAATCATCTCGTTGTTCTGATAAAGTTCACTTCTACTCACACGAGCACCAACCAACCAGAAGCCTTGCAGACGTTTACGAAAATAATAACAAATTCCATTCATTCATCCATCTTTTATCCAGCAATCAATCAATCAATCCGCCCATATTATCAGTCTATCCATTTCTCTATCCGTCTAATCCATCATATGCCTTTCAACAATTGGTATAGAAATCGAACTTTCTTTATAAACATTTAGTTATTCATGCATTCATTCATTCATTCATGCATTTATTTATTCATGCGTTATCCATTCGTCTCTCGCTTCATACCAACATAACACACTACAACAACAAATAATTTATTTCTCGCAAAACAACAACATACAAAGTAAACATATTCAGCCAACAGCCAACTTGCATCACACCTATAATCACAACAACACATTTTACTAAATTTACAACAACATACAACAAAAATAACTCGCACGCACACACACAAACAATGGAGCACCATATCTGTCCAGACAGACTTGACAAAAAAAATCACAGCGCACTACAAACGCTTTATTTAAATTTTTACAATAATCCATTCATGTTTGCGTTCATGGTATGTACGTATGTATTTATATATTTTTGTGTGTATGTGCAGGGGCGAATCTAGATAACTTTGAAGGGAGTTCCAACATTTTAAAAATGTTTAAACTTTAAAATTGGAGGTGGAGGGCCAAGGAGCTAACCCAATTTGTACTAGTGTGGCTAAAATTAGGTCGGTGACCTTTTTTGCCGTTCAAGTCAATTTTTTGCCGATTTTTTACCAAAGAATACATTTTTATGCCCAGAAGATTGATTACTACATGGATATAATAAAAAACTACCGGCTTTATCACTATATCTGCCCAACACTCCAAAAAACATTGAGCTATAGAACGTTTTCAGTAATACACAATGATAACTATTCGGTTTATTCAAGATAGTATACATCAAAAACGTCAAGATTTTCATTGCCAAATTAAACATTTTTATACTTAGGAGATTGAGTACTACGTGAATCTTTTAAAAAACTACCCGCTTAATCCACTCTATCAGCCAGTGCCTCAAAATAATCGAATTATAGTGTATAGTACATAATTAATAGATGTTCAGTCGAGTTTTTGTTTACTACAAAAATTTTTGGCAGACTTTTGACTAAAACCGAGTTCTACTGGCTTTTAATAAAATACTGCTCAGAACGAGGGAGTCATGGCTCCCTTAGATCCGCCACTGCGTGTGTGTTTATATGTATGTGTGTGTGTGTGTGTGTGTGTGTGTGTGTGTGTGTGTGTGTGTGTGTGTGTGTGTGTGTGTGTGTGTGTGTGTGTGGTGTGGGTTTGTATATATGTATGTATGTATGTATGTATGTATGTATGTATGTATGTATGTATGTATGTATGTATGTATGAATAAAAGTTTTTTATGGTTCACCATGTAATCTAACATTCTTCCGTGCAATAGCAAAGATGCCACTACAATAATTCACGATATATATGTGTATTTTATTTACCATAGTGCCTCTCTCTCTCTCTTTATATATATATATATATATATATATATATATATATTATACAGTTTTCAAGAAAATCAACCGCGTTAATACATTTATTATGTTTATACATTAATTTTTTAAGTTTTATAATTAAAATTTTATTATAATTATTTAATTTATTAAGTAAAAAACTAAAATTATTATTGTTCATGAATATTCAAGTTTTCTAATTAAAATTTTATTATAATTATTTAATTTATTAAGTAAAAAACTAAAACTATAATAAAAATTAAAATATATATTATATATATATATGCAATTATTAAAAATCACAACATGTTCCGCCTTATTTAACTTCCTGTTTTATTTTTTCATTTTTCTAAGAAGAAGAAGAATAACGGTAGATCGTAAATCATTCTCAAGTTTCTTGAGTTCAAAACTAAAATTCGATATGATAAAAAGGTGGTATAGAATGTTTTTTATTGATAATACTTGAAAAAGTTCCAAGACGAAAATGCGCCCACAAAACCTTTCAAGTGTTCATCTCATAAAGGTTATTAAAGCATTTCCATCTGAGCATATAGGAAGTTTTTAACGAGTTACTTTCACTAAATATGGTTTCATTGTATTGATATTTCGACCGTTGAACACTGAAGCATAATATCGCATATTCATCATTCACTTGAACGTACAATACACTCGTCCACAAAAAATTTATCGACCATTGATTTATCATACAAACATTTTAACATGTTGTTTATACATCTCAATTGTTTAGGTACGTGTATATACGCTACATTTTGTTCATGGCTGAAAGGTCGAGAAGAGATTCAACATTTAAGTATCTTATTTTTTTTAAAGAAATTGGTCGTATTGTGCAGTCCTCGTTGAGTCATTGGAGAACTTACAAAGAATATGATCCGTACAATGACATCAGAAAGCACATTTATGAAAGAAACGGCAACACTGCTCTTAATAATTTACAACCAACGTTGGTTACATTTATTTTAAAACATTTCTAAGCTTTTGCTTTCTTACACCCAATATATATTGCACATTTAACACACACACACACACACACACACACACACACACACACACACACACACACACACACACACACACATATATATATATATATATATATATATATATACATATATACATATATATATATGTGATATGCAAATATTGATAAAGATCACAGCATGTTCCGCATTAGTTAGCTTCCTATTTAATTATTTTTCTATTTCTCTAACGGTAGATCTTAAGTTCAAAACTAAAATTTTTATTCATTTTATGCATGATATAACAGGAAAGCTTTCTCGGTATTCCTATACCATCTTCGGTGTTCGAATTGATACCTTGTGTATGTGGCCAAATGCTTAAGTATATATATACCTTGTCTCTACAATGTTAATTCATTGTTTGTTTATTGTGAATACTTAACAAAGAATTAACATTTTAGAGATGCAGTATATATATATATATATATATATATATATATATATATATATATATATAACAATAATAATAATTGGCCACATACACAACGTATCAATTCAAACACCAAAGATGGTATAGGAATACCGAAAAAAGCATTTTTGTTCTATCATGCTTAAAATAAATGAAAATTTGGTTTTGAACTGAAAAAACTTGACAATGATTTAAGATCTATCGTTAAAAAAATTAAATAGAAGCTAGTTAACGCGGAACATGTTATGATGTTCATCAGCAATTGCATTTAATTTAACACACACACACACACACATATATATTTCTTTTTTTATAGGTACTGTTCCGTCTACAAATTGATTCAAGTTCATCCTCGTTGTCAGGCGAACCTCTTGCTGATTGATCATTCTCCGCCTCTGAAACACGACATGAGGGTCTGCGTGGAATGTCAGTACACTGCCTCACAAGCAGTTCTTGGTGACCGTTGTTATGGTCACGGAGTTTACGAGAGAGAGACAAGATGGCTATCACTGAACAAACGCGGTTGCTACGGTACGTGGATAAAAGAAACGAAAAAGGAGAACTGCTTATGCGCCGATTCTCACCCCGACCTTCCCAGTTACATATTCGTATGAGATATTTGTAATGCTCTCTGTCAACCAATTAACATTTTAGGACGGTTTTTTGTACCACTTTTTAGATTTATTTTTCATCATATTGAATTTATTTTAAAATGACATTCAATTTTATCTATCACAAAAAAGTAACGTAGACCGCTAATTCTAAGCATGGCATGCACGATGTTGCCTAGGCAGATAACTTTCTCGTCTCTTCCTTCCCTGTGTATCTGCTCTTAGTCTCTAGTCAATGTTTCAAGCAGATATATGCAATTATTCTATTTTATGGACAAGACAATTTATAGTTTCATATAGCTAGAATTTGTGTAACTTTCTTTCTATGAGCTCAAAATTTAATCTGATGTTTCCAAAAGATATTGTAAAATAAATGCTATAAAGCAGGAGTCCATATAAGAGTAATTTTTTTTTAATTTTTTATTTGTTTATTAACAATACATTTAAAAGCAAAAAATGCGGCAATATTCAACCCAAGACATCAAACATCCAGTTGGATCCAGTGTCAACCACTCTCACGTCGTCTTTAAATAATTCTTTGAAAAGTGCATCTCTGCAGCAATCAATTTGTAAATGGTTAACACATTAAATAATGCAAAAAAATAAGTGATTGAAATCAAAACTATCAGTAAAAATTAAATTGGTTGAAATCAATTAAAAAATATATTTAAAAATAATTGATAATAAAAAATATATAACGACCTTTTGATCAGACCAGGTTGAATTATTTTTGACAGGAGCCATAAAATCAACTAACTTCTTGTGAATGTTATATCGTAATACAAAAGTCACAAACAAATTCAGATGCATTGCAACTCGAATATTGTATATGATTCAATTAACATGAAAATGTGACGACAGCATAATTTGTTATAAAAAAAAACGTAGCAGAACCTTGTTTTTCTGCCTTTGCTGGCCCGCTGATCTATTTGTTTTTTTGTCTTTCTTAACTTATTCAATTCAGCCCACTGCCTGTTTGACGTAATGTAAAAAAAAACTTCAAATGTAGTTGTAGCTGAAACGCGATAGATACAAAAAGTAAGATGTGAGTGAAAACAAATAAAAATAATAATGAAACAAATAAGACAGAATACAAGAACATTGCAAATGGAGGTAGGCGTTAATAAATTCTGGAAAAATGTATTGTAATCATTAGCGTGAAATACTATTTCCATTGATTTCAATACTATTACAGTACTAAATATGAGTTAGATATACCAACTTGCTTATGGCCATCATGTCTTTTGTGTTCCTATTTTTTCTGTTGGTCATCTCAACGAGAATGTGCTGATAAAAATCTCCATCATCAAAAATCTCGTCATCTCTTTCCTCCTCAACTTTACGAACAGGTAACGTCTGCTGTTGTGAAAAAAGCATGCTTTGAACATTTTAAACATAAATATGCGTAAAAAAAATTAAGAGTCCAAAGAAGATAAGACTATTAATGGAGATAATGAGATCGGGAGAAGAAATATTTCATGCACGCAACTAGCTCAATAAAAAACTAGTTTACTCAAGAAGGAGTATGAAAAGAGGAGAAAAATTAAAAGAACATCTGCATGTAGTTAACGTGTAGGAGCAATAATAAGTGAGAATGCAAACTAACATAAGGATCGTTTGGCTCACCACTGATGCACATGTTGGTTGTTTTAAGACTCACATCCTCAATGTTGCTGTTGCAATTGTTAGTTTTATTGTCTGGTTGTTTTCCAAAAATTTTGTACGTACTGCGTTTTAATCTCGTCCTTTCAATCAACCTACTTCTGTCTTGTAAGATCTAATTAAAATTAATACGGTGTCGCGGAAATTAAACAATTAATGCAACTGACTCTCAAAGTAAAAACACAAAATGGCAAACTTGTTTAATCTGTTTGATGATGGGAATGTGGAATGACTGAAAATTTGACTTTGTTTTTAAAGTGGAAAGATTCACTTTGTCCGACAATTCAGTTAAAATTGTGTTTCTGTAAATGCAAAAAGCAAAGTTTATGTACGGTATTGTTACATATGGAATGTAAGATATTTATTCAAGGTTTACTTTGTGGCATCAAAGGAGGAATAATTTTCTCTTATCTTTCTACCAATATGATCTATGTTAGAACTTCTACCTCTGATCTTTTCCACATTATCATCTCCCTCTTCTTCATTATTATCACTGTCATCATGTTTCCCATCATCAAGTTCCTCATCCACATCCTCTCCGTCCTCTTCAACATCATCAGTGTCTTCGTCATCTTCTTCTTCATCATCTTCTCCATCGCCATCTTCTTCATCATCGTCCTCTTTTAAATTATCTTCACCACCAGCCATTTCGTCATCTTCATCACTCACGATTTCCTCATCATCTGCATTGTTATTATCAACTTTTCCAGATTTTGAAGAACTGAATTAATAATTAAAGAATTAATATAATGAAAATTTTTCAAGAATGACTAATGGTTAATAAAAATGACATAAAGCATAGAGCCAAATAAAAGTAATAACCTCAATTTCATAGTGATGCCATCATGTTTTGTGAAAATTTTCTGCAGTTTCAACATGTTGTTCAAAAGTGCAGAGAGATTTTTATCAGCTAAGCAAATAAATAAATAAAAACAAATTAAAAGGTTCTATAAAAACAATTCAAACCAGAAGCATAAATCATGGTTGAAGCATTAGGTTATATCAATTATCATCATCGCCATCAATTATCATTATCACCACGATCATAGCCATCATTATCATCATCATCTTAACAGTAGAAATAAAACAATGAGCACTATAATATCCTCTCAGCAATAACATGGCTGATGGGTTGATGACAGATGTAAAACAACAAAGCTGCACATGTTGTGAAGAATGATGTTCTTTAATTGTCATAATCATAATTTTCAACTATTACACAGGCTATGCTATAACATATTTTAACATGAGAATATCAACAAACTAGCTGATTACAAATTGTTGCAAGTGTGTTGCATGACTGCAAAGCATGTCTCCATAGATGGAAGCAAGAAAATGAACTGAGAAGCATATTATCAATGAGGTCCACCAGCCATTTTATGCGACCCGCGAGGTCATGTACGTAATTTGACAAATAAATGAAAATTTGAAAAATTGACATTATAACACAACAAAGGTCATCAGCCGGACAATATGACCAAAAAAGGTCGTCAACCACACGCCACACAAATCAACACATGTTACAAATACAAAAATTTCCCTCAAGGCCATGGTGGAAAAATTGTCACATATGCAGCAAAGAGCACAGAGCAGCAAAGTTGGTTCGATCTATAAGAAACCTAGCTTATGAAGATCATCTTAAAAAATTAGGATTAACAACTTTGGTGGAAAGATAAAGAGGAGATTTGATTCAGTTGCTTAAAATCATGCATAATTTGGACAAAGCTGGTTTAAATAATCGTTTTAACATAGTCAAAATCAAAACGCGGGGTCACAGTTTGAAATATTTTAAAGAGTTAATAAGACATAGAGGCAGGAGAACTACTTATTCAATAGAGTCGCAAATACTTGAAACTTATTACCAAATGAACTTGTTGATGGACAATCAATGAACAAATTTAAAGAAGGCATTGATTGTTGGATGGACAACAATCAATCAACAAATCAGCTGTGCTAGCATGTCTAACAGCACACTCTCTGGATAACCTCCAGAACAGCATTACTTCTACTACTACTACTTCTACTACTACTACTACTACTACTACTACTACTACTACTACTACTACTATGCGGCCCTCTAAAGGTAAAAGTTTTCAAGGCAGTCCTCACAACAAAAAGTTTGCCCCCTTCTGATCTATCAAATGAATGCACACCTTTTTCAACTGTGGCTGTGTAGCATGTACCCATAGGTGGAAACACAAAAAATAAACTGCAAAAAAAATAATTATATCTATGGAATGAATGCAAACCTTTGTCGACTGAAGTGGTGAACCTGTCTCCCAAATCCTTCCTGAATTTCATGTATGCGGCATTTTGTGGCAACTTGTTGACGTCTGCCAGGACCTCTTGCTGTTGCATTCGCATGTCCAACAGCACATCATAAAAACCTGGAAGGTTGCCATTTTTATAAATATGCATCAAATTAAACAAGGATGAGGAAAGTATTCCCATAAATGGATAATTTTGATGGCGCTTGCTTTTCCAGAGAACAATGGAAACGAATTAACGTATCAAGATTTCAATAAATGTATTCATATTTGACAGGTTTATAAAACAAAAATGCAAATAATCATTTCATGAGAATGAAAGATAGTTGCTAAAATAAAAAAAATGCCTGAATAAATATAAGTCCTTTCATGTTCATCATAAAGCTTTCATGTGCAAGTTAAAGAATAAAAAATATTTCAATTAAAGATGTTTAATCTCTCGGAGGCTCTTTAAACTTCATTTTATAATTAAAGTAAAAGATCTAATATATCTGAATTACTAATAAACTAGAAAACGTATTATCAAAATAAGATTAACAATTAGAAAAAAACATTACAAAAAAGCTAAAATTGTGGATTTTTTTATTCAACAAATAAATTTTATAATTGTTTTCAGTACCATTGTAACAAAAAATCAATTATCTTCCAGCAATTTATGACAGATTGAATTAACCAATGCATTAACTGAATTAATTACTAATCCAACCTTATTCATTCAAGCTAGAACAAAATTCCTGAAGAATATGAGTTCATTAATTTAATCAATTTTGACTTTTCTTAACCTCAAATTGCTTGTTATATCAAAAAATGGAATAGAATGTAAGGGACTAATAAACAATGCTCTAACAAATTTATGACAATCTTCAGAGAAAAGTTGGTAGCAAAGTTATTCAGGAAAACAGTAACTGGAGAGAGTATATTATATTGTAATGCATTCAATAAAAAATGTGAGAATGTCTTTATTCTATTTTATGCAAAGAAAAATCATGAAAAACAATTTCCAGGCATGTTCAGTTAATGTCTTAATGATCAAGTCAGTTGATATACACGGCAGTTCCTAGCACTTTAAAAATCATAAAATGTTTTAATGTTATAATAATATTAAACAAAAAATGGTTGCTAGTTTTTTAACCTCTCTAATCTAATCTAATTATTAGTCTAATCTAATTTGATATACACAGTAGTAGCTTTTTATGCATTCAAGTAGCTTGAATCTTTCTTCAGCTTCTGCAATGCTTAATTAAAACTTGAAATCAGCATTGATTAAATTACCACATTACACACTACCTACAATACAGCATTGCCCATTGGTCAATCCCATTGGTCAGCAGCGAGCAGATATAAGGTAGTTATAGAAAAGAGTAAAGTAAATAATATTTTACTATCTAGAGAAGTCATTGTATTACTCCGATAAACAACATGGAGCAAACAAAAATTAAGTCCATTCCATTGATTATCTATTTAATTTACATTACAATGTTACAATTCCGAACTGATAAATTTTATTTTTGTTTTTAACATATTTTGTTACTTGGTTAGTAGAGCAAATAATAACTACAAAATCATTATCAAATATTATACCTCCAAACGTTTCCTCATGTGAACTGTCCGAAAAATCTTTCTGTGCGATGCGAATCATTCTTCGAGTTTGACTGAGAAAAGTAAATAAAATTTATTATCGCCGGTCAATTATTTATCAACATGTTTTGATCAATTTTTAACCATAGATAAAAAAGGTTATTCAAAATAAATGTTGAAATTTAATTTTTATGCAAGAAATCTTACAAAAAATTACCGTTAAACTATTTTATCAATTTTTGTCTGCTTTTAATGGCTTAAATAAATAGAATTATTTTTAAATAAACCTTACGTCAATGAAAGTTTAGTGTTTATTTATTGGCTGATAGGTTAAAGAAGTTGTTCTTGATGATTGGATGCATACATGCATGCATTTGGATGGACGGCCAGACGAGACACGCTCATATTCGTCATCCGGTATCTCTTCATTTTATCGCTTTTACGTATAATTTTTTTCTCATTTTTTCGCTTTTATTAAGTTATCCATTTTTGCACTTTGGGTGTTTGGTTATAGAATTGCATTCACTTATAGTTATCCAGCTAATAACCAAAATGGCGGTTTGGGTGTCGTTAATATCGGTGCATGCTATTTCTATTTTTAACTACCTCCTAGCCCACGTTAATTTAAAATTTAGTGACATTGTGTTCTCTGCATTAATTATTATTTGCGTAAACTATGCACTCTTTTAGTAATATTTTATTTTTTTAAATTAGAACAAATAAAAGAATTTATGATCCGAAGAAAATCACAAGATATTTGTAAAAATGGAATCCCTCCTACCAAGGTATGGGGTTGTAAATGCGTTTAATGATGTTTTACGTTCAGAAATTATCAACGTTCCTGATCGGATGGTAGGATTAAGTTAGTTGACTCTACGTTTATTGGCTTTTAAATTTTGTGTATTGCTGTTTTAACTTTACTAAATTATTAAAAAAAACTAACCATCACTTCCATGTTTTCTTCACAAGAATTGCAATCAAATTTGATTTTGTAGATTGTACTTGTACTGGTTTTCATTTTTTTTTATATCCATTCAAAATTCAAACCAATAATAGCATTGCATTACATTGTTTTGACAGTTATAGGCAAAGGTGGAGAGCAAATAGCAAACATACAGGCAACTTCTGATTGCAGAATACAGTTTGCACCAGGTACCTTTTTTATTCATTTACACATGGAGTTTGTTCAAGATATAGATAGACTCTACTACATCATGTACAAGCTCTATATACATTTTTAGGAATTAGATTTGTTAATGTCATTTTACTCATTTTTTATGTCAATCAATCTTCGTTTTGCGTCCAGAGACCCGGTTTCCCGAGGTAGGACGTTGTTCTCTTTGCCATCAACTTTTTGCGCCAAATTATTCTTTGTGATGGCATAAAGAGTCATTTGGGGAAAGGTTTTACATCCGGACACCCATCCTGACGACAACCACCAGTTATAAGCAGTGGGCCTAGCCTTTTGCTCAAAAGCACGCAATGCAGCGTGGATGCAGTTTTATGTCATGCCCAGGACGTTCATTTTTTATGTGTTCTTGAGTATTTTAATTATTATACATTTATGAAAAATATCTTCTTTATGTATGTACATTTACTGAGTTTATACACTTTTTTTTCAAAAATATGAATGCACATATCAATATATCTACAACGATAGGCATTTTTAAAGCTTATTCTAATTCTCAGCACACTGGGTGTTATTGTTTAATTAATTAGTGATTCAATTCTGAAAGGTTTGTCATACAAGTATAAGATACCATCCCAATGCATCATAATGTATGTATAAACAAACATATATGTGTGCAGTGAAAAAAACTATGGTGCACTTATTAACTTGGCACTTTGAGATATAAAATTGTTTAATGTTGTATAAATTTACTTATTTTTTAATTGTGAAAGATTAAAGTCAACTGTAATAATAATATAATATAAATTATTTAATTATTCTTGTAATTATAGTTTTCATCTTAAAATTTTTGTTAAAAATAATTGTCACTGTTTTCAATATTAAGTGTTAAAACAATACTATTGTTAAATGTTGCAGAAAGTTATGGCATGCCAGATCGACCATGTACTTTAACTGGGACATCTGAGGCTATTCAGTTCGTAAACTACCACATTTTTGCAGGAATTTATTTTTCATGTTTAATAATGCATAAATAAACAATGCAAATAAACTCTCAATGAATAATAAACTATTAACCTGATGCCTCTGCTATAACTTTGCTGCTATCACAACTTTTGAAGGTTTTTTTAATTTTATATAACCCTACCCAAGTCTTGGACACATGTATATCTATCTTCAAATCTTTGAGTTGCTAATTGTCATGCTTCTTCGTTCATTCCTCTTTTTCTTTTAGCGTTTTTTACCTACCTCACCTCAACCAAAAATAATCAACTCACAATTAAATACATCAGTCTTTTTTAATTATTTAAATTTGTGCTTATTTATATTTATCAATAAATTAAATACTTCCTGTTTCTTAAAAATTTTGTCAAAATAGTTTTTTCACAATTAGTAAATATTGAACTCCACTGTTGCCTTTTACTGACACTTTAGAAAAGCAAAAGATATGATTGCTCAGATAATGAGCAAAGGACATGACCTTCCTCCAGATCTTCAGAACACCTCACAGACCATTGAGCTGATGATTCCAGGTAACAAAGCTGGCATTATCATTGGCAAGGGAGGAGAAACTATTAAGCTACTTCAAGTTTGCTTTTATTTCTGGAATATTTTGTATTTTTCACCATGCTCTTTTTAAATAGCTTCACATATGTTCATTTGTCTCTACACTGTAAATCTTGTAATTGTTTCTTTAACTTCCTGTTGTCTGATTAAGCTGAAGTTTTTATAATTGCAATGTGTGAGTTAGCAGACCTGATTAAATTAATTAACAACGAAGTTAATAAAATATATATTTTAAATATTTGCAATAAAAGATGTAAGGAGGTGAATATAAGAGGTAAAATTGTTTTCTTGTTCCTGAATTATTTCTGGTTTTCTCAGTCCATATTTTTTGTTTATGGTTATTTTGAACTGAAATAATTTTTATGATAAATGGTTTACGATGTATTTATGACTTAAAAAGGTGTTCGATAATGTTAGCCAAATTAATGTGAGGGTGGGAAGTATTAGCAGAGTGCGGCATCAATTATAATAATTTTTATTAGAATAATAACCAATTTCTTCAAAATTATTCAAACAATTTTTTATTTTGTTTTTCAAATTTTATAAATCTAAATAATTTACCAATATTTGGCATAATCTTTTAAAAATTGTCTCCACTTCAAACAGCCTGACGCATCATCGTCATTGTTTTTCTATTATGTTCATTTTCAAGATCCCTGTATTTTATGTTATTTATTGCATTATGTGAGTTCATAATTGAAAATCCATATACACACATAATCATCATCATCAATTCTCTAAGGCAAAATCTCAAATTTAAGATGAAACTTTTTTCTGCATCTTACCAGGCTTTTGCAGAAATCATATTTATTTGTACATATATGTATAATTTCTTTTTCTTTTATTCATTGATGTTTTTAATATTATTAACTGTTCTTGGCATTTTTCTTATCCTGATTTCATATCAACATTGTCCTAGATTTTAAATTTGCTACATTAAAAAGCTTCATTGAATTAACCATTTTGTGAAATCATGAGTTATATACTTAAGCAAATTTTTCTTGTTACTTTTTGGGAATTTTTATGACTTTTTTTAAAATCTATATTTCTAAGCAACTTCACATTTCTTACTTTTTTGATTCCTCTTAGAGTGCCTTGAAATATTTATAATCTAATTAGGAGCAGACAGGTGTGAAGATGGTGATCATTCAAGAAAACAACTCACCCACTACATACGACAAACCTTTGCGTATCACTGGCGATCGTCTCAGTTGTCAGGTCACTTGCACATCTTTTTTCAAAACTCATTATTTTATTTTACTTTTATTTCAATCGATTTTTTGGTTTCTTGCTAGTTCAATAATTGGCTTAATAGTAAAAGTTAAATAGAATATGCAGTTGTGTGCTTCATTTGGCGTTATCACTAATATATTGATTATCCACATGTTACAAATGTATGGACATTATTATCATACATTTATGTATGATAATAATGTTAGCCATGGTAGCTGTTGGGTGTTGAAGAAAATTTTTCCTAACAAGTTTTTGTTCATGTTCCTCTGCTTCATTATTTATTAGGAATATTGCAATCTGTTGTCATCCTGTTATTTTGTATTCTTATAGAGAGCAAAGGAGAAAGTGTTGAGTCTGCTAGCAGAGAAAGATGTCCAAGTGAGTTGTTTGCCTGTACTTCTGTTTGTGGGTACTGTTCCGTAGGTATTTTTTAATGAATTCATTCTCATTTAATAATTTACAAATTAATGAACAGATAACTGGCTATGGGGAATACACAGGAAGCAACCAGCGGACAAGCATAGATGTATTTATTTATTTATCAATCTATTTATTTATTTATCTATTTATTTATTTATTTATAATTTATTCCTTCTTAACTATTTTTTAATGATTTGTTTTATTAGATGTTTTGCACTATGTTGTTTTCTAATTGTTAATTTGTTTTCGTAGTTAATAATTTATAAACCAAATGTGTATTAAATATGATGATTGTTGTGAATTAAACAAAAAGATTTAAATGAAAACTAACATGGTAAAAATAAAAAATAATAGATAATGTGCCTAATATCAATTTGATAAAATGTGGACAAGTGTAAAATTAATTAAGTGGTAATTATGATAACAGGAGTGATACTAAATAATGAAAAAGAGTGAACTGTTGATGATTGAGAAAATAAAAATGTGTGTTGACAGATTCCAGTTAGCAGGTCAATGATTGGAGTCGTCATTGGTAAGGGAGGTGAAATGATCAAGAAGATACAACAGGAGTCCGGAGCACGCATTCAATTCAGGCCTGATGATGAATCCTCTGGTCCCAACAGACTTTGTAATATCACTGGTCAGTTCTCAGTGGTATTATCATTGATCAATATGTTGTATGATAATTGTACATTGTCAATTACAAGTATATTTTAATCAAGTACAATCTCAAGTACACTGTCAATTTTTGCTTGCTTGTTTATGATAGTTTGTAGTTAGGACATAACGTTTAAAACAATTTGTTTCTTTAAATTAATGATTTCTGAATTATTTGGCAACAGGGAATTCAGAGCAGATGCAGGCTGCCATTGGTTTGATTCAAGAGATCGTGGTGAGTGAGTTGGTGGGTTACTTTTGTTTCATTTTATTTCATTTCAGATGAATTTTGTTAAATTTGTTACAATTAATTTTTTTATCTATTTAAAATTTTTAAGCATAATTCAGAAGTTTTGTATTGAGTAAGATAATCACTCTCATTGGTTTAATTTGTTGAAGGAGAAGCAAGATAACAGTACTTTGACGAAGAACTTCAACAATCTGCTAATTCAAGAAGGAGTGAAAAAATTTGAAGGAATTAATGAAGAGATATCATATACTGTTCCTGCAGATAAGTGTGGACTTGTCATTGGAAAAGGTTCATTATTTTTATATTCTTTTTTGCTAATAAATCGTACATTATAAGCAGTAGCCGTTTGTTCTCTAACTTAAAATGATAAGTTTTTGCTGTTAAAAATGTTTGCAAATGGTTTGAACGTTGAATTAATGTAAGTAAGAACATGGTTCAATGTTAGGACTTATCCTGGTGAAAACTAACCACATTAAATGCTACCTTAATATTTGTAATGTATAAACTTATTACATCTCATCATTGTTGTGTTACGAAATTGTTGTTGTTGTTGTCATCATTGTTGTAAAAAATAAAAAAAAAATATTAAACTCTTTAAAAATTTATAATACTCAATTCAACTCTGTAGAACTCACTCTGCGTGAAATATAGTTGTCGAATATGATATTGTTTCTTAAAAATTTGATATTTACAGTTGCTGACAAACAAACTCGCTCTAACAAACTCGATAAATCCTATAGAACTCTGTATAACTCTATGAAACTCTATAAAATGTACAATTCTATGAACCCTGTAAAGCCCCTAAGGGTTAGGGTAGAACCCTCAAGGGTTAGGGTAGAACCGTTAAGGGTTAGAGTAAAATCCTGTGAAGCTGTAAAACTCAATTTATAGACTCTTACAATGTTTTACAGTGTTTTATCGAGTTTTGAAGAGTTTTATAAGGTTTTCTCCGTTTATCAAATTAAAGAAAGATTGGATTTTAGCAAATCTCTAGTAAGTATTAACGAGTCCGGTCTTACCATGGGCAACATACCTTTATCTGAACGAACTTTATCAGAGTAAAAAAACAAAATGAGTACATTACATTAACAAATTGAGTACAAAAGTTGTTACAAAAGTTGTTACAAAAGTTTTTATCTATGTTTATATTGAAATCACCAATAATATAAACATTATAATTAGACATTTTTTTTATTTATAAAAAATAAGATGTTTAAATCATCAATAAATGTAACATTACTATTTGGAGGACAATAAATAACATAAACCAAATAATTGTTAGAATTAATATAAACAATTTCAACCACTAATAACTCAAATGATGTGGAATGAAAGTATAAATCATCACGAATTACATATCTGAGGTTAGAAGGTATAAACAATCCAACATCTCCACCAACTTTATTATTATTACGATTTTTAAATACAAAATCAAAACCAGGTAATTGGCCCTGGGTACGACATAAAACTGCATCCACGCTGCCTTCCGTGCTTTTGAGCGAAAGGCTAGGCCCACCGCTCATAGCTGGTGGTTGTCGTCAGGATGGGTGTCCGGATGTAAAAACTTTTCCCCAAATTATTCCTATGCCATCACAAAGAAAAACAACGACCCCGAGTTCCCCGTGAAGCAATCAGGTGGAGTCTACGTCGACAACTCATTCCAGAATATCTTGTTCGACTTGTGATTGAAATGTATACGAATACTAAGACTCTTGTCAGCACAACGGTTGGAAACACAGATGCATTTGACATCGGCGTTGGAGTTCACCAAGGCTCGATTCTCAGTCCACTGTTATTTATAACTGTGATGGAAGAAATCACAAAACTGATACGCACTAGTGACATTTGGAATCTAGTATATGCTGATGATATCGTTTTAACAGCCACGTCTGAGCAGAATGCAGCAGAGATGTTTGAAGATTGGAACACCAGACTCGCCGATCATGGATTCAAAGTCAACATCAGCAAAACCAAAGCAATGAACACTGGTGAACCCATCCAATCCACAGCTACTGGACGATGGCCCTGTTCAGTTTGTAAAGCTGGTGTAGGTAACAATTCAATCAAGTGTCAGCAGTGTAACCAGTGGTGTCACAAACGTTGTTCAAAAATAATTGGTACTTTATCTAAAGTGTCCAATTTTGTTTGTCCTGCTTGCATCAATCCACAACAACAAATTCGAAATAGCACTGTTTTTGAAGCCATTAAAATAGAGAAAGTCACATCGTTTCAATATCTAGGGGATGTTCTGGATTGTACTGGAACTGGAACAGCTGAAGCTGCCGTTCGAGCACGCATACGTGCAGCCTGGAATAAATGGCATCTCCTTGCCTCTATATTGATGCGGCGTGACATCTTACTACTACTACGATCAAGACTTTATAAATCTGTGATACGTCCGGTGTTGTTATATGGTGCAGAAACATGGCCAATGACAACCAAACTGGAACAACAACTTCAACGAACCGACATGAAAATGCTCCGATGGATGCAACGAATTAGTCTGAAGGACCACATCAAATCTACCGAAATCCTGAGTTGTGCTGGTTTAGATGATATAAAGGACGAATGCCGGCAACACCGTCTGCGGTGGTTTGGTCATGTCAAACGAAATGGAAACAGTGCCATAACTTCTCTTGCAGATGTTGAAGTACCTGGCACACGTCCCAAAGGCCGTCCAAAGAAGTCCTGGTCGCAAACAATCGAGCAAGACATGAAAGCTCTAAATTTAAATGAAATGGATACAACTAATCGTCTAATTTGGCTCAAAAAGTTGATGGCAAAGAAAACAACGTCCTACCTCGGGAAACCGGGTCTCTGGACGCAAAACGAAGATTGATTGATTGATTGTTGTGTTACGCTTCTGAACAGATTAAAAAAATTATTCAAGACATATCAAATGTTTAATTTGAATTACAGTTGTTTTTAGAAACATATTGGTTTAGTTTTATATAGTTAAATTTCAATAAATCTAATGTTTAAATTATATTAGGAGGCGAAACAATAAGGGAGATATGTCGATCATCAGGTGCCCATGTGGAACTTAACAGGGAGGCAAACAATCCTGCATCCATACAAAGACTCTTCAGAATTGTTGGAAGTCAGGAACAGATCCAATCAGCTATCAGACTTATTTCTGATAAAGTTGGAACAGTTAGTCTGGTTGTTGTGCTTTTTGAAACTGTTTTTTTCTTTTCGCCATATTAGTAGTTAGTTTGTTTCTACTTATGTTAGTATTTCGAAATGTTCTGTTGAACACTACAGAAATGGTGCTATAAATATTGTTTGTCACATTGCTAAACAGTGTATGTTGGTAGCATTTAATTCTAGAAATTGCCAACATGTATTGTACACAAGTAAAAGGTATGTATAGGAACCATTCCTTACACATTTCTTTTAAAGATTTAGATTTCATCTTCTGTTTCGCTATTGAGTTAAGTCAAAGATTAAATTCCATTTCACATGAAGCTTGATTATAATATGTAGTTAGTAGGAGCCAGCTAATTACAATATAATTATTTCTTGTATTTTCACAATCCTTCAAATCAATTTTGCACATAGAATTTCTATCCATGAATTTATTTTCTCTAAGTTAATACTGTAGTAGATATTGATTTCCAAGCAACATATGTAAATTTTAAAGATAAATTTTGTCTGCTGTAATAATTTTCATGTATTCCTTTTAAAGCTTGCTTAATATACTAAGTTGGTTAGCAGTGTTAAATTACAGATAACATTCTCTCAGATCGTTTATTGAATTAATATTAGTTGAATTATACTAAAGTGACCAGTTACATCATAAGAAACATTCACCAACATTAGCTATCACGTTTACAATGGTTTTTCATATTAATTTTTATTCAATTATTGCTTCTAGCATCTTCATTTAGATTATCTGTTATGCATGTTAAAATGATTTTAGAGCTATAACAGACTATACGAAATATCAACATTATAAAGACACTCAGTTAATGTAGTTTTATTTATATGCATTCCTTTCTAACTAGAAAAATGTTCTTATTTACTATAATATGCCCATTGTATGTGTAGTTAATTGTGTTAAAAAATTGTATTATCATTAGGTGGCTCCAACTTTGAGTTCAGCAACACTAAATACAACGGCACTGAGAGACAACAACAATAACAACAATCAGTTCTTGGCTAATCTGTATGGTCACACAAAGTTTGTCAAGTCATCTCTAATTTTTTCAATGTTAAATTTTAATAGCTTTTTGTTCCTTATACTTGTGATGAATAGAAAAAAATTTACAACTTAATATTTTAAAAGTAAACATTGATTTCTCTATACAACTGTTGGTCACATTTTATGCAAGATTAATGTTCATTTGCATAACCTGAAAGCTTACAAGCGATGCAACAGCTGTTACAAGCTCAGCAGCAGCAGCATCAACAACCTCAACAACAAAATTTTATGTCACCCATTCAAACATGGCCAACAACATTTCAAACTGCTTACGCTCCTACTGCTACTCCTGCAGAGCAATGTTAGTTAACATCCTCTCCTTTCTGTTTCCTCTTCATTTTTTGCAGTCTTAGATGTTTGTTTCAAACAGTTTCTTGTTTTAATTTGTTTTTCATTGTTTGCTTGCTGTTTTAGAAATTAATTTTATCAATTAATATATAAAAAAGGTGATAATTATAAAAGATTTATTCTTTGTGGTAACAATTACATATTTAACATAATATTATTCATAACGCACTCATTATATAATATACAATGATTTATAAGGAACTACATTTTAACCCTATCTATGGGTGTCAAATTTCCAGCATCGTTATTTACATTAAGCTATAAACCTTGATAATAACAAAAAAATAACAAAAAAAAATTAGTCAAGCCGGTTGAGTTACAAGCTCAGTGGACAGCACACATCATCAACCAACAACAACAGCAACAACAACTGCAACAACTTATCAGCCAACAACAGCAATCTCAGTTCTTGACAAGGGCAGCTCTTCCGTCACCTGGAGGTTCGTTGTTGTTTCCATGTTATTTGCTGCCACTGTGATATTATTTTCTTAATTAATAAGTCTTAAAAACTTTCTTGAACATTCTTCACTTTATTAATGCATTCAACTATTTTTTGCTTCTTTGTGAACTATATCACCCCATGAATTTGGAACAGTCGAAAATTCATTAATATGACGGTGACAAGTGCTGACTGAAGAAGTTACTGACAAAATTTTAACATTTATAAAATCGGTAACTAAACTGCAGTTAAGTAGGTTTAACCTCGAAACACCTTATAAAAATAAGAAGCTTTGGAATATAAAAAACGTCAAAACTGTACCAAGATCAAATTGCAGCAAAATAAAATCCATTGTGCATCTGCAAAATGCATTTATAGTCTATTTTTTATTAAAAATCTTGATTGCTATTGACCTTCATATTTCATATGAAGTGCAAAATGTGGCTCAAAAGTATCTAATTGAGATTTACAAAATCATCTGTGTAATTGAGACTTGTGAAACATCTGGGAGTTGTAATCTATTGAAATTATAGTTGAGAAATAGTAAACATCTTAAAAGCAAGTTTCTAGTTTATTGGTGTAGTGCAGGTGCTGCTGCAGTCAGATTTTCTAATGGATTTCATGTTAGTTGCTACAACTTTGTTAATGTGTTTCAATCTTTCAGTGCTCTGTTGATTCAAGTTTTATTGTTGTTTAATCTTTGGGAGAAGACACAAAAATTTTGAAAAATTATGTCAAAATGTGAGGAGACCATTGTCAGTGTGAATTGAACAGAACATTTGTTTGTTCAGAGGCAGTCAACATCATTTATTTTGACAGACAATAACGTTGTTTAGTTTGTTTTATTTATTGTTCTTTGTTGTTCAATATTTGTCAGTATTTTCAATTTTTCAAGCTTTATGTTGTTGTCTTAGGTTCCATGTGATACAACAAGATAACTTAATCTAATGTATTTAACTGTTTCCTAGGTATCAACCCACAAACTGGCCAACCGGATTATAGTTTACAATGGGCGGATTATTACAGACAACAAGGCATGCATGAGCAAGCACAAGCCATCTTACAGGCCACAACAATCAACCAACTCGGTCAGGGCATTTGATTGAAAGGTGGATGAGTTCTTGTTGTTTATTAGGTTAGGCTATGATAACAGTGCTGGAATTTTTCTTTTTTTATTTTCATACTTACAATCTGACAAAAAGGCTACGTTTTGTTTTAATGATTAGATAACATTGATGTTTGTTATATAGCGTTGAGCTTTTTCATTTGATGTTCATCATAATTTGTGATTCTTAGGTAGGTGTATATATATATATATATATATATATATATATATATATATAGATGACTTTGTATTAATACTTTTTGATTTTCATTGCCACTCAGATGTTGTAACCAAAACAAAAAAGAACATACGTTCATTCATTCATATGTTCACATGTTAGGAGTCATAAAATTGAACATTGATAATAAAGATGACTACTAATTCATTCGTTTTATGAACAGCGTTGCCGGCGAAATAGTGTAGTTTTGCTGATATTTATTCTTGTTCGTTTGAAAATCTTTGCATAACCCTGTTTGTATTATTTTAATTATTCCTGGTTTGTAATTAATAATTTTGATCACATCACATCTTTTAAACTGTTACTTAAATGCGGTTTATTTCGAATGTTAACTTTATTCATTGTTAACTTTTTATTGTGCAAATTTTGTTCTTGGATTCATAGCTTGGTTCCATTTTCTTATATTTTTTTTGTAAAATATTTTTGACTTGGAGGACTCTAATTTTTAAATAGTCTATACGTAAGTCTCATTATATAATGTATGTAGAAATTAATCACCTTTTTCTATTAGAAATCATTGATTTTTATTTATTTATTTAAATGTTTCATCACGTGTATATAATTTGAAGTTTTTATTCTGATTTTAAATGCACAATACTTTGAATGTTGTTGCTATCTTTTCAATCATTGAAACAGTTTTACGAATAATAATTTCCAATATTGTTAGTTCCTGGATGATGACATTAACTGTGCAGATGTTTCGTTTGTTGTTGAATCTGTGTTAATAACAATCTGTTCCATTTCAATTAGAACTTTTTTAGTTTTAACAAATGTTTTGTACAGATCCAGACGACCTATAATTGATTTTTCATCTTTTTACGCAATTTTTTGAATAATGGCTGGTATTTGATAAAACCACTAATTGTTGTACAATAAGATGTTTTTATATTTTCAATTATATATTATACAGGTATGTATTATTAATATTAACATAGATAAAAACTGAATTAATTAAATACTAGTGTTTCAATATTTTTATAAATATCATAAATTTTCTTTGATATATCTGCAAGTCATCCCTATTTGTTATCATATTTTATTGACATGTGCGTAACAATTGTAGTCTTTGTTCGTTCATTTATGTAGTCCTGGCAGCTTCTGAAAATTGCTAGAAAACCGTAAGAAAAATAAAAAAATTGATTATTTTACTGAAAATTTATTTATATACATGCAGAAAAATTATTTTTCTATTTCCGTCTATTGGAATGCAAATTCTGTTTTTTTAGACGAACCTGTATAGAGATGTTTTTAATTGAATCATTTAACTGCTTAGAAATATTTTCACACGTCAATAGGATGATGGTCTTACACGCGAAACCTCAAGCCGTAACTATAGTTTGCTTGATAGATTAATATTATTATTTGTTTTTTTCATAAACGATTATCATTCATTCATTCATTTATTATTGTTACCTGATGAACATATGTGATTGATCAGATTTTAACGTCATATTTCAATACGACAAATTACATCTTCTGTTTCGCTATTGAGTTAGTCAAAGATTAAATTCCGTTTCAAATGAAGCTTGATTATATTATTTAAAACGTGTACAGTGATTTCTTTTTCCACTTGTTAAATACTCGTATTGTTTAACCATGAATATATTTAATAGAACGTGCAGTGTGCGAGCGTGCACGCATGTATGCGTACGCGCTTGTTATCTTGTGCTGTGCGTTGTGTGCTAGTACCTAATTTCAATTACAAAAGTAAATGGCCCTTGCACCGTTTCATATTTTTGATGTTTTATTTAGTTTACTTGTAATTTATACCGGAAAAGATAGATATTTATCTCATTGGTGTAAATATGATTCAGATTGGTTCTATATCATTGCTTTAATATTATCCATTACAAACTTTTACCAGCTTTATCTTGAGGAAGCTTCACAAAATCATTCTGTTAGTGACATTCTCAACATAATTTTTTACTTAAAAGCATGTTTATGCATGAATTTGTATGTTTTCAATCGGTGTTATCCTGTATAACAACTGATGGTTCTGGTTAATCTTGAATAAATATAAACATACACGAATGTTCGTACCGTAGGTCAAAGAGATTTTCATAGAAATTGTCCACGAGAATATGTACATGCTAGCATGACGATTATACATCCAATTCATAGTATGATTAATTATGCACAGTGCACGTTTGTAACTGTTAGATGTTGAATTAATTTTGTTATCTATGCAATCATGGTTGTTCGTATATATTCATATTTCTTTCTAATCTATTTCATCGTACAACTAAGGAATGACCACTATTGAAAACTAGCTACTGATGGCGGAGATGTTATTAATAAAATCTTTTTTGTTATTCACTGTTGAAGGTTTGTCGAATGGCTTAAAGAATTTTAAAACCTTGACTAATCTTCACGATTGAGATAATATATTTAACATTAAAAGTGCATCAGTCGCGTCATGTATGTAATTAATCAATTGTCAGATGTCACATTTTTGACAGCTTATCAGTGAACATTATGAATGTAAAACTTATTCGTCTGGAGCAATGAAGATGTAACCTTGAAACCTTTGAAAACATTTTTTAGAGGTTTTTCTTCCTGTTAGGTGGTTGCTTTGTATATATATAAACATTTATATCAAATCTAATTGTTATTTATTTTTGTACGATTTTTCAGTGTTAGTTACTCAGAAGAACTGTTATATACGATGACAGATCGTCGAGATAAAATTCTAGAATTTGTAGGTGCATGTTTAACAAACCATTTACAATATAAATAGATGTTGTGTCACCATAAATGTAAAAAAAATTATTTTTTCATCTCGTCTAATTCATATTATTCATTGCAAACACGATTATCATAAGCAGTTTCTGTTTGAATAAAATTTTATTGAAACCGTTTGTTTTTTCTTATTCAGTGTAGTTTAATGTGTATGGCTAGTTGATGTGTTGATTCGTATACCATGCATCTTCTTAATGTCCTCTTTCAAAACCTGGGAGGGTGAAACATTTTCAAAATTGGCACGTTGTATAGAAAACAATTTGCATGCAATTTTATGTTTAAACGATTAATAAGTTTCATGTCCCCAGCAAAAAATCTGACCTCATTTATCATTTTGTGTTGATTGACAGTTTTTATGCCTTCAAATTTACTGCTTGCCACATAAATTTCATACATGGATCCACATCCACCTAATTTTGTTAATTTAAAGTATTTTGAGTTATGTGATGTAAAATAAAGTGAGCTAACTGACAATTGATGGCTGAATTGATTAATAATAGTAGATGTGTGGTAGGAAATATGGTTTATGTAATGATTTGTGGAAGTTTGATTCTGGTTCTGGTAGCAAAAGCAGAGATTTGCACTGGGTTCAAGACGCATTATTCCAACTTGAAATTTGTGCCATTGTGATGGGCTGTGCCATCATAACTCTACAGAAGGGAAAGTATTGTAGTAAAGTTTTAAAAACTACAAAAAATTTTTATAGACAGAGCTTAACTTTGGTTTAACCTTAATAACCTGCCATCAAGCCTAAACATTATTTGATAGGATGAGGAAAAATTTGTTATTTTGGAATTGCAATCTGGAGCCAGCTCCTGAAGAAACATTGATGAGTACCAAATTTAAATTACAGACTCACAAGAAAACAAACTCAAATAATACAATAATAACAGAACAAACACCTGATACATCAGCAACTTGTATACAAGAAGCCTCTGGGAATGCAGTTTTCAATTTTGCAATCAATTTTGCTTCTGCCTGACTTGGTTCTTCTTTTGATTCATGGACCAAAAAACGTAAAAAGTTTAAATTTTTATTAATAGAAAGAGTTCTATTCACACAAGCCTTTAAAGTCCTGGTCGTTAACGACATTTCTGCTTATTCACTTCTTATGTTTGCAGAAAAGATGAGACAGTTCAAATTCAAACCAATTCTCTTTTAATTTTTAGCAAGAAAAACAATTCCGTAATAAACCAAACTAAATACTTTGATCACTAAAAAAGGTGAAAATACTGTTTAGTTTCTTTTTTAATTCTTAAAAAATTACTTCGTGTCACAGAACCTGAAACAATTTGTAATTTAAATAAAATGAAAGTTAGGCAAATCAAATGATCAAATAAAATAAAAAATGGTAATTTAAAAAATTTAATAATTATAACTAATTTTAATTTTAAATTTAATTTAATTGATAAATGACTTATTAATGGAAAAAATAAGATAAGAAATATTGTTATTACAATTACATTACTATTATAATTACTCAAGTACAATAAGGGTATGAATGAATATATTTATTATATTACCTTCGTATTTATTTTATTTGATTAACATTTGAAGATTAAAATCGTAGATGCCCTCCAAAGATTCATCACTTTTAATCATAATTAAAAGTGAAATCCATTGAATATTTTGAAGAGAACCACAACCACAAATGAGCCCGATAGGCGGAGAACACATAACTGGAATATAAATATATAATTATAACTAGAAAACATTTGCAATTTCAAGTTCTATGCAAGACGCTATAAACGCCATCGTCAGAAGAGTTTTAGCCTGCTGAACAAACGCTCGCCACTAACAGTTCGTTTCCAACATTATCTATTTCAAAAAGGCAAGTCTGTATATATATTAAGTATTTGGCGTGGACCGTGGAGGTATTGGTGAATATCATTTGAGTAGCAAACAATTTCCTGATGTCGAAAAAATACAAACTTTTTAAAACTAATGCTCTCAGACGGCTAAATTGTGATTTTTCTTTGGTCGATATGTCGATCATTGATTTCATAATGAGATGCGAGTTATTCCTACAGCCGCTTTAAATCTCGAAAATTCTCTATAAATACGTTACCAATCAATCAATCAATCAATCAATCAATCAATCAATCAATCAGTCAGTCAGTCAGTCAATCAATCAATCAATCAACCAACCATCCAACCAATCAACCATTCATTCAATCAACTAATCAACCAACCAATCGACCAGTCAATTAACCAAATTGAATGAACCAAATAAACGAGAAAAAAAAACAAAAATAAATAAAAAAATATTTGCAAGGTTTGTTCAAACTTGAACAAACACTTAACCGTACAGATCTACAAACAATTTCGAGAATTAAGTAATGAAAGAAAAACACAATAGTTGCTTGTATTTTTGAATTCATTCGAAAATGAAAAGTGACGGTTAATAAAAATTTTAAAAACGTCAATTTTTTAAAAATTCGTATTTTAAACAAACAAATATAACAAAATATCGACCAATAAAAAATAATTATAATCCATTATTATTATTATTATCGGTCGGCAAAGAAAGGTATCTGTATAGCGTTTATGCTCTATATAATCAATCAATCAAATCAATCTTCGTTTTGCGTCCAGAGTCCCGGTTCCCCGAGGTAGGACGTATTTATGCTCTATATAACTTCATATAACTCTAAATAACTCTATATAACTCTATACCCCACATATGCTCTATATAACTCTATATAACTCTAAATAACTCTATATAACTCTATATCCCACAAAAACCAGGAACGACCGCGTACTTGTTATATGTATGGTGTGAAACAAAACAAAACAAAAAACACACCGAGTAGAGTAAAAGAATAGAAGTCCCTAATGCTAACCGTACTAAATTGACGTCATCGAACGAACGCCTACGAAACTTTCTGATTGACTGGTTGAATCTATTGCTTTTTTAAAATTATTTGTATACATGGCTTCTAGTCACTTTATATATATATATATATATATATATATAATATAAATTCATTATAAAAGCAACAGTCAGTGCTGCATATGTACGCACGCAGTTAAAATTTTTCGGGAAGAATTCAAAATAGTTTGAGACCACACCTAGCTTAACATCCAATTCCAAGCCGAGCCAAGCCAAGCTGGGCCAATATGCGTAGATTTACAAGCGCTTTTATATTAAAATTTTGCTCGCTTTATGACAATCCCAATATGACAAATTCTCCATCCTATTTTAAAAATTTTCTTTGATGCTTTTTAATCAGTCAGGTCATAAAAATCATTATCGATATCGCGATGAAATCAAATTGAAATTTTTTTAAATTGTTGATAAAAGTAACTAGCATATAGTAAGAAAGTTAATTTTTCTGAGAGAATTCAAAATAATTTGAGACTACACCATAACACAATTGTACAATTCGAATTTGTATTATAACTACGTATATATATATCTATCTATCCATCCATCCATCCATCCATCCATCCATCTATCTATCTATTTATCTATCTATCTATTTCTTTATTTAGTTCTGCCTGCATATGATTTGGTCAAATTTTTTTGATAGGAATTGAATATAACCTTTATACGAGCTGATTAACTACCATGCAGTAAAATAGCTACTGTTAACATGACGTCATTTCCTCCAACGATTTCGCAACGAATTAACTATCCTATTTAATAAATTTTATTTGCTGCTTTTTAATTAGTCAGGTCACAATCATCATCATTGATATCGCAATGAATAGAATGGCTCTATTACTTGATCAGGCCTCGATTCAAAAGAATGTTGAAGCATCATTATTTCAGGAATGTGCCCACCAGAAAGCGCTTCTGAGGTCTTTCAAGAGAGGCGCTTTACAAATTTCTGATACTGATACTGAGAATTTTTTAAATTTTTGAAAAAAGCATCTTTATTCATTTTATGATACTACTTCGTTCAATAAGATACTGTTTGAGGTTTAGAATTAAAACTGTAAATTGTGTCAGTTGTACCGAAACATTCGGATGCCATTTCACCGGTTGGTTGTTGATTGCAGGGTGAAATATTATTTGACTACTACGTTGTTTTTGTCGGTAGATGAGATTGTGACCAATTTAGGAGGCAACAAATACATGGTTGTATGTGAATGAATAAATGAATGGATGGAGGAATGATCGAACGAACGAATAAATGAATAAACTAGCATATCAACAAATATCGAAAAAACTAACGTACGAACATTACCACCAAAAAAAGTTGTCAGCCACAAAAAAATTAAAAAAATTTCAGTCAACGGGTCGAAAAATTTGCTATTTAATACATATGCGGCTCTTCAAAAGTCAAATAGATCTCAATGCGGTTCCTCAAAGGTTAAATAGTTCTCAAAACGGTCCTTCAAAGGTCAATATAGGAGTTAATCTATTCCAGTAACAATAACATGAGCAAAAAAAATTTCTCACTAGTTTTAACCAGCTATAAATAATTTTTAATATTTTAACGGTTTGTACATTTATATTTTAACTATCTGTCTACTGTCTATAATAGTTCTTTCATAACTTTAAATATAAATTTGCATTATATTTTATTTACTGTTTAGCTTACTTTTATCCTATAAATTTTTAAGAAAAAATATATATTTTCCATATTCGATTCAAATAACTTCAAATGAAAAATTCCTGATAGCTATTTGCCCTTTAAATGAATATTCATTATTCATATAATCTTATTTCGCATTATTTCCTTATATTATCAATCCTTTTTTGTTAACTTTATTATATTTTTATGCCTTTTATTTTTATGGCGTGCCAATTTTTGCTTTTGTCAGAGTTTGTCATACAGTAGAAAAAATTGTAAACAATAAAAAATCCCGTCAGTGTATAATTTATTGAAAATACATTTTAAAGAATAATCTCAAAAAGTTTCATCTTTATAAAATTGTTTTTTAAATAAAAAAAATATAAAAATTAAGGGCCAAGTTTTCCATTTGCCTAGTTAGCTCTAGTGATAATTCTCGATAAAATTTTAAACGGATAAAAATTCAGCATGTTTTGAATACCCCGCGTTTTCTAAGGCTTCAGCAAAACATTTTATCCTACTGGGATCTCTAAGGCACCATTCCAATATCAAGTCCACCTTTTCATCAGTAGTCTGAAAAAAAAACATTATTAATTCTTACTAATTTTAATCGCCTTAGATTTAACAAAAATTTAAATTAGCGATTCACTCACTTTTCCCCCGAGTAAATTATAATCTTCTTCTGAAAAGTTACAATTTTGCCTTAAATATTGGGCTAACTCTTCGGTTATTCGTAGTTCTGCTATCAATTTATAAAAATTAAAAATAATTTTTTCTTTAGGAGGACTACCGTGCTTTTTCCAATTTGAATATTTTTTGGCGTCTATTTCTTTAATTGCATTTTCATCAATTAACCGAGCCAGATGTTCTTGACCAGTTATCAGTAATGCATCAACAAGTTTATTTATTTTATCAACATTTTTAACAGCGAAATCTAACAAACGCGAATTCGCTCCAGATTTTGATTTTTCCTAAATAAAAAAATAATATCTAAGTTTAGTCTGCCAAAAGTAAGTTAATATAATTTTACAATGGTTTGAGAGCTGATTGACTAATAGAAAACATCACAGCTAAGAGATCTAGCTAAAAAAAATACTAAGAAATAATGCCAAAGCTGTATTTGAATGCAGTTCTACTTTACCAGCATATCAAATTAATATCCAAGATTTATCTGTGTGAATGTTTATAAAGAGACACGTAATTCAACTCAAACAAATAGGTGTAATTCACGTGAATATGTGATGTTCACGTATGTATTTATGCAATGCTACATTATATTTATTAGCAATGTATAACAACATTTAAAATCTGAAAATTAAATATTTAATGTTTAAAACTAAAAAAAATGCATAAGCTAGCTCAAAAAACAAGGTTAGAGGCCCTAGATTCAAAAATATTAAATTTATTTTTACGTTCTCGCAAAGCTTCTTTTCCAAAGTCTTTTTTTTAAGACATACGGACAAATATTCCACTTCAACTAAGCAACAAATTAACTAAGCTTCTTTTCCAATGTCTTTTTTTTAAGACATACGGACAAATATTCCACTTCAACTAAGCAACAGAAGACCCAAAAATTCTTGCGCTAACAAGACAAAAAAAAATATCAAAAGAAAACTAAAAAAACTCGTAGCCTTTACGGTGCAGCTCCACGACTACGTATCATGGGCCCTCAGACTTGCCAAAAAAAAGCTTGACATTTTTGTCAGAAAGTAATATAGGAAAATATATGGAATCAATCAACTGAAGCTCACATGAAGAGACACAGAACTAAAAAGCAACTGGCCAGATCCCACTCAGCTAAGCTAATGAGAAAAAAGTTCCGTTTGCTGGCACACATACCAGAGACTTAAAATGTTGATGAATATGCCTGCACAATATGAAAGTGATAAACTTTGGATGGTCTTTGCAGCAGATGTTGAGTGCATATAGGTAAACCACAACGGTGAGAAGATGATACAATAACTTTGGACTTCACAACGCCGCTAATTATAAATTATAAACTAAAGACCTAAGAACCAATTATAAATTATAAACTAAAGACCTAAGAATCAAAGAGTGATCTAATGTTGGTGAGGTGGAATTCGATATGAAAAATTGACTACAGTAATGAATGTGAAATTGGAGATTGGTTTGTATAAACCTTAACAAAGCAGACTTTTTTCATATCGGTAAAACTGGCGCGACTGTCACTTTTTGAGATCCAGATGGTATGATGGATGAAATAGATTCGTTGATTACAGCTCATCAAAACAGCAGCAAAAATGTTTATAATAACTTCTCAACAATGAACGGTTATAAAATTTAGTGTTAAGCAACGAAACAAAATCTCTAAAAAAGATATTTGTTCAAATTACCATGATCATTAACATAATTATCGCAGTTAATTAAGAAAATCAATATAATAACAAAAAAATGCTAAAATACGCACGTTGTTCTGGCATTTTTCTTGTTCATCGTGGCTGTATACTCCACCGTCTTTCAATACGCCCCAAAACTTTGCACTTTGGATCATATCACGGCACAAAGAGACTCGATTTGAGTTTATGTTCTTTGTTAAATCGGTTTTAGGTTCTGTGAGATCAACTTCAAGTTCTTCAGCAAAATTAAAAATTGAAAATTTACTACAAGTAAATAAAATAATGCTGACATTACCTTCGTTCAAAGGACTTAAAGCAGGGTTATCTATGAATGAAATAAGAAATTTCTTTTATAATAAATATAACGCAACATTTTCGTGAATAAAGCATGAGTTGTATGTATTATTTTGAATTTTTTAATAAAATGTTTACGTGCTACCCAAACTTTTTTTTTTTAAATCACAAGATCAATAAGAAATTGAAACATTTTACTGACAGACCTCTTGTCCTTTTGGGAGATATTCGTCTTCGAATTAAAAGAGTAACAACAACAACGAAGATCGCACCTCTGCAATATATAAAAAAATGATGAAAACAAACAGTAAATGATAGCAGAAATAATATTTTTGACAGAAACGACGTCTGCCTGCATACTTAGACGTATGTAAGGTGTTTAAACAACTTACCCTGTTGATGCCAAGACAATAGCACAAATGGTTGTAGGACTGAAGGACGCTTTAAAATTAAAATTTTGTTTCATAATTGAAGCAATCAAAATATTATTACATATCTAAATTCTTAATCGTTAATGAAGCTGTAAGATTATATATTCTTGGCGAGGAATTGATACAAAAAGTAATGCACGAAGAATGAAAACTGCAATAACATTTTTCTTTCAAAAAATCTTTGCTGCGATAATATTTTCACTCTGTTTTTTTGTTCTGTTTTAACCATAAAAACAGTTTGCTTTTTTGAAAAATGAAACATAGTTTCTTGAATATTTGAGATGATTAATAAAATATTGAAATAAGGAAAACAATATCGTTGCATAAACGGTTTTGGTCAGTGATTCAATAATAATAAAATGCTTAACCTTCATCTGCAGCAGGTACTGATAGTAATGGTGTAGTTGTATTAGTTATTTGGATAACTGTTGTTTCAACTGTTTTTATGCATTTTGATTCGCTGGAACTGTCGTAAACGTATCCATCTCGACACTTACATGTTGTATCTCTTGTGCTTGTACCGGGCTCATCGATTATTTGATCTGAACATATATCAACAATTTAATTGACCCATTATCAGATAGATATCTTATCATCAAATTAATAAACAAATAGCTATTAGATAACAACGTTTTTGCATATAAAAATTTTGTATACGAAATTTGGAAACAAAACGAAAATTATGTTTTTAAGCTCTTCATAAAGGGAGTTTTTATCTGAATTTAAAAATTTGAGAAATAAAAATTTAAGTTTGGGTGAATTAACTGAAAGTAACTTTTCATTAAAAAATGGAAGCACAGATGAATGCAAAAATAAGTACTTACCTTCATTGCAGGATGTATGTTTCTTACATTTAGTTGCATTTTTAAAGGTCTGAATTCTATCAATGTAATGATTTTCAGGACATTTGCTGCATTGCGTGCAGTTATAAAAAAATCCTGAAAATGTATGAAAAGTTGTAATTCACACCAGATTGAAATATTATAAAATCAAAAATGCTGACTGGTCGTTCCAATTAATATTTTTTCAATTAAATAAAAATGAAACCGCATAAGCAAGTAAAAAAATGCATTGAATTATCTATAATGAAAAAACGTTAAAAATATTTAGTATAATTAAAAGTGAATATTTAAGTTTAACAATCTTTCTTTATTATCTAATAGCTCAGCGTTGTCAGGATGTGCTCTTGGTACTAATATTTCTGGTTGCATATGTATAAAATTTATTCCATGGTTGCAGTCCTGCACCTATCCATCCTTCACCTCACCTATCCATCCTCCCCCTCACCAATAAAAAAAGACCATCACCAGCCATGGTTGAAATTAAATTAAAATTAATACATCAAAAAATTCTAGTATTTTAATATTTGAGAATCTCCTAGTTTCAACAATTCTTTCTCAGATCTATAAAATATGCACCAAACAAACTTAGATTAATAATTAATTGTTAGTGGAAAATGTTGTAAAAATTATAAAAAAAAATTTATAAAACGCACCCAAGAAATGTTCAAAACAACTAACCTGGATAACATGAGCCACCCTTGAGGCTATCCCAACATTCAGATTGGAACAAAGGTAAAAATGAAATAAAAAACAAACTTGAGTATATTTTTTTAGAAATGTGAAGCATGTTGTTATTAGACCAAGTGAAGAAGTAGTTTTTCACATTTATCAGTTCGGCTATTTATTTGCCCATGTGATGTCTTTTTTCAATAAAAACTTATTGCTGTAATTATAACCATAATGTAACTAATAATAGCCTGGTAAAACTCTCAGAGTGAAAAGTAGGAAAATACAGCATATATATTACATACACTTTTACAGCACACACACACAACAAACACACACACACAAACACACAAACAAATACACACCACACACACACACACACACACACACACACACATACATACACATTTATTTTATTTTAAATTAACAACGTAATAATCTAATCAAAAAATCCAATAATCAAATTTCTACTTACCATTTGTTTCTGAATTAAAACTTTAAAAATTAAATCCATAAATCTCCAACTTATAAAACAAGACAAAAGTCGAACTGGAGGAAAAACAGTCTAATCAAAAATCAAACACAATCATAAAATAACCTTATTAAGCTTATTTATAATCATAATGTATTATATTATGACATTTTTTAATTATAAATAATTTTCAAATTTTATGCTGTCTTGTTTGATTATAATCTTTGATATTTTGAATATGTATGTCATATGACTGTGGTGTACTAGAAAAGAAGGCAAGCAAAAGCAAGCACTGAAGCGTTCTGTCAGCAGCAGGTAAGTTAGGAAAGTATTGTTTGTATTGCTGCGCTGCTATGGTAATGAGATGAATACTGAGTGAATAGAAAGAAGTGAATCTCTCTCTAGCTAGATGAAATAAGTAAGCAAGTGTGAAACAAATCAAGTTGTTAAGTTGTTAAGAAGAGGGGTACACTACAAATTACATTTTACTATCAATGAAAAATATACTTACATTGTTTACAAAAATTAATGAATAATGTACGTACAGGTGCTAGATGTCACGTTCAAATTATTTACAGGAATTTCCGTAAATCTAAAATTGTTGTTTATTATACAAATTATAAACACGTGCATGGGAATCCCCAAAACTTTTATATACATTGAAACTACGACAACAGAATTTCCATAAACTCAGAATTTCATACAGTTAACTAACCGCGGGAATAATCGAATTGCGCTGTGTTATTATGTTTGCAGTCTTTGTAATCTTTGGTTGTAAAATCGGCTATGAATACCTCCTACGTAGTGAGGTAAAGCGCCAGGTCCAAATAGAAAAGTTTAAAAAATTAAATGCCTTGATGAAAATTAGTTGGACCTCTTACAATTCGAATGAGGATGTATTAAAACGGTCCGGTTATGAAAACAAGAAATTACTACTTATTCCTCTTAAATCTTTTACTTATAGGCTCTATTCTCGTAAGGCTCCTTGGTTTGATTATGCTTGTGTAGTAGCCAAGAAAAGTCTTAGAAGACTGGAGAAAGCCTATAGGTTAAATCCATCTAACTCTCTTTATTCTATCTATGAATCTGAATTGATTAATTATAAATATCTACTATTCTCTAAACGCTCTACTTTTCTTAGAAACTCTATAACATCTGCTTCAACATCTAAAAATAGGTGGTCTGTTCTATCTAAACTTCTACATAAAAAATCTTCTCACTCATCTTTCTCTGCTCAACAGTTTCATGACTTTTTTGTAAATAAAATTACTTCTTTAAGAACATCTAATTCTAATTTTCCTTTTCATAACTTTACTAAACTTACTACTGAATCTTTCTCTGTATTTACTCCAATAAATCTTTTAGAACTAACTAAAATTATTAATTCTATGTCGTCTACAACCTGTTCTCTAGATCTACTTCCTTCTAATTTACTTAAAGAATTCTCTTCAACATTTTATCCAATCATTCTCAAATTAGTTAATTTATCTCTTTCCACCTCTAAATTTCCTACTTCTTATAAGAATTCTATTGTTATTCCTATTCTTAAAAACACATCCCTAGATCCTACCTCTTTATCTTATTATAGACCTGTAACTAATATTACTTTCATCTCTAAAATAATAGAAAAAGCTGTTTTTAATCAACTCTCATCCTATTTAGACTTTAACTCTTTTCTACCTGTATCTCAATCTGGTTTCAGACCTGCTCACAGTACTGAAACTTCTTTACTTAAAATACACAATGATATCCTTCTCTCTAGTGACAATAGTAATCTTATTCTTCTTCTTGCTCTTGACTTTTCCTCGGCTTTTGATACTGTTGACCATACTATTCTCTTGAGACTGCTGCATCATTCTTTCAATATTACTGATTCTTGTCTATCTTGGTTTTCTTCTTATATCTGTAATCGTTTTTCTTCTGTTGTTCTCAATAATTCTACTTCTAACTCCTCTACTCTTACTTTCGGGGTACCTCAGGGTTCTATCCTTGGCCCTCTTCTATTTATACTCTATACTTCTGAACTACCTCGTATTATTAATAACTTTTCTTTCTCTAGTCAATTATATGCTGATGATTCTTATATTTATACTTCTTTTCCTCCATCTAATCTCAAGTGTTCTTCATAATTTATCTCTATGTCTTTCTTCGATTATCGCTTGGTCTGACTCTGTGTGTCTTAAAGTTAATCCTTCTAAGTTTGAATTAATTTGTTTTAATAAATCTAAACACTCTATTACTATTCCTCCTATTATCTTACCTGATTCTAAAACTATTGATGTCTCTCATAAGTTTCGTAGTCTAGGTTTTATCTTTGATTCTACTTTTAACTCTGCTGCTCGTCTAGTTGCTCGTGCCGAGTTAAGAAAAAGCGAGAAGAAGACGATCGTAAACCGGGGCGTTTAGGTTCAATTAATATATCTGATAAATACTTAGGAAATAATTTAGATTGAGACTTATACATGAACGTGCAAATTTTAAAAATTATTCTATATTTTATAGGTAGCCAGTGCAAGAGAACAAGATATGGATATATGAGAAAAGAAAGGGGCACGAGCAACTAGACGAGCAGCAGAGTTAAAAGCTTTACTTAAAGGATAGTCAATCCTAGATAACACTAACGAAGTAACAAGAAGGAGAAGAGTAGGATCATCAAGAAAAGGCAAAAGTTTTTTTATTCTACGTAGATGAAAGTAAGAGCTTCTAGCAACACTATTAATCTGAGAAGAGAGAGACATAGTAGAATCAAAGATAAAACCTAGACTACGAAACTTATGAGAGACATCAATAGTTTTAGAATCAGGTAAGATAATAGGAGGAATAGTAATAGAGTGTTTAGATTTATTAAAACAAATTAATTCAAACTTAGAAGGATTAACTTTAAGACACACAGAGTCAGACCAAGCGATAATCAAAGAAAGACATAGAGATAAATTATGAAGAACACTATTGAGATTAGATGGAGGAAAAGAAGTATAAATATAAGAATCATCAGCATATAATTGACTAGAGAAAGAAAAGTTATTAATAATACGAGGTAGTTCAGAAGTATAGAGTATAAATAGAAGAGGGCCAAGGATAGAACCCTGAGGTACCCCGAAAGTAAGAGTAGAGGAGTTAGAAGTAGAATTATTGAGAACAACAGAAGAAAAACGATTACAGATATAAGAAGAAAACCAAGATAGACAAGAATCAGTAATATTGAAAGAATGATGCAGCAGTCTCAAGAGAATAGTATGGTCAACAGTATCAAAAGCCGAGGAAAAGTCAAGAGCAAGAAGAAGAGTAAGATTACTATTGTCACTAGAGAGAAGGATATCATTGTGTATTTTGAGTAAAGAAGTTTCAGTACTGTGAGCAGGTCTTGTGTTCAGGTTGAAGGCGAGAATGAGATAGGAGGCTTCAATATTCAGATTGAATGTGTTTTGGCATCATTTCTTCAAAGAACATTTAACACTGTTAACGGTATTTCATTTTATCTCGAAACATCATTAAAAAATTTAGTATAATATAGTTGTAATATAATTACGACAACTACGGTCGACTTTCAGAATAATTTACATAAACAAAATGTACAATAGTATTAATAAATAATTTATTTAACAAATGCATTACTATACACTGTAATTTATTTGAACTCAATAAAAAAATGCAAGTACACAGTTCTCGATGGTAAAGTATAAAAACGCGTTCTTCATTTATTTAAGCTCCATTTTGCAGCAACTATTTTGATTAAGTGACATATCGACAATTGAAATTTTACACAGTAAAGTAGTAGAAGATTTTTAAAATTTTTAGAAAAATTGCAATAATAAAATTATTAAATACAAATAAGTAATAATATCTAAAAAAACAATATATACAACTAATAATAGCTAAACTATTTCAATTAAAATTATAAACGGTGTAGTTGTATGAGTAATTTTTTACATTTTTTAATATGCTGAGTAGCGGAGTTGTCTAAAAAGGTAGCGTGAATACGCCCATGTCGACTAATTAGCCATATTTGAGAAATTTCAAACACGATCAATAAATTAGTAAGAAAATTAACTCAAACAAGAAAGATTAATAAATATTCGTAAATTAATTATAAGAATTAAAATTTTCGGCACCAAGCGCAACTTCTTTCGAGAATTTTCAACGAATGAAATTTAAACTTTGAACTATTTTTTAACATAGCATCTTGTAGTGCAGATGAGTTGATCTCCGAATAATTATAATTTTTGCAATCATATTTTGACACCGCTATGATGGAAGCTACCCGGGTGATTGTTGTTGATGTTGCTGTTTGATGACGGTACAACTAAACATGACCCAAAACAAGCTCTCACCCTCGCGGAGTTCGCTCCAGGTAGTTCAAACAAGAAAGTAGCTACGCAGGCCACGTTGTTGTGGTTATATTCCATAGCTACGGGACAGACACGCAATTTTTTCAACTTCTTGGCACTATTTTGTTGCATCTGATGTAATTGCTGTTTGGATTTATTAACATCAGTTTCCAGGTTTGGTGCGGTTGCGCTGTCTTGTTTGTGTGTAGTGGTTACAATGGTCATCGGTGAATCGTGTGAAAAAAATTTACGAGAACCCTTTTGCAAGACGGTTGTAAGTGTGGCGGGAACTGAAACGTTGGACATCAATTGTTCAGATGACGACGACGTTGACCTTATTTCGGCTGTCGATGACGACGATGTTTCATCAAGCTCATCACCCATAACAACAATGATTCGAGCAGATGGCCTGGACGCCATATGTTCCATTTCCAGAAGGTTCTGGCTTCTTGTGGTATGGGCATCGTACATCTGCTTGGCTTTCCATAGCAATACACAGACAGCTAAGAAAAGAAAGAAACATGAAAAAAACACCGAGAAAAATACAAATAAATCAATGTGAGATGTGTCGTGACGAGTATAAACGCCCCCATAGGACGCTGGCTCGTTCCCAAGAATGACCATGTAAAACCGAGTAGCTTTCAATGGATATATATTGCTTGCTATCTGAACGACCAATCTATCTTTGACATTATCAACTATTAAGAATGAATCAGGTTGACTCAACGTCACATATGTTACATGTTTGTCGGCAGTTCGTTTTTCAAGGGTGTAATATTTATTGTTATTTACATTCTTTACAAAATTATATTTCAGTAGCTGCGGGTCTCTGACATTCAAAAGCAATGTTGCAGCCGTCTGCGAGGAAGTGGAGGCGGTTTTGGTTGTAGACGTTGTGGTAGCTCTAGTGCTGGAAATGATATCCAACCTGTTAGTAATTTTCGTAGTTGAAGATCTGGTGGATGTTGTTGTCAGTCTATTCGTCTTTTTAATTTGTTTCTTTTCGCTGCTCTGGTTGCTTTTATTCTGTTTTTTATTAGACTGCGCATGCAGCTTCTGCTTAGAATTTAATTTAATCTTAACCGACGAGGAACTATTGAAAGTTGGTGTCGTGTTGATTGAAGCTGGCGTAGCCGCTTTTCGTTTTCTGAGATTATTCTTTAACGTTACAACATTCGAAAAACTGAGTTCATAACTATCATCATCGGTGTCGTCAAAGTCATTGTGATATCTTTCATAATGATCAACATCGTCGTCATCTTCATCACTCTGATCACTATCATCAAGCTTGAGAGCTTCTTTCTGGCTACCTTCCTGACCAGCAGTCTGGTCATTGCTGTATCTAGTGTCATAGAGGCCATCATCACTCTCCTCGTCTTCTTCTTCATCACCATCATTTGCATTATTAATGTTATAACTTGAACCTCCATCACTGCCATTGTTATTTTTATGACTCCTGTCAGCAACATTATTTGACAAATCAACCAACTTATACTGAGGATCAATTTTAACGCTGTGAGCACCGGTGATAGGATCGACAAAGACTTGGAATGCGTTGTCAAACGGTGCCAAAAATACCTTCACGCCTAAAAGTAAATAATAGAATAAATTAAACCAACGGACAAATTTTAATTAGATATCATTAAGCAGAAATATTGAAACGGTAGAACTAAACGACAACCACAATAAAAATATCGCTGAAGTTTTAGCGCGATTAAGAGAATAGGTTGTATGATGAACTGACCTCCCTTGGTGACATCAACATAAACTCTTATGTTCACGTTGTTAGTTCGCGGTTGAATAGCAAAAAAGAGAGTTCTGAATTGAAGGAGTGGATTGGGCTCCTTCATGGGCATGCAGTTCATCTGACTGGTGGGATCAAAACAATATTGGCTATCTGTTGAGAAGTGTCTGTAACACTGGTGGTGGTTAGTCGGTGTGCCAAGGAAGTTGTCCATACATTGAGAACACTGAATTGAACCAGGAATACGCCACAATTAATTATTATTACAATTAATGTAATCGGAAAATACTACAAAATATTGAAACAAATATTCTGGACACGCTTTACAAAACCATAACACAACTCGCGATTATGAAAACTTGTACAAAATTGTTAGCGGGCAGAAACATGAATCTTTACATTTACATTATTACAAATTGAATGATAAACAAGTTGAAATAAACATTTTTTTGGCATCTACCTATCCCTAATCAACAATGCAGCAGTCATTAATCTTTAAAACATATTCACTGATCTGACTGATCACTATATGTTATAGTTTGTTATTTTTTCTATTCATTCAAAAAAATTCAACACTTCGATAACAATGAAAAGAAAGTTACTATTAACTTTCAGAAAAACTGAAAATTTTATTAAAATTCTAACAACATGGAACGATGAAAATATTAAACGAGCAATCTAAAACGCCATTTTAAAGGCTCAGTCTTTCGCAGGCAACATCTTTCATTCATCTCACATCAAAAACTGTAAGATTTAAAAAATTTGATCTTGAAAGCAAAACAGAACAAAGAGATGAAGTGACGAGAAGGCAATAGGTGGACGAGAGAAACATGGAAGAAAATAAACGAGCAAGTACAAAATGAAAAAGAGCAAGTAGAAACACATGGAAGCAGAAAGACAATGCAACGACTGGACCAACCTGTGCAAGGTAGCACTTCTCAGGGGGGTCAGATGAGCTGCATCGAGGAGATTTCGTGTTGTTGCGGCAATCACAACCATCTCCTTTTTCTGGCTCACAGAGGTCGCTGTGGCCATTGCACTGACATCTGCAAACAATAAATTACAACTGACAGAACACTCCGAAACTATCAATCAATCTTCGTTTTGCGTCCAGAGACCCGGTTTCCCGAGGTAGGACGTATACACTCCGAAACTGAAAAAGTGTATGAATCCACCAACAGGTCAGGCGAAAGAATAATTAGTTTCGTTTTCGTAAATTTTTAGTTCAATGCGAAGTTTTTTTATATTCTATAAAATGTAAGAGTTTCTTTTAAGTAACATGAAGTACATTTCCAAAACACGTCTACTTGTATTTTTTTAAAAAACAGAAACGTTTAGCATTTGATAACTGTAGCTAAATAACTAATAATTAACGTAATAATGATGCTTCAGAAATGATACAGAACATTGATTCCAACAGAACAATATAAAAAAACAAAATAAAAATAACTTAATGAGCAAATGACCATTAAGCAAACGAGCAATCAATCCAACAAACAGACAAACAAGTAAACAAACAAGCAATCAAGCAAACAAACAAACCATCAAGCAAACAAACAAACCATCAAGCAAACAAAAATCAAACAAACAAAAAGCCAACTTAGCTACCTGGTGCACGGTTCAGATCGTTGCTGGGTGGCTATCCTGAAGAATCCCACGGAGCACTTTTCACATCGGTCTCCATGAGTGTTATGCATGCAGTTCAAACATTTCGTGCTCTTCTCATCTGAAGACCCATTCTTCAACCAATTGGTTACCTTCAACGTAGATGCACACACACATTATTGAATAATAACGTTCTACATTATACAATTATAATGTACCATTCTCTAGCACACTGCATTGTATAAAGTAACAGTCATTTGAAATTCATCCGGCGATTTTATGAAGAAATGCACAAGGACCAGCGCCATAATAAAATTTTCACTTTGAATAAAAATGATAAGAGTCAGAAAACATTCTCAATAGAAACAGCGGACTTAATTGTGGCATCTAATTAAGCAATTAATATTATGATTCCTTCTTCCACTTTACTGACACAAATGCAATACAATACAATACAATACAACACAATACAATACAATACAACACAATACAATACAATACAACACAATACAATACAATACAATACAACACAATACAACACAATACAATACAACACAATACAACACAATACAATACAATACAATACAACACAATACAACACAATACAACACAATACAATACAATACAATACCAGACAATGGAAACATTATTTTATGAGATTAAAAAAGCAAAAATAGTGAAACAGACATTTTCATAGTCAAGGGCCAGTGCAGGATATTTGATGGTCTGGATGAAATCTTCTGACGACATGCAGACGCGCGAATGATTGTTACAGAACTCTTGACACGGCCTACATCTGCCGCCGTTGACCGGGTCACCAACATAGAGAGGCTTGCACTTGTTGCATGTCAGACCCTTAGTAGTTAGATTTACTTTAAATTTCTTTCTATCCTTTATAATGCAACTCTGTCAAACGCAGAACTGCTTACACGTTATTCTATACTTATAATTAAACTTTCGTGCCACAAAGTCTGTACACCATCCACACCACACCACACGACACACACACATACATTATGTATGCACGGGCAAGTATCATGGTCTTTGAGTAGTCTGACAGTATTCAAACCATTCCATCGCGTAACAAATAGTTTAAAAATGTGAAAGTTTTTAAAAGTAAAATACACAATATGTATATATATATATATATATATATATATATATATATATATATATATATATATATATATATATATATATAACTTTACTTATTATTTAGTTAGAAAATAGAAAATTCAACATAAAAACTTGAAAAAAAAGGAAAATCGTTTAAAAAAGTTGATGTCACTAGAGCCAAAGAACTCTAATGTTTATCACAACAACCAAATCAAAATGCACACAAGATTTGCATAAGAATAAAAAGAGCACAAAATGTGAAATAAAAATAAAGTCCAACGAACCATGGTGTTGTTGAGACACTGCATGCATTTGTTCAGTTCGGTTTCACTTTTACACTGGCTGTGTTTATTGCATTTACACTCGTAACTACAATTGAGACCAACATAGCCGAATAAACACTGGCAAACGTTTGGACGTACGCAGTTGCCGTGCACACATCCACCTGGACAGTACGGCACACAAGTGTTCAATCTGTTCGTTAATTATAATAGCAATGAAGATGTTACCAATTATTTTTTTTGTAATATCTCATTCATACTATTCGTTTAACATTGGAAGCAAATTTACACAAAACATTGTATGTCAGTTGGATCTTATGTACATTTTGATTTGTTCAGGACTTCATGCTTATTTTAATTTGTTGACAAGAAGTTCATCCAATCCATTTTTAAAAATAAAAAAACACCAACGACATTATCTATCACTATAATATCAAACAAAGAATTATTTTACAAGCGGAACTGTGAAATGTCGGAATGGTTTGAATGTGAATGCAAATGGTATGAATTAATTTAAATCAAAAATAGATGTTTTTTTTTGAAAAACCGGTTTTTAAGTAAGACTGGCAAACGGATTTTTGTTGATTGGTGGCTTAAATGTTGTTATTTTTTATATACAGTGAATTTTGGACCATTAAATTTAGTTTTCTCCCATTTTTTATTACATTTATGTTATATTATGTTATAGAACTAACTTATCATGGAAGATGTATCCATCCATGCAGGTACACTCAAAGCCAAGCAGCTTGTCCACACATCTTTGCGTCATATTGTTGCAGTTGTGGTGACCGTTGAGACACTCATTCTCCGGTGGACAGGAGAAGTAATGCCACTGCAGATGTTCACTCAATGTCGTCGATGTAGTTGTTGTTGAGCTTGCTGACTGTGCACCGCTCATGCTATTTTGCGTTAATGGGTAACCTAACGATGGTTTGTTTAAATTTGCTTCAAATATTTAACAAAAATTAATAATTGAAACATTACAAAGAATAATGAAATAATTGAAGAACTATAATAAAATTTAAATCGAAATATTATCAAAATGAACAAAACTAACCAACACTATCGTTAGCCTCATCACGAGGACAGGATTCTGAAGAGGAAGGCCCACCAAGACCCCCCTGTCTGCAGCAACCAGCCCCCGTGTACGACGACAACTTACTTGGCAGCCAACCACAGTGAGGATTCGACAAACAGGAATCACAGAGAGTGTTTTGAGAACATTCCGACGGACAGGTACTGCTGACATTTTGTAAGGAAACGTCGTTGCTGACGTAGTTTGTGGTCACCAGGGAGCCACACTGCCCGAAGGAGCACAGGATGTCGATCTGACTGGTCGGCATGCACTGCAAAGTCGGCGTCAACAATTTTTATGGATTCAGGAAAAAATAATTTAAAAATTTAAAAAAGATTACATCAGCCAACGCAGCAGCACGTATAATGGTAAAATGATGACGATATAGATAGCTAATAATAAAAATAACTGAACTAGCACCATTTTCCACAGCATGTGAATTCCAACAAATACATAATGGCATTTACACATTCCACAACGAAAACAATGAGAGGCAAATTTCTTAACTAATTTAATTTTGAAAATTTTAAACTATTCGCTCTTATAAATTGATGCCCCACTACATACACTCAATTAAAAACATCAAGTACTTCTCCACTATTCAATCCATGAAGCGTGCTTCAACTCTACCCAGTATTTTCTTTACGCGTTATTTATTATCAATCTCACCATCATCAACATGTAGGAATCAACACACCTACTTGTAACATTAACAAGATATCACTATTACAACTCAATCCAGTCATATTCTCTTCTCTGCAGTTCAAAAAACAAACAACGCCAACAGTAAATCCAAAAACAGTTAAAATTTAACAAATACATCGGCATTCCTTCATATTCAATAAAGTTATTGCTTTGAATGATGTACGTGACAGGAAGCAGCTTGGTTGTTAGGGAAGGTAGAGAACGAACCACATTGTTGAGGGTGTTCCAGGAACAGTTCTCCAGCACGCAATCTTTGCAGTTCCTCTGAGCATAACATCTTGAAAAACATTGCTGGGGACGTTGGTGGTTTTGATTATGATGTCGTTGTTGTTGTTGTTTGCCGTGCTGAGCTTGATTTGTGTTTAATTTCTTCCTTGCGCCAGAGAAGGGCGGTGATGATGGAGTTGTCTTCTGAGGTCTCCTGCTGCTGTACCTATCCACACATCTGTCCGCTGGGCAGCCTTCGGTAAATGTCGCACGTGAATAACGTTATGACGGATCATCGGATGTAATAACGAAAATAATCACAGTGAGAGTAATAATAATGATAACAACAACAACAACAGATGAACGAATGTTACAAACCACGAACAACAACAAATGAACGAATGTTACAAACACCGACCAGTGCTGTCATCTTGCTTGTCGGAAACCAGAGGATTACATTTGCTAGTGGCCCATCTACAATATTTATTGTGCATGCAATCCTCACAGTTCTCAATCCCACTGCAGTTATCACCATCATAATCATGATCCCCGTCGTCGTCATCATCATCATCGTCGCGTTCATCTGCATGGATGTTCCTGTAAGCATAGCACTCGGAAACATTCAAGAGTTTCAAGAACGGAAGTGAAGGAAATGGCGACAACGACGATGATGATGAAGAGGAGGAGGAGGAGGAGGAGGAGGAGGAGGAGGAGGAGGAGGATGGTGACGTCAAAGTTGATGAGGTGATGGTTGTTAATAGTGGCGGTCGTTTTGATGAGCAGGTTGACTGGCAATCGAATGACGACTCGATGCACTGCGAACAATTGTGGCACCAGGAACAATTCTATGGTTGTTTATTGTTTCAATGTAATCAACGCTGCCAACAATTTTCTCATTACAATGGTAATCAATGTTATTTTCCAATCAAATCATAATCCCTCTCAAGTTATGACTAACAATTCATTTACGTACATCATTATCTACAAGAATTTACACATGTTATGTCAATCTTGATGAAAACGTGTAGCATTGTCTATGGCTGAAGAACGCTTACTTACAAACTTTCAACCACCTTCAGGCTAGGATTAAAATACATCTAACAATGTCTAGTACAATTTAGGACAAATTTAACTTTCACCAGTAGCTATAATCAAAAACAGTTACAAGAAAATTATTTTGGAATCAATTTGTGATTAAAAAGTCATCAGAAGAAAGCAACAACCTCAATTGCAAGGACACAACTCTTGCATGACTTGTAGTCGGCACAGTTATGCTTGTCGAACTTCAATTTGTGACACTTCAAGTTGCTCATGTCAGGAATGACGTCATCAAACAACGAGAAGTAAGATGCAGAAGACGATGACGCTCTTAATTTTGTAGTTGAATATATGCATCTGGTGGATTGTTTATTTAAAAGAATGATTATTGCTTTTGAGCAGTAAAAAATTTGTTATAAAGTATATTAAACACTAACACCAAATTATAAATTGAACAAGTTCAAAAGTTCAAATTAATTTAATCAAGAAAACAATTTATTCATCCAAAATTTCCTATTTTTTCGTAAAACTTTGAACAATTTTTAAACAAATAAAAATCTTGTGTTCCTATTCATAATTCATCTGATTTAAATAATTTTTCCTTCACTTCCATTTATAGAAAAACGAGAAAATGTAGAATAAAAATTAGTAGAGACCAACTTGATGTTAGTGTCGGCATTAGCTAGATCATTCTCATCCGCATCTTCATCCTCATCTTCATCCTCATCTTCATCATCTCCACCACCCCTATCGCAACACACGCAGAGTTTGTCGGCGTCATTTAACTTATAGTTGAATATGCATCCGTTAACTTTGAGGCAGTCCTCTTCGCTGATGACCAGCTGGCAGTAGTTCGTAGGAACAACTAGCGACACCAAAACGCCAACGCTCTCATCTGCCTTGTACTTCCTCGCCAGACCGTAGACTGTGTTGCTCAGATGGACGGCCGTGAAGTGGCCCATTGAAAGAAACTGAGTGAATGCTGATGACGATGAAGAAGTAGATGATGTAAGTAATGATGACGACGACGACGATGATGATGACCGGGAGGAGGGAAAGGATCCACCAATCAGAAAGATGTAATCATCCAGCAAGATCATATCATGCCACTGCATGCTTAGGTCCTTATATATAATTTTTTTTTATTAAAACGGCATTATTTAAAATATAATTAATGGCACTGAAAATAATTGTGATTAAAGAGAAGAAAAAATAAAACCTGTATGCCATCTTCCTCGAACATCCACCACCTGAAGTTTCTATCATTATCCAGATCCACATCACCGTTGGAGCCGGCATGAACTTTTAATGCATGCAATCTATTGGACGTTGAAAAAGCAGAGCCGTTGAGCTGGTACCCCCCATGTACAAAAATGGTACGTTCCATTGAATGGTAAGCCGATGCATGGCCATATATTCCTGAGTGAAATGAAAATTTATCTGAGATTAAAAATAATTAATCACTAATTTTAGTAACAACAAAATAACTAAAAACAAACGAAACGCTTGGAATAAGAATTTCAAAAAATTAAAACAAAAACACCTTTGACTCCATAGCCCAGATGTTGAACACCCCTGAAATGAGATCGACCAATTTCATAAGTATACACAATGTATTCACTGACGGGCACACCCCCGATGACGACGATGACGTCATCATTTATCGACGTCATCGTGTGCCCCGCCAGATGGGGCAGTGACAGCAAGGGCGATGACGTAGGCAGCTGGAAAGTGCAACAACAGGAGAATATTAAGTCATTACAACCAATAAACAGGTCCGTGTTACATTTTTTTCACTCAAACCATCATTATTAATATTTTTAATAAAAAAAAGATTTTGTCAGAATAAATAAATTGAGATCATTATCCGATAGTAACTAACCTTTATCAAGCTCCATAGTTTCGTATGCAGGTCAAATTCCCACAGCTGATTGGAATAGATGGATTGCTCACTGTTCCAGTCGGTGCTTGCTCGGTCGTCATCAACATCATCTGCAGGGCCGCCCAGCACACCTCCATACAGGTACAACTTGCCATCGATGCATACCATCGCATGCATATATCTGACGTTGTATCATTTTTTATCTTTTGAATTCGTGACAAAAATTTAAAAAAATAATTTGCAGAAACGTCATATGTTCATTTATTGTTGATAATAATGTCAGCATTCAAAAATTAGCTAATATAAATAACGTGGCAACGGCAAAAAAACCTGGCAGGTGGTCTGGTGGAACATTCCACATCAAGCAGTAGCCAGTTGGCTTCAGCGTCCTCACTTGGATGAACTTTGCGAGCATTTATTTCGTAGAACCACAAGTCATTCAACACTTTCTCATTGGTTCTGCCTCCAAATAAATACAATCCATTCACACCGGTCGTTCCATTATCGTCACTGCTGTCGTTACTACAACCACAATACGTCAGTGAATATGCCTGCAGATTCCTGGTTGATATAAGCAAATCATATTTTAAGATTAATTCCTATTTCTAGCTCTTACAGAAAATAATATCACTCAAGCAAAAATGTTACATGCTCACATCAAGACATGACAATCAAGTCGTAGCAGCATTATATGAAAGGAAAAATGACAATCCAGACCGAAACTTGAATGAACATTATTAAGATATGCAGCATCCTAGATATTATATAGGGCGTGGCTTGTATTATATATTTATGTTGTAAATACTGTATTTAAGATACTTAAAACTCACTTTAATTCCTCTGGAAGACAACTAATTGTGTTAATAGAAAATGAAGATGGCGATGAATAAGTTGATGATGAAGGTGATGAGGAAGATGATGAGGAAGACGATGAGGAAGATGATGAGGAAGATGATGAGGAAGATGATGAGAGGGATGAGGAAGGTGGTGATGAAGATGATGGTGATGACAATAAGGAAGAATGAAAAAATGATGACGGAGGCGTTGTTGGCAGCATCAACGATGACAAAGACTTGTTCAATTCATCCTGACAAACTGTTATATCAGCAACCTATAAATAAAAAAAAGCATCAATTTTTATTTTACCATATTTACAATTTACCATTATTTTTCATTTACCTAACTTTTAATATAAAAATCAAAAAAGCTAAAAATTAATAAAAAGAAAAAATAGTAAAGAAATGACGTGAACTAACTGCATGTTGATAAGGCAACACTTGAAAACTTGCGTTGAAACCAACGGAGAAGGATGGCGTGGGACCAGTGAAGGAGGAGGAGAGAGCTGACGTCGTCAAAACTGATTTGTCATTGTACGTTAATTAACAATAACCAATGAGTGAGAACATACACCCATATCACTCACACACGCACACAATTTAAACGAAATGAACAAGACTTTTTAAGATAAAAAAGCATCTTGTATTAAGATCAAACGTCAAAGTTTTATTGCCATCATCATCTTCATCTTCATCTTCATCATCACCATCAACATTCTAATCATTTATAGTAGTCACTATCGTGACCCTCATTATTATCATAATAATATTCATGATTGGCAGCATTTTGAAATAGCAGTTCAGCAGTTTGGAGCTGACCTCCGTTAGCATGGAAGGACTCGTAGAAGATGACCAAGTACTCGGAATATATATAATACTTTGCTGGTGATGTTATCATGTTATCACATATTGATGCTATCAATTTGGCTGAAGATGATGATGAAGAAGGAAACGAAGGTGATGGTGACGACGACGACGATGAACAAGTGGCTGACGATGGTAATAGAAATTGTTCCGGTATGCCATCATAAATGTAAAGAAAATCCTGTCAGAACAATTGAGAAAGAAATTAAATTAAACTATTCAAGCTGAATATCGAATTGAAATTGGTCACCAACCAGTACAAAAGATGACATCAACTAATGATCAAATGCAGAACAAATGAACAACAACCGAACCTTGTAACAAAGTATGTTCTTTATGTCAATTGTCAGTTCAATAACTTTTCTTTGGTCTTTAACAGAAAAGAACGATGACGACGACGATGTTTTATTCAATAAAGATGATAGTGATGTTGAGTTATGTGGCGTAATTATGGCGACACAGAAGACGTGCTGTGGCTTTTGAAGTTGTGAAAGTTGCTGCTGTCCGAGCATGCGGCCGAGACCACCGGAAGTCGCATTGGTGATGATCAATTTGTTCTCGCAGCTCTGATAACAACGACCTCCATTCCTACGGAATGAGTAGGCGTACCTCATCATCATCATCACTATTGACGTCACATCATCACGTCGTTTTCATCATCACCCTTTTTGTGGATACATATACACCACCACCACCACCACCACCACCACCACCACCACCACCATCGTCGTCATCATAATTATGATACGTCGCAAAAAATTGACATCACCTACCAGCAACCACCACCAACAGGAATAGAAATAATAAGGATAAAAAAAATTAGGCACAAAAAATAATGTTACCACACAAACATCATTATCATTATCATCAACAACAACAATGTTCATCATCATCATCAACTTCATATTCTTACAGCAACAGTCCAAATCCAACCATTCATGCCTTGAGACAGAATGAAAATTATTCAACATTAATTGCACAATCACACACAAACAAACAAACACACACACAAATATACACACACACACAAACAAACACACACACACACACACACAATACACGCACTCATACCTGGGATCTCCGTAGAAGCCAGAGAGACAGGCAGCACAATGTTTACCAGTAGTGTGGTGTGTGCAGTAACACTCACCACTTGTGCTGTTGCATGTTCCTTCGTCCATGTCTCCATGCATGTTGCACTGGCATTCCACGCAGCCTACATTATGAAAATGGTGGGAAAATGACAAAAATCAAGTTGGAAAGCCAGCTGTAGCTCAAATGTCTCAAGTCATGTCACTTGGTACAAATGTTCTCTGTGCCTAACTAATGACTATCATATACTTTATGTGTATTATGCAGTACCTCTTCACAAGTGCAAAATAAAACACACAAATGAGTATGTATATGTATGTCGTGTGGATGTTACAGTCTTTGTGGCACAAAATTTTAAATTGCAAGTAAGGGATGGTTTGTAGGCAGTTATGAGCGACTACTAACTAACCTTGAGACGACATAACGTCTCCAAAGTAACCAGGCAGGCAGAGCTCGCAATAAGACCCGATGGTATTGTGTTGGCAAGCGTCACAAACACCAACACCTCCTTCGAGGCATGTACTGTGTTTGTTGCACAGGCAATCAACATCACATTGTGGGCCCGTCCAGCCGAGGTCACAGACGCACGTGAATGTTGCCGACGAGCAAGCGCCATGCACACAGGCTTCCATACATCTGCGAGTACGATGATCAGTCAGATGTTAAAAACGATTGCCTTGTATGGGTTGGTGGTGTTGTGACTGTGATGGTGATGTTGGTGATGCTGCCTGATGCTGAATGATGTTTTTCCGCCAAGAAAATCTTCAACATTAAAATTATTAATAGAATTCACAAAAATATATGATTGGAAATGTTCATGTCGTCATTAGCATGAAGCAGTATGAAGAGCAACATTAAAAATTTTAAATTTAAGTTGCCAACAAATAAATTATTATACCTTCTGATTCTAAATATTATTTTAAAAATAATTGAAAATCAATTAAAAGTAGAAAAGAAAAAAATTGCCTCAACAAAAGCAATAAGGGCGAAATTAAAATACGCAACTAATGAAAGTAAGAAATAGATACATATATTACATGGTAGAAATTATTCCACATAATATTTTTAAGTGCGAAATTATGATTTAAATTTGAAAAAGGCAACTGTAAAGCAATAAATAATTAAAAACAGTAAAAAAAATAAACACAATAAGCCATCGTCTCACAACGCAACAAATAAAATTTTGCCAGAGTACGTGGTGTTAAATAAGTGACAGTTTGAAGCAGCAGGTTAGCTTACGTTCTGCTGCAGTTCAACATGCCATCTCCCTTGAAGCCCTTATTGCAGGTGCACCTGTACGAGCCGTACGTGTTGATGCAAGATGCATTCTCGTGGCAGGAGTGCGTGTTCAATTCGCACTCGTCAACATCCAGACAAACGGAATATGACCATGTTGACGTCAAAGAAGATGGCGATGAAGATGTAGATGGTGAAGATGTAGATGGTGATGAAGATGTAGATGGTGATGATGAAAATGGTGATGATGGGGAGGACGATGATGGAGACGGCGTCGAAGAAGAGGACGTGATAAAGACAGATGGACGTGAAGCATTCATGACAACTTGGCTGAGAAGGTTTGTGTCGCACGTGGCGTAATAAGGTCCTGACGAAGTGCGGTGTACATTCAATGCATCTAGGTTATACTTTATTATTAATACAATACTAAGGAGGATAATCAGAGAATATTTAAATATTTGACGGTTTAAATGCTAATTGAAGTTCACAACCACAAACCAGAAGCTGATTTGTAGCTTCAATTGAAATATAGAAAATACCTCCATATTTAATTTTATTATTTGAATCAATGCACCTAAGTAAAATTTTCTTTCTATATTGTGACATTCTGAGAAATCATAAATAATGGGAAATAATGATTAAAAATAAAAGCAATCTGATTGAAATTGGTTAATAAACAGGATGAAACCTGAAAAATCCCCATCGAGACACAAGCCAACGTTGAAGTTCTTGGTGAGGCCACACCATCCACACCACCTCTCCTGCAGACAAGACGAACAGTTGGTTAGACTGCCACACGGTGGCCTGCTCACACGAGAGTCGATGCCCATCCAGATCCGACAACCGACGTACAGGAAGCTGGGAATGTACTCGGCGAACCGGAAGCATCGGTTGGTACTCTCGCACCAGACGCACTCGTTGTCGTCCCGCAGACAGGATTCAACAGTTGTGTGGCTACAGGAAGGAAAATATTGTTAGTCGTGCGTTGTCAAGTCACAGTGCTGAGATTCGCAGTGTAACATTTTAAACATTAAACAGACAACTGAACATTTTTATATTAAACTAGTTAATTGTCAACAAATTGAATTCAAATATAAAGTACTGCACGAAAAAACTGAAAAAAGAAGTAAATAAAGGTACAGGTAGCAAGGAGATGGACATGAGTTTTCATCAACAACTGCATTGTCATAGATTCCCCTTCTACCACAACTTGCCTCTTTCACAATCCACTCACACGATGCATCCTGTGAGGTCATCAGATAAGTTCAATGACTGAATGTATGTAACGAGTCGTGAAGGGTTGTGATTGTTCGTTTGGATGACGACTGATTAATGTGTTTAAATAAATGGCGGATATGACAGGTTGGCGCAATTAAATGGAAGATGAATAATTTATGTCAACAATCGATATGGTTAAAGAGGTTGAATAAATATTTTAAAAGATCGTAAAAACAGCTCACCTCCACGCACGTGTAACATTCCGTTAAATGATTACACGCCAGACACTGGTTAACATCAATGACAAGCAAAGATGCTGCTGCTGCTGATGGTGACGATGATGAGTTCGAGGAGACATAGCAATCATGAGTTGGATGATCGACAACGCTGCGACGTGGCACGCACCTTCCGGCACACCAGCCACATAGATGATCAGTCAGACAGGAGAGGCAGCTGATCTGTTCACCGCAACCCTCTCCACCCGTACTGTGGTACAACTCCAAATAGTCTGGTTGGATCACCTGTTAACAGTTCGGTGTCGTTGGCTCAGTCGAATGTCGTCAGCATATGTCAACAATGCAAATATTAAACGTAATTGCAAAAATAAAACACAATTGCAAAAACCTGTACAATTTTTTGCAAAAAAAATTAAATGGTTTAAAAACATAATTATTAAAAAATTTCGTTACAAGATTAAAAAAAAAAGCCAAGAAATAAAATAAACAGAAATAGAAGCAAAAAACATGCCATTGCAGCAGCATCCCTTCCACACATACCTCATTCCTCCTCGGCAGGTTGTTGGTGATGTTCCATTTTATGGAGACGGTCGCACCAGCACTGGGACTCCTGATGTTGTTGTCCATCTTGTTGATGTCAATCTCGACGAGGTACTTGGTGTCCTTGAGGGCACTCGGAGTGGGGACTGGAATGTTCACGGATTTGTACACTGTCTGGTTGATCTCTGCTACTTTCGTCTGGTGGCAGAAAGTTGAGAATAAAAATTTTCTGTTTAATGGTTGACGATAATTTTTATGGAATTGGAAAGGAAAAAATAGGACTGGCGAGTTCTTTAGCATAATTTTTGACTGGCTTCACATTCAAAAATTGAAAATTTTCATTGCATCATTTGATTGTAAATTATTTTCAGTACCAACAATCTGTAGACAAAGAGTGTTTAAAAAATAGCATTCAACTAGCTTGGCCTCTAACATTAATACGAATTAATTTTTTTTAAAGTGATTGCAAATAAGGTTTTAGTGAGATGAGGGTAAAAAAAGGATTGAGTAAAAGATAAAGATAAACAGAGCTGTAAATAACCAACTTTTGTCTTTGGAACTAGGCCATCAACTACTTCATTCATATACATAATCAGTGGAACATTAGTAGCATAGACAGACAACATTATCGGTTGCTGAATTTTTGAAAAGGGCGGATGTATGAACCCTCTGAGTACCCCTCTGGCCAATGAAGATGATTCTTGTTCTGTCACCACTTCAAACTTAAACTGGCATGTAGAACCATTCAATATGGACACCTGGACACAATTGTAATAAATTATTTCTCTTTGGCGATATATGAATAAGCTGCTGAACTTAACAAAGTTTTAATCCCATCTGTTGTTACATTTTTCTGAACTAAATATCATCAAATCTGCTATTAAATAATAACCAAGCCAACTCTGGAAAGTAAATAAAATGAATAATTAACAAAAGAAATGAAAAAGAAATAAATGACCTGGTCTGGTATGAGAGAATTGGGCGGGTGGTTGTACTTGATCCAGTTGAGACCTCGTTTCTTGTTGTGCAGGAGACATTCGTCTTCAGTGGTGAGGTTGGTGCGAGCGTCAGCCTGCCAACTGTTAGCAGAGCGAGTGCTGCATGTTGATCCTAGTGTGCAATGCAGAGAAATGTTACTCTATAGTTAACCAGTAAAAACTTATCCAATTTAATTACTTCAAAAATTTTAAAAACCAAAAATTTGTTTATGATAAAACAATAAATGAGTAAAACAAAATTCCTCTACAGCTATGTCAATATTGCGAAAATAACATGTTAGATGATTATTATCAAATAAACAAGCCACCGACAAAATCTGATAAGATGATGATAATGATAGAGCGACATTCACGAGATAGAACAAAAAACTAACCATTGCTGACGCACAGAGAATCATCAACACACCACACGCATGAGCCATCAGTCCTCCCACTCAAATCATTTCTCCGTGCACTACTTCCAACCTTCGTGCAGGCCTGGCAACTGGTTAGCAGTGGACAAATGCCTGGACATGGAGGACGCTCAACTGTTCTCGACTTGCAGTGCTGGTGGTTTAAATGACGAAATAAATGCAACACAGTGCTCAACGATAAGTCAATGAATAAATTAAAAGTATAAAAATGAATAGAAACTATTTAAAAATGCTAATGATAAACCCAAATATCTATTGAGAAAGTAAGAAACAAAGCACACACTTCAGAAGATTTGACATGGAGACATTGGAAATGATTACCAACAGGGTCTTCATCCTCATCCTCCTCCTCCTCTTCAAAATTTGAGCCCATTGCATCATCATCAACCAGCAAGCACCACAAGCAGTTCATGAAAGACAAACAGGAAGTTTTTGTGAGGTACCTCGAACACTCGTCAACCACCTCTGATGGAGTTGTTAGAAGAGCAGTTCCATCAGGAGCAGATGAGTTCTTTGAAGAAAAAAAATACACATTTCAACAATCTCATTCATTCAAACCTTTTTACTTGTTAAGAATACTCATTTAAATTTTAAACAAAAAAATACAATGAAAATTTTTTAAATATAATCTAATTTAGCAATGCTGTTCTTAAACAAAGTTCTTAAACAAAATAACATGTTTAAAGCTTTGGACGGAAAACAATGAAATGAATCCTGAATAAAAAGTTAAAAATAATAACTGCAAACCAACTTGAAGAGTGTCGTCAAATTGAGAGTTGGCATGGCTGGCAAACATAGTTGGAGGCATGACATACGCATACACAGAATCCTCCAATGTTCCTCTGAATCCACCAACTACCATGATGACATCATCAATGACTGCCAGAGCGTGAGAGCACCTCCTTGTCATCGAACCTGATGCATTGGCCACATCTACAACAATGAAAAATAATAGGACAGCTGATACTCCACGGCAATTAATACACTTTACATCAGAAAAGTATTAGTAATTTATTTAAACATGGTTAAATAAATGTGGATGGCGTCGAGGGGTATTTCGGTTTCATCATAGGTAGTCAAACGGCAACCCCCGATCTCGGAGAAAATGCCGTCTAAACGTGTGTTGTTGTTAAACATGGTTAATATATTAGCAGGAGTGTCATTTGATTGTTAGCAAAACATTCCATTGAAAGGAATTAAAAATATATTGTAACAATTGGCAATAAATAGCTTGAAATACAAAAAAAGGCTTTCAACCAGTAAGCGAAGAAAATCAGAAGCACAAGGAACAAACTTTCGTTGAGAGGCTGTCTGCTGGTCCACTTCCAGCAATCCAGGTGTAAGAAGTAGATGGCGTCATCGAAACACTGTTCGACCACTTGATGCTGATGAATGTTGCCACCAACCACCACCATGTACCGGTCAACGATCACTGACCTGTGGTATGCTCGAACGCTTGGAGCATCCAGCGTTGAATTCAAATCCATCCACATGTTTTCATCTACTTTGTATACGACAATGTTCGAAACTCTTTTTGTAAACCGGGAATTGTCATCAGTTAAGCCACCGAAAATAACGAGAAACCTAGAAACTGGGTCATATACCATAGAGTGACCTACTAATCTGTGATTGGCTAGGATGCCTCCTCTGGCTGGCAATTTTTCCCATTTTAAAACAGGAAATTTGTTGCTTTTATTACGAAACCATTGCACTATAGAAGAAACATCATACCTCCAAACATCAGACAACACCGATCCTTTATTGGATTTACCACCATGAACGTAAATGTATTTGTCATTCACAATAACCATGGCATGACCAAATAATGGTGGAGGTTTTTCAAATGGTTCATTGATGAAATGTACCTCAGTCCATTTGTGGTCGAGCACATCAAACACCCACATATCATTCAAACAGTCGTGAGAGTTAATGGCACCTCCAAAGATAATGAAGAACCGACCTGCCAGTAAGGACATCGTGTGATCAAATCGACCTGCTGGCCATGAAATTGCATTTGCTGCTGATGATGATGGTAGTGATGAGGATGATGAAGATGATGATGGTTGTGGTGATGATGAAGATGAGGAATTGATATCCAAATCATTTTCTATCTTCCTCCAGGAATTAGTGTTAAGATCATAAATAATCAACTCATTAGATGCTGCTATAAAGTCGAATCCTCCAAATAGGAAGAGCTGCTCCAATAAAGGTACATAAACACTTGTGTGACCAGATCTTTTGACATAATCACTCCTACTAAACAAACTCCAACCCAACAATGGAGACGATGAAGATGAGGATGTTAATGGCGAATATGAAGGTATATGAACTCCACAATCATCTCCATGCCATCCAGGTGAGCATCTTCATGTTTAAAATCAATTATACTATTTAGTTAAAATAATAATCGCTACATCATAACCACCAATAAAATTTATACATTGAGCAGGTTCTTAAGCTTTCAACACAATTTCTTTTCAATCATTTCTTAATCATCTTTAGTTCACTTAACTGGACACAAATCAAATTAATCAACAATTAACCATCCTATATAACACAGATGAAACTTTAATTTTGATTGAGTGATTGAAGAAAAATATACCTTCTCCTAAGCATATGCCGAACTCATTGTTAGAGACCACTCAAATCAACACAACAAATCCATTTCTCTTTCGTACTGCTTTCTTTTTGTTAGCTTTCTTCATATAATGAACAAAGCATCATCGATGAATAATTTGCACCTAATCATAACCAATTAAGCCTGCTTTTATAATATTAAATAGTACTTTTTTTTCTTGAACACACTCCCCACAGTTATAACCATTCAGAATAAAATTACTGGCACAGTACTGGCCATCATAATCTTAATAACTGGCCCCATCATCTCAGCAGCTTCAATGCTAAGCAGAGAAGCACCACATGCTTACTAAACTGGACATAAACCTTTTTTTTCTTCTATTCATATTTTTTCACTGATGTTCAAGCCACTTAAAGGTTATGTTATCAACAAAAATCTATTCCACTAACAAATTTCCAGGTTATCTCATCCTCAAATTTACATTAATGTCTAGCTGAATAAAAACTAACCGGCAGCCATCTTCAGTGCAGAAACCTTTATGAGCACTCTGGCCACACATGTTTGGACAGAGGGGTAGTTGGCAGGCATAACCTTTGAAGCCCTGCTGACACCTACATGCACCTGTCTGTTCATCACATAAACCAGAGTTGGAACAATTGAATGGACAACGAGTGACATGGTACACTGCTTTGAAGCCTTCAAGTCCGTAGTTTGTATCACTCAAGAAAAATATCAGCATCTGAAAAGAAATTTTTTAAAAGGATAAAGGTAACATTTCTACATGTCTCATGCACAACTAAATGTTTCAATGAAAAAAATAAAAGTTGATGCTTACATATCCAGATCTGGCAATGATTGGACTTGGAGAGATGACTCCACTCAGTGTGGCTATGACAGGTGAATTGTAAGAGTTGCCATCGTATACCATCAGGTAGTCATATATGCATTCTGTTGACATCAGAGAGAACTCAAGCATGATGTAGTGCTCAGGTTTAGCTTGAAATCAATAAAAAAAACTTTAGTCAACAATGAACAGTTCAGAGAAACATTACAAACATGAAAATTTTAAATGTTAAAAAGAACAAGTGTGTTGGATTGCCACTGCATTCATTCATGAAATTTTCAACCAAAAACTTATTCATATTCTATGAATATTCATATTCAGGTCTATAAAATGTAGTAGTTAAGAGCAATAAATCTAACAAAGGCAAGGTATTACCAAAATTAGTAAGTTGAGTTATGATAAATTAGATTGTACTAGTGAACTGGAAAATAGGGGTTTTCTATCATTTATTTTATATGTAATACTAAAAATAATATATAAAAGCAGTGTTTGTTTAAAACATTTTTGCTCAAATTTTACATTAGTGATTAGTAATTAGTTATACTCATTTGTGGTTTGTGTTATGTTATTGAAACTGACCAATGATTAGCCACTCGCATCGCATGTTTTGTTTATAATCTCCGGCCCCATCAGACACAACTCCTGATGTTGCATTCAAGACATGTCGCCCACTGCATGATGAGGATGAGTTGCCAACCTGCTCTTCCAGATGCACACATCCAATTAGCAGTGTGAAAATTATTATTAAATACAGGATAACGCTCGTTTTTTTACTTTTTATTACAGATAGAATGTTTGTCAAATATTTCATCGCTTTGAGATACAATCATACATTTTTATATCATTTATAATTTATTTAATTAAAACTTTTCAATTTTAAATTTAAAAATAAACATTAATTTAATTTTTAATATATTAATTTATGTTTTAATCTAATAATTACATAGAAGAAAGACAAACACCAAACTCTCAAACAGTTTATTGATTATTGTCTGTGAACATCAGCGCCATTGAATAATTCATTTATTTATTAATTTAATGTTTTAATAAGATTAAAATTGCTAAAAAACTAGTAAATTAAAAGTTGAAAATTAATTACAAATATTTTTTCTATTTTATTTATTTCAAAGTTTCAAAAAAAAGTAATAATATACTACTTAAAGTATAGTAGTAGAAGACTAGAAGACCAACATAAAATGAATATCAGCATATTAAAACAATGTGCACTACGTAAAAATTTTGAAGCGACAAAATCAAAAATCATTCCTAATATAAAACAGCAGAAAATAAAATTAATCAGAACTGATCAATTCCAATAGGCGTTATTAATTCGTCTTTGCTTAATTGGGAATATTATGATTAAAAGTAAATAATTAAAAGATTTCATTGAATGGTAGGGCGGTGCTGTCTTATTTAACTGATTGTGAAGCGTTCATTTCCTAAACATCCCAAAATGCCAACATCAATCCAATGTATCGATGTAATATTTTTTACTTTCTTTAATGAGTGGATGTTTTTTGGTTAATTTTAGCACGTTTATTTAAAATCTGTAAGCCTTTTGTTTTTTATCACATCAAGTTTTCGAGAAAACCTCAATTGAAGTTTTATTAACCTTTATCACTCATCGGTTATCGCAATCAGTTACACTCATTATTTGGTCATTAAATACTAAAAAAATTTTATTAGACAAGAAATGTCATTTTATTGCAAATGAGTAGCAAATAATATTTTAAAATGTTGTCTTTGCTCGTTAAAATAAAACTTGTTGATTGAACTCGCATATAAAGTATGTAGAAGAGGCTCAAGTGCTTTGCAAGCAGACTTTTGACAGTGTTTAACTTCTTGGACATCACAGACGTTGCAGCAACTAGCAGTAATCTGCAAACACAGCCTACTCCACCGTCTCCTGTAGCGTGATTTCATTAAAGCGATTTCCTGGTTACATGCTTTCCAGGTTCATCACTGACTGCCGAGACATTCAAGGAGAAGTCAAAAAGTGAATAAAAAAGATCAATTTTAAGGAGAATGTTAAATATCATATTATCGAAGGCGTGGGAAGGCATGTTGAACAACATTTTGTAGTTACTATACTTATTATTTCACAAAAATTGGCGAGAAGAAATTTTAGCTCTACCCATGCCCCAAGGTCTTTTTCGTTAAGTAGGTCTTGAAAACGTTTATCACTCATTACTTTTCGGATCAGAGAGCAAAGAGACATATCTTTTTTTATTTTACCATCACTGATTTGCAGAAACATGGAAAAAAGATGTGTAGAGATATCATTCATCTTATCCAACATTTTCACAAAATTTACTCTACTTGATTTGTAACATTGGTAATAAGATGTTTTTTTGAGAACCAGGCGACTTATGCAAAACATATTTTTGATTAGGTTCAATGCAGTACCTAATGGGCCAAACCTTTTTTAACAGTTTGAGCATCTCTATCCTGACTATTCCATTCGCAGAGGAAACAGCATAACTTTGTGTCACAGACTTGTAGACTTTGCAATTCGCTGCAATTGGTTTGTCTATTATCTGTTCTGCAACATTTCAAAACCGATAAACGTAAAAAAACCAAAATGCTCTGAATGTTTTTTAATTTCTTCTCGGCGTGATTTCATTTCATATCCGGTCAAGAGCTGAATCAAAGTCGATAACTGAATAACCATATTTTTATCGTTCCTAAAAACTTTTTTTAATGCAACGTTGTAAGAGTACATACAACTTAAATCCCTCGTAAATTATATAAATTAAAATGTAGAAACCAGCTCGGGGCATGTAATAAATAAACGAACTTAATAAAAACTCATTTATGCCATTTTTTTTTCATTTTTCGTCAGTTGGTTTTACATTCTACTTCTCTTTATGTGTGGATGTATGTTATAGAGGAGTGAACCACTGACTGAGTAGGCAAGTTCAGTCAGTTAGTGCTCAATCAACCAATGTCAGTATTAATCAACCAAATCAACCAACCTACCAATCAGCCGATCAATCAACGATTATAAATCAATGAAACATTCTTTCAGGGTTCAGTTACATTTCCAACAGAGTCGTTACATAATTTTTCTCAATTGTTTTTAATATTTTTGTTTTATCAATGCACGTTGAAATTTTTAAATTAAATAATAATCTAAATTTTCATTTTCCTAAAATTAAATTTAAACTATTCAAAATACATAATTTTATGACAATAATGAAAATTTGTCGTCAATAAATCATTGGAAGCTTTTAAACATTATAGAGATGACATGATGAAAAGCCACTCACACACGTTGTGCACGAGGGCTTGAATTTCAACGTTCAGCTTCTCCCGTTCATTTATCATTCGCCATCAGACTCACATACATCAGGCGTGCATGTTGACTATTCTTCATTCAAATACGATTCAAAATGCATGAAAATAAATTAGCATGCACGTAATATGTGTTTGTGTGTGCGCGTGTGTGTGTGCGTGTTTGTTTGTTTGTGTGTGTGTTTGTTTGTGTGTGTTTGTGTGTGTGTTTGTGTGTGTGTCATGTATCGAACGGTAAATAATTACAGTTCTAGAAAGGGATCGCAGAAAATGGATACAAAATATCCAATATCCGGCAGTTGGTGTGGAAATCTTGCTTGAATTACAAATTTAGTTAAGGATGAATTCTGCAAAAAAATCGATCAACGTTTTTAGAAAAGGACTCGCTCAGTGTGAAATGTTGTTACGGAATCGAATCGAGTGCAATTACACAAGCAGCGTTTACTCACACTCTGAAAGTTCATGCAACGCTGTACTGAGGAACATCTAAGACAAAGTACAGAGAGAAGAGGAGAGGAGTGATAAATAAATTAAGCAACAGATTAAGGTGGCAATGATGATAAATAAATTAGGGTTATCAGATTTATCATTCAGCAGAATGCTCGTTCAAAAGGTTTGTGAGTACAGTCATACAGTCATTTGTTCGTGAGGATCTTCTCTCTCTCTCTCTCTCTCTCTCTCTCTCTCTCTCTCTCTCTCTCTCTCTCTATCTATCTCTTTTAAGGATGACGTTTTAAATGATGTCGTTTTTCCACAACGAATATAATTAATAGCTAGTTTGTAACGAGGATAACGATGATGATGATGACGGTGATGAAATTGGAGATGAATATGATGATGGTTATGATGAAGATTAGTTTTGTTACATAGTGATGACGAGGAGGAGGAGGAGGAGTATAAAGAGGAGGAAAACAGGATGAGGAGGAAGATGATGAAGATGAAAGTAACAATGCTGTTTTTGGAAATAGCAACGTTGATGAAGATGATGCGTGTTGGTTTAATGATTAAGATGACTGGTTCGAACGTAAAGAAATTCCCGCCTATCACATGCGGCAAAAGTGTGTGGTGCATTCATTGACGTGTATTTATATACTGTGTGTTTGTTGTAATAATAATAATGCGACTCAATTGCTTGCCACGGCACTCCATAAAATGACATTATTATTATGAAGATGATAATGATGATGCAATACCTTGTTCGTTATCATTAACCTCACGAACATATAACATACAAACAACATTCATTCAAACAAACATTTTTTTCCTTCTTTACAATGCTATGCAGTTCTAACTGACGCAAAGTTGCTTTCTTACCTACAATGGAACTTTTGTATCCGGCATGTAGGCGCAAGCACCACCTCGTTTAGTGATGGCGTCTGATGGTCATTTGGTTTTGGAGGGATGGCAACCCCACTCGAGCCAGGTCATCGTACAACAACAACTACATCGTCGTACAATAACTACATCGTACAACAACTACATCGTACAACAACACACACAAATTCACAAACAACAAAAGTTTTTTTTCTTAACGACAAAGTTGTTTCTAAAAACTAATATCCAATTTTCAGCAAAAAGCGGTCACGTTCAGGATGGCGCGGGCGATGTTGAACATCAGCCAGCGTTGACGAGATGGACCACGTAAGATGGCGGATGATGATTGTAAAAAATCGATGGATTCATTTTTGGACTTTAACTAATGGTGACAATATGATGACTGACTCTTAATTGATGAATGATAATGATAGCGAAAATTTTAACAATGATGGTGATGGGGACAATGATGATGATTATGATTATGAGGATGTTGGTGATGATGATAATGGTGGCTATGATGACGAAGATGATGATGACGATGATGACGACGACGACGATGATGATGATGGAAATCTCTGTTACACGATCTATTGATAAGCTTCGCTGAAGAATGATGTACAGAAGATGTTGGCCATCTTTGACTGATGACGATGATGATGGTGGTGAGGATGATAGTGATGATGGTGGTGATTATGGCGATGGTGAAGATGATGATGAAAAATATGAAGATGAAAACGACGACGACTATGACGGAAAGATACAAGGAGATGTAAGATTAGACCATTGGAAAGCGTCATCTGTCATTTCTCCATTATTTTTCAAAATGAAAATCATTAGCCTCGTTGATAGCTGCTCCAGAGATATGGAGGCTGTGTTGTTTGTGGCGATGGTGAGGATGACAACGAAGATGAGGATGTTGATGATAATGATCCTAATTATGGTGGTGATGATTATAATGATTGGCGTGACGATGATAAGCGTGATGATAGCGACGACAGGGGTGATGATGATAGGTGTGATGATGATGATGATAATGATAGGTGTGATGATGATGATGGTGATGATGATGATAATGATGTTGGTTGTAATGATGAAAGTGACAAGACGATGTTTGTTATGATGGTCAGAATAAAACAAACAAAAAGATGGCAGTAATGATTGTGATAACGAAAATGCAGTTTTAGATGGTAGTTAGTGATCGTGATGACGGTCATCATCATCATCATCATCATCATACATCAATATTGTTGATGATTATAACTGTATGCATAACAAAGAACTTGATAATAATAATAATAAAACTTTTCCAGTTTAATTTTGAAGATGGCAAACAAAGATAAAAAATTTATAAAAGTTAAAAATTTGAATGTGGTGATTGAGTTGAGATGGTGAAGAAAATTAGATTGAAAGTTTCAGTGCACGTGATCATAATCATCACGTGATCATAATCATCATGTGATCATAGTCATCACGTGATCGTAATCATCACGTGATGAATTGTTGTTTGGTAGAATGAAAAAAATGAGTGAAATGATGAATGAAAAAAACAGGTAAAGTTACGACCGTGCTAAATTTTAAACATCAACACATTCATCATATCATCATCATCATCATCATCATCATCATCATCATCATCATCATCATTTCAATATCCACATTATAAGTTATCATCGTCGTCATCACCATCTTCTTAATCATCTTCACCATCACAAAAAAACAAGCTAAATTGGGATATTGATGCATAAATTGGGCATAAAAATAAAAAAAACTTTAAAAACGTGTGTTAACGGAGGCGATAATATAATAAAATTGCGTTCATCTATCTATGCATACATGTTCTATTTTAGGTTTTATTGCTTTGTTTTGTTTTTTTGCTCAAAATGGTCGTAACAAATTAATAATTTCATCAGTTATATTAGCCATAAAAATAATTATATAAATTATTGTTATCATCATTACTGTTTTTGTTATTGTTGCTATTATAGGCTCGATTCATTTAAAATGAACATTCATTAATATAATTAACATATTTAATATGTAATAAATTATATATATATATATATATATTATATTTATATATTATATAATTATCATATCATATATAAATAATGATATATCATAATGAATAATATATTTAATATTTCTTTAAACTTCCATGAAGACAATCATCAGTTACAGATGAGACGACGTTCGTTAAAAGTATTTTTATGATATGCTGCAGCCGTTTTCCAACGCGAGTTGGAACGTTGCATCAGCGTCGGATCTAGACAACGTTGAAATGGGAGAGCCAAAATTTAAAAAATTTTGAAATTTTATAAAAATTTGACGAGGGAAAAACAAAAAAATTAACCAAATGTTTTGAGTTTTAGTAACTTTTAACAAAACACGGCTCTAGTTGGTCCTCTGTAGAACCGCCAATGCGTTGCATGTAACGTTGTTGTGAGGATGGAAATAAAAAAAAAAAATGAAACAAGATACCTCACGCATCCGTTAACGTCGACGTCTATGTTCTTTTTTATTTTTTTTTCTCTCGTAACTTTTTTCGTATCTTCTTCCATTTATTTATCATCATCATGTTTCATCTCAGGTTATTTGTAGTTTCATTTTACTCATCATCTCTAGCATATTAATTGTCACATATGTACATCTTCATGAAAATATTAAATATTAGTTATTAAAGATTATTTTGCCACAAAAGACTGAATAGGTTAGCTGGTACTTGCTGAAAGTTTTGTTTTCTCGTCGCCGCCTTTGCCATCGTTCGTTCGTTGATATGGTCGGCGATGGTAGGGAAGATCAGGCGGTAGAAGCGCCACTTCTTGTGAGTTGTTTTTGTTCTTATGCCTGACCCACTTGGTTCAAATTCAAAATTCATCAATCACAGGTCCAAAAAGATGTAAATTTAAATGCAACTAAAGTCATCAGCCTTTTTTATTAGAGTTGCCATACAAAAAATTAACCAAACTTGAAAATTTTCAAACACGGTTGAAATTTTCAACTTTGCAATACTTGTTTATTGTTATATTATCAACAAACAGCAACAACAACAACAGTTTTTTTCTCAATATTTGCATTACAAGTTTTTTTTCACATCACGAAACAATCTTCAATAAATTTTCCTTCTGCAGTCCATCCAGCCACGGAAGTTTATCTGAACGTTTTAATGCTCCACTTTGAATTTATTTCAGCGCTGAGTGAAGCGTTACATGTCTTATCTGTAATTTATGGATAAACATATTTGCTGTCTTTGGTTCGTTTTTAAATCTAATAAATTTAGTTCGTTAAACAAAAGAAAGGTCATATTACATAACATTATCATCATCATCAACATCATTTTCATGATGATTTTGATGATGATGCTGATGAGGATAGCGATGATCAAAATCATCATCAGAGCTGTTTATTTAATTAGATTAGCCCGAGGTAATTGTTGCCATGTTCTCCATCCACTGAAATTAAATTCTTCAGTCAGGTGTGGGTGCGCGCGCGCGTGTGTTTATCTATGTTTGTGTATATTTATGTGTGTGTGTATGTGTACGTTTGTATGTGTGTGTACATGTTAATTGATATATATCTGATCGGAGCAATTATCGTTAATGCTTACACGTTCACTCGATTTATTTAAAGTGCATGTCATTCAGATTACTCCTGTTACAGCATTTGTCTGTTCAATTTTATATGAACAAAACCTTTTTCATTAAAATTTAAAAATCCAAATACAAACTTTGACGATTAATTTAGTTAGAAGAATTTGTCTTCGGATACATTTTTGTGTATGATAATCTCAAACCATCATTCCTTTTAATGTGTTGTGTTAAAAAGATCTCGATTGTTATTTAACATCCCATCACATCATGTTCATTTAACTGAATAATAACATGAACAATATTAAATAATAATTAAATGTTATTATGACATTAACAATAAACAATATTTGACAGAATCTGTAAAAACAAATTATCGTTAAACTGTTGAAATCGAAGTTAACGAATGTTAACGTACAAAAATATTCAGAACCATACTGCGCTAACATGAGCAAAATTAAATCAAATGAATAATGTTAGTCGACTGAATTAGCCATTACAGACAGGCGCAACACTAAAATAACAACAACATAGAAACACAATCGTTGTACCAAAGAACAATAAACGAACATAAACATAGATATCAAATTAATGAACATACGATCGCAATGAATTGCGTTCACGTCTGTTTACATTGTTGTAATCACCTTCAGAGAGCCTCAATCACTAATCGACCGACCACCACCATCTAACTTCAAACTAACAAATCTGCATGCCTCTCTTCTATCTTGTCTGCATGCTCTTTATGTTCTTCTTACAATAAGTGCTAAGTTGTCATGCTACCGCTTCTGGAGCTGCTGCTGACGACAACCACTATATTTCTTGAGTGTAATATTCACATGCACACACGCACGCACACACACACACACTCACACGTTGTTACATAGACTCACACACATATGCACACATTGATAATAAGCCGGTACATAGGTGAAATAAAATTACGGGCGATAAAATTGTTTTATTGTTATTAATATTATAAAACATACACGCAGTTCCTTGCTAGTTTATCAAAAAGCGGGGAATTCTAATTCAAAATATTAATGTGTTTTATATGTATTTTCATCTTTTGTTAAATCTGTTATATATTTATTAATCGTTATCACAAACAATTTTCTAGACACACACATTCACTTACATGTATGCAAAATATATATGCGATATATACAGTATTTAACATTAAAAAAGTTGTTGAAAATAATTTTTGAGAACAAAGTTAACTATTTTGAGAATAAATGATTTAAACTAACTTTATTTGTCAATACTTTTGGTGTAAGGATCTGTTGCTGTCTTAAGTAGGATGACTTTGTCAGCCCACGGAGAAAGGATAATTATTAAGTTTCAAACTGTTGTTGGATTGGAGAAAACATTAAAATATCGTATATTTAAAATACACACTCAAACACGCAATGCAATCTGACCATAACCCACACACACACACATACACACACACACAATGTTACGACGATCTACACACTCCCCGCACACTCACACACACACAAACAAACACACACACGCACACAACCACAGTGTTCACAAAACTCGCATTAATATTATTATCACCTTTGATATCATGCTTTTATATTAGCGTTTATGTGCTTGATGTATCTGTTTCCACTGCCATCTCCATTACGAGACTTTCTCGTGAAAATAATAAAACCCCACCGTTATGTATCTCATTTTTATTAGGACATAAAACATTACCGGTGCATTAATTCCATTCTTTTATTTATTTATTTCCCAATTTTATTTATTCATCACGTTATTCAGGAACGCCTTTCTGGAAGATGATAATAAATTTGCTTGGGTATGTTTGAATAAAAGAGCAATAAAGTTTCGTTTGTTCGTGGAATGTGAAATAACAAGGTTAACTTCGACGTAACTTGCGTTTCAGAACTTCCCATCACACCATCCAAAACAATATTCACATAATTCTCATCTCGGCGTTCATAATTCAAGTCGACTAATCACTGAGAAAAATAACAAGTTTAAGAAGTTGCACACCACCAATGCCAACTTTCACGCTGATGATGTATGTTGTTCTCTGGTTTGTGTGTGTGAGCATGTGCCGAACAAATGTACTCATGCGTGATGTGATGGGTAGTAAGCAGATAGTATGTGGTGTTTTTGTAATTTGCGTGCCATGCAAGTTATTGCTCAATCTGGATTCCATGAATGTCAGCTGGCTGTCGGCTGTTAAATGTAACCGACATTTCGTAACTGCGGTCGGTTCCTACTTTTTATATAGACAAATTTTGTATATATTCAATATCAAGGAAGAAGGAAGAACAAATAATTTAAATGTTAAAATATCAAACGTAATATTTGAACTTTCAACACTCAAAAAAATTGTATATTTTTAAATATTCATCCGATATAAATTTTTTATAAAGAGTGATAAGCGAAAAAAATCAGAACGATAATTTCTATCATAAAGAAAAAAGATGGAAGGGATGATTGATGTGGTGTTGAACACCTGGAGGAAACGTGTTGTATGTACAACGTTTCCTATCATCCAGTCCGTCAATTTCTTCTTCTTCTTCTCCATCATCATCATCTTTTTTTTATTACCACCACCATTATTATCATCTTCATCTCTGTCTACCTCTTCTCATCTTTTTCTATATCTTTTTTTTATCTTCATCACCATCTTAATCTTTTTCATCACCATCTTCACCGTGATCATCATCCTCATTGAATCTTTTTTATCATTTCTATCATTTTCCCAAACCTTTTTCACCAACAATCCTTTTATTTACGTTTGATCACAGATACCTTCATCTTCACTAACTTTGTCATCAGTTTCATTAGCATCGTTTATATTCTTATTCTTTCATCATAACCACCACCATCATCATCGCTGACATGACGTCATTAATGCAGGCCTGCAGATGATGACTGGTGAACATCCTTCATTACATTACATTCTATTACGCAACAATGTAACAACCTATACACGTGTAATTTTAATGTAATGTAATATAATGTAATTAAATGTAGTGTAACGGGACGCGATGTATCATTATAATACTAATTGATGTAACTATATGAGTGTTGATAATAGAAATTTTATTTTAGAATGCAAATGTTATTGTTGCGACGACAGTAATTAACGTCTTGAAATAACTCATAGTAAAGCTAGTTGCACAACGACTGCTAATATTTCCGTACATCTACAGCTTATATATAAAATATTGTAGAGAAGTTTGTTCGATCTCGAATTTTTCACAACTGTGATGGTCATCACGTTCTCGCGAATCGATCGACTTAGTAATAAAAGGACATTCAGAACTTTTTTATATACTTTATTTAATAACTGTTCTAGACATACAGACAGAGAAACACAGACAAACACACACCTCTATATATATATATACGTGTATATAACCGTTTTTGTGTGATGCGCGTTATCGCTAATCTTCAAAGTCTTCCAAATAATTTAATGTTCCATGTTGATGTAAAATTTCCGGTGGGTGGATGAATTCAATGCAGGCAGGCGTTCATCTAAACACACGTTCGTTTCATGTTCACAACCGTTGAATATAATCAGATCAATTAAAATTTTCATGGTTAGAGCTGAGTTCCAGGTACAACGTGTGGTGTACAGTATGCTGGAATGTTTCCAGTTATTTGGTGGCACTGTTGACCAATGTAGAGCAACCGTACTTAGGCATTATTTTTTTAACAATAAAATTTTTCAGTGAATTTTTGAAATGTTTCCTTTATTTGCCGCTTGTTTAATTAAATCTATCTAACCTCCAACCTACATCAAACTCCTGATTTAATAACTTGGTGAAGGTCAGCGTTTCAACAGAGTTGCGGCGTACTCGCTGAGAGTATCATTGATAGATATATATGCACGTATGAGAGTATCATACATGGATATATATCCATGGTATCATAAATACGTTTTAACTTTTTTGAAGTAATTAAAAATTAAATTTTTTCGGATCGAGGAAAAATTTTGTTAAGATTTGTAATTCCATTTTTTGGTCATATTGTCTGTCTGGCTGACGATGACGACCTTTTCTTTTTTTGGGTGAACAAGGCCTCGTGGGCCGCAAAATAGCTTTGTCGTAGTTTGCCCACCCTTGGTATACTAGTTCCAATTAAACTTTTGTACCAAACTAACCTACACAATTCACGTACACAACTAGGATTCATAGATAGAAACCCACACAAAGTTTTCATTGCTATTTACCAGAATGCAGTCATTCAGTCGTTCATACACAAAATCTATTCATAATAATTTTTATACATTAAGAAAATTATTTTTATAAATTTTGGTGACAAATATCTGTTTAAAATAAAAATAAATTGATAGCATGAGAACATTTTCAAAATTTAGAACGATTTTGTGTTTCTCAATTTGGTTTGTGGCTGGGTGTTGTATGATAACATGTTTGGTTCACTGTAAATCATGCACCCTGCTCGCATTCTTCATTATTTATTTTTTCTACAGAAATAATTTCTAGCACTACCAATTCTTAAATCATTCAACATCGCAATTGATATATAACTGGCGTATTGATGTGCATAAAAATGTGGCTCACGTAATAAACAAAAAATGTTACGATACGTTTGCTTGATGTAGATATATTTTAACCAGAAAACGTTCCTAATTCATACTATTAAGTTAAATATAAGCACATGTCAGCATTAATTGACAATAAGCCGATGCAAGAATGAATTAATGTAATGCCTTACTGATAAAAATATATTACATCAAATACTGAAAAAGTTATGTGCAGTGGAAAATAAGTTTTTAAATTTTTTAAATGTGTCACTATTTTCATCACATTTGTTGACTAACATAGCCACAACTGAAAAAATTAAAAAATTTATTGCTATAACTATATAACATTAAAAAGAAACAAATCACTTTTGCCAGTGCTGGTGCACACCTCTGGAGAAGATATTCTGCGTGGATCGTCTTATAAGAAGATGAGTTTGTTGTGATACGATGATAGCGTCTCAAATATGGCGCTATTCATTTTCATCCATATTTCTACCACCAATTATTTTTATAAAATATAAAAAAACTATGTAATTGTATAAAAAATCTACATTATTAGATTAAACAGTTGTTTTCAAATGAATTTCTGCCAAAAACAAACAAGTATGATTCTTGTATTTGAAAACCATTTTGTGATGTCTAACCTAGCGCTAGTGCTGCTGAAATTGCGTATGTTGGTTTGTGTTGCGGCGTGGTGCCGATGGTTAGTGGGATGTTAAAAGTTGATTGCTGGAGTTGGTTTCAGTGAAAAATGTTAATATTTTTGCAAGTTTCTCCATATAGCTTCATTGATGATGACGGACGACCGTTGAAAACATTCTAACAATAGATTGTTAACGATCATGGAAAGACATTTTTTTGCTTTTCTCAGTTTTCCAGCTAAATTAAACTAAAGGTTATGTCATTTATTCTGCTAAACGACATTTACTATGTAACTAAATGAACAATAAGCAAAATTATGTTTAATAAGTAAAACTTCAGAAATTTATAATCGCATAGCTTGTTTTCAATTTTGACAACAACAAATAAAAAAATAAAAATTTTTTCCTGAAACTTGAAACTGTAACAAAAACTATGCTTAACAAAAATATATAAGTATATGCAAATATGTGTGTGTATGTGTGTTTGTGTTAGATGTCAGTTAGTTCACATACGGAAGGCATAAAGATACCATGAAAGTCTGCAAGATGTAATATATTATAAAAAGGTATCTACATTTGTGTGTGTAAGTATGTATGTATGTGAGTGTGCATGTATGTATTTGATTGAGTGTGCAAGTATTTATGTGTATGTAGGTATGTAGACAAGACATACATGTATGTGTACGCATGAATATATGTAAATGTGTGTATATAAGTATATTTATGTATATATGTATGTATAGGTATGCATGTAAGTACGTACATAAATGTATGTGTGTTGGCATGAATGTGTTTTGTTTCGTGACGTTTAAATCTGGCATTGTTTATGAGACTGTGGGAATGTATGTCTGTGTGCGCGAGCGTGTGTGTCCGTGTCTATTTAACATGTTCATGTTGGTGAATTAGGAAAGTTGGAACGTGGGAAGAACAAACGTTTTCCAGAATGTTAGTTTTCCAGAAAACTAACAAAAAAACAAACTTAATAAAATTGAGAAACATTCCTGTATGCAATGGCGTATCTACTATCGACATTTTTTTATGTAATATAATATTACTAACATTTTTTTATAATAACTAATTTATTAATTAATACTAGATTGTTATAACTGTTACATACACAAAAAATGTTATAGCTCTTATACATACACACTGTAAAAAAAGTTCTTAGCAAGTAATCTTGCAAATTTGGAAATTTTTTTATTAATATAAGAATTACAAAAGTTAAAAACCCTTGATACGTGAATAGACACATAACACAAAGATCAAATGATTGAAGAATTGTTTGACTCTGCATGTATTTGAAGCAGGTCTCTGTGTCTCGCTTGCATTGAACACAACATGCGCTTGATACAAAATAAACATTACTCGACCGACTGACTTTTGGGGCAAGTTGAATTTTATTCTCACACCCCAATAAAACATTGGAAGAAATACGCGAAACACTTTAGTTTTATGAATAAATGTATGTGTTATGTATGTACTATAAATTTATATATTTATAACAAAAATGAAAATATAACACCCTCTCCACACACACACAAACACACACACACACATACAGACACACACACAAACACACACACATACAGACACACACACACACACATACAAACACAAACACGCATACACACGCACACACACATAGTCTCAACCAAGATATATATATATATATATATATATATATATATATATTTTAAGAAGTTAAGCGTATGAAACTATGAAACATGCATTCAGGCAGCGCATGCATTTACATTCACGGCTCCTCCAATTGTTCGTTTGTGTGCGTGTGTGCGTGTTGTTTGTTGGAGATGAAATGTAATGTACTGTGAAGATGTTTGGACGGATAGCCTATACAAACCACCGAGCTGATCTGATGATGAATTAATTCTTTCTACAGATTGCTTGCTGCCTTTGTCCACTCAGTTTGTAGTTTGTTTCATTGCGAAAAAAATAAGGGCCTTACTTGTAAATTCGTTGGTAATTGTATACATGTAAAGCATTAAAAGTAATTGTTTGGTGATAATTTAAAAATTTTGTTTTACATACATTGGATTATTTTAATATAACATTATTTTGTTTTATTTTGAGATAATAATTTGGAATTGTAAAAAGTTTAGTTGTTTGTTTATTGCTCAAAAAGTCGATAGCATTTTTGGCAATTATTGAAATGGATTTAGCATGAAACCATAAAATTGAAAGTTCGATGAATATTGCAAATCAACCACATAGTTTAAAATGAATTACCCCAAATACTTCGACAGCACGGCACTGCCATACAACGCGACACCATTCAACGACACCAACCATTTCTGGTTTGGTCGACACAAGGGGAACGCCGAACAGAACGCCTGGGTCTTCCTCTCCACCATCCTTCTCTCCCTCACTTCCTTACTGGGCAACTCGTTGACGTTGATTGCATTTCTCAGCTGGAGGCAATTGAGAACAGGTCAGAATATTCTGCTCTGCAACGTTGCTTTCGCTGACATCATCTTCACCATCTGCTCATTCATCCCCGCCATCATCACGCACAATCATGTGCCAGGCGAGGAGGCAAACGAAAGCATCAATCCAGTTAGCATTTTAAAAGAAAATATAAACAACAAAAACAGTGTGATCAACAATCTCGATGGTCATCATCAGAACGAAGTGATGTGTCGGGGCATTCACTACTTGCTATCCGTCACGTTGTACGTTGCCATTTACTCGCCAGTGGCAGCTTGTGTTTTTCGATTTTTTGCAGAAACACTTCGAAACGGGCTGCGATGTGCCCGCAACAGAAGACGAAAAAACAAAACTCGTTACTCATTAGCACAACAGCCACAACATTCTTATCAACAGAATAATAATGGTTACATCAACAATAACATAGCTGATAATAATTACACTGATAACATCCTTACGGTCTGCAACTCCATAATATCGTGCGCTGTTATCTGGTCAGCCTTCTTTCTATCAAACATCAACCTCCTTCAAAATCTGACCACTAATCCGAACAATTTAATGTCATCGACAAGCATCATCGGACTTCACCAGTCTTTCATATGCAACGACATCTACATGGCCTCCATTCAACAACATCATCTTCAAAAAGAAATCAACTTGCCATCAATGGTCTACCAGCAACATTTGAGCCAACAACAAATACTTCTCCAGGAACAACAACACCGATACAGGCAAATGCAAATCCTCAACGAACAACATGATGTTCTCACAATGAACACTTCCACCAGGCTTCGAACGCTTTGGCTCATCTTCCTAATTTGCGCATTTCTCGTGCCACTTGCCATCATCTCCATCTTGTCTGGCGTCCTTCTTTTCAGACTTCACTGCCGACCGCCACCGACTCGCAACCCACTCGCTGACGTCATACCGCGTGATACAGTGACGTCGTACTCAACCTCTGGAGCAGCGGCATTGTCTGAGTACGCGGCCACGATGACTTCCCAGAGAGACAACATCATCCTCATCATGGCAGTCTCCGTCTCGAGGTCATTGTGCTGGTTGCCAGTGCAGGTTCAACTTCTTCTTTAAAAATTTTTCCTAGTTTCGGTATTAAATTGCAATGCAGTGCATCTTTATAGAAGACATTGTTACGTATGAAAACATTTTAGTTTGTTACTAATCAAATTATAGACATTAAAGATGCCACGTTACTACGCTAATTGTTTATGATAATTGTGCTGATTACAGTACATTACATAACATTACACACACACGTGCAAATGTTCATGAGTTATCAATTGGCTGACGTTCAAACGTTGAGATGAAAGAGTTGAATGCGTGCACCTGATGCACCCGACCATCTACTGCGGCATAATTTCTTCAGCATTGCAACATGTGTATGCAACTAATTTTTATTAATACCACAACAATGCCAACAAAAATAATAAACAAATTTTCATAAGTTGAATAAATCTTTTTAAGTACAGCTTTGTACTAATATGATGTAATCTTTTCATATGTCAACAGTCAGGTTAATTGTTAATGGAAAACACTGTGGAAGGCATATACATTTTATTCGGTTAACATTACAATTTTGCACCTCAATAACCTATTCAGATCTGCCTGCTTCTCGATGTTTTTGGACCCAACTCAGAGAACAACAGATGGAGCAGCTTTCACATGAACGTCGAACTGCTTGGTACCAGTTTTGCTCTCCTGGGATGTTCTCTCGATCCCATCATCTACTACTTCACTTCTGCTGATTTCCGTCGCTCCCTCCTTAGGACGAGCAGACGATTGTGCCGACGCGACAAAGGACCGAAGCATCTTGCACTCGAGAGATTGAGCCAGGCGAGAAATCAGCGCAATCAAAACGAACGTTCAAGCATTAACAATGGAGACATCGGCGGAGTGTACGAACGCTGCGGTAGTGGTAGTAGTAAACGTCCAACTGATAATTTCGACCCCAAGTACAATTCGCTCTTGAAGAACAGTGAGGCGGAGGCCAACGAGACGATTCTTTCAATAATTTCTGACAGCTCCAACCGTATCAATTACACGTGATTCTCCACAATATTTATTTATTTTCATTTTTTATTTTATTACTTGATTCGTAATAGTTTTTCAAAAGTTTTTATTATGACTAATAAACAACAGTTGACAAGGTACTTTTTCAATTTTTTGAAATTTCTGCCGTTCATATTTTTCAATGTGATTACAGAAATGAGCATATTCACACTGTTGATGGATTCTCAAAAATTTTAATTGAGCCTTCATTATTTTTGATTTGATATTCACCTCCTACAATAACAACAACATTAGCCTAGGTGAAAATAGATATCTTGTTGTTATTAGTTAATCAAACGCCGATGACAGCGCAATGGATTTATTTTATTATTGTACAAATAACATATAAACGTAAGTCTAACAGTGAATTGATAAATTTTTCAAAAAATGGTGTCTATATTTTCATTTTTCTCAGGTAATCAGTTAATAATTACTTTTAATATCGAAATGATGTTTCTCGCTCACAAGGTTCTTGTATGCCGCGTATTCTTCGAAATCCAATTATGCTTCGATTCAAAACACATCACAACATGATTGATGTACAAAAAGTGGAAAAATGTGTACATTAAGTGCACTTCTTCGTGCACGTTTATGGTTGATCTTCTCTTTTTACCTCCAAGAAACAGACGGCAGGTTCAAGAACACCAAAAAATATATAAAATAAAATGTTGAAATTAATTTCTGATGATATAGATAACAACGTGTTGGTGGAAATAGCAGATTGTTGGACTAGCGTTTATCGATAGTAAATAGGAAAGTTTTAAATGTTGAAGAAATATCTTTATCTGGACTTAACTAGTTTTGAAGAAAGGGAGCTAACAAATCCACCAGAACATCCACAAACACGGAGAATGATAACGTATAAAGACAACATGCAAACGCTCAACCAATGTGCGTGTGTATGCATTCGAAACAATAAAACACACGAATCGTATAAATATACAATTCTTGCAGAGACATGAAATCAAGTGTATTGTTAGAAATATGTATGTAAGTAGATATGCAAATATTTATATACAGAATAATAAGAAACCTGCTGGATGGATGTAATGTTAACATGAAGGTGCCTGCTTAATGTAAGTTAGATTGGAAAGGTGATAATGATAAGAGGAGATGCTTTCTTATCTAATTTCAAACATACACGTGTTTGATGTATGCCTTTATACATTCGAATTGTATGAGTGTGCTATGATGTTCATGTATGCATGTTCCTATGTTTCTGTATATTTCTGTTCGCTTTCTTTTCCGTATACATGTTCGTATGTTACCGTATGCATGTTCGTATAACTTTGTGTACCTGTTTGTACGTTTGTCTATGCATGTTTGTTTTTCTCCAGCTGGATGTTTGTCTGCATGTCTGCGAATTAACATGATCGTTTGATATACGGCTCGCATTTTCAAACATCTGTTTTTAAAAAGGTGCTTGTCTAATGTGGCTAATAAATGTTGCTCGCACACTTGTTAGAAATAAACCAAATATTCTGATTTGAAATCAAATAGTACATGCAACGGCAAATTTTATTTGATAGGTACGAAAACCCCTTCAACCATAAAATCTCATTACAAAACGTTATTTCTAACTAAATATTATTTTTGAAATATTTATTAACAGAAATATAAATTTCAGTACTAAACCTTAAGTCAATTTTAGCTCGTACGGCCCAGCTATCTACATTTTTCATCTACTTATACTTTTTATCAAGAAACTTCATCATTTATCATCGGCAGGTACAGATAACAAAAAAAACATTCCTGCATTTATGAGTGAGTTCCTATAAAATGGAATAATAATAACTTCCTAAAACAATCGGCGTGATTTTTTTTCTGCGAAGACATGAATTAGGACTATCAAAAATTTAATTTCATAAGTTTATAATTATGCGTGAAATTCATAATTAGCCTACTTTATGCGTACAGTATATCGTAAAATATGTATGTCACTAAAGGCAGTAAAAAAATCATAATCTATCGAATAAAAAGAAAAATATCAATAAGTTGCCAAAATAATCACTTGTCATTTAATCATTACATTAGAAACAAATTAGTTGATATACAGTTTAAAAAACTTAACATCAAACGTTAATTTTATCATTTCACTGCAGTATCATCAAGTTATTAATTTCCTTTTACATTATTCGTGATTTTTGTAGAGCTTAAATGTTCAAGTTGATTTAGTAACTGGTAATATGGTTTTATTCGTATGTTAGTATCCCGAAGCTTAAACAATCTGCTGCACGGAACGGTGTTATTTCAATCACCTGCAAAACTTGGAGAGCGATAACCTAGGATTCGGCAATTGGTTCAGATTTTTTGCTTTCATGGAGAGTTGAAAAGTTGAAACGTTCGACTCTTGGCATATAGCTGAATGCCAAAGGTCGAATATATATATATATATATATATATATATATATATATATATATAATCTATATATATATATAATCTATATATATATATATATATATATAATCACCCACAATGCCATTATATCTTATATGCCATTCCAGCTTTAAATGCAACAAATACGTATGAAACATCAAAGCTGCTTCATGGCTGATGCTTCCAAATAAAGAATACGACAGGACAAGAAATTTATATTATATACGGAGAATCATAATTCCATTAAATAGAAAGTAAGATATATGTAAAATTCTTTTTGTTGGGACAAAATAAGATCATGCAAAAGTGAAAAATGTTATCTCCGGCAGGCTTTTTCAATTCGTACAACTTAGCTTAGCATACAGACAAGCACATTACGAGAATAATTTGACATATAGCTGAATGCCAAGGAACAAAGATTAGAGAAACGACATTTTTTTGGAATATTTGAAATATGCGAGCAATTTGAACGCGCTGTATTGATATTTGAAAAAGTTAAAAAAGCAAATATTTAAACAACCTGAGGAGCCAATGAGATCACATGTACGAGGTCACGTGTCCGATTTATTGGATTGAGGTTAGCGCTGGCCGATCATCGGGTTGTTGTTGTTGTTTATTTTTCAGATTAAAATGTTTTAGCGCTAAATGTCGACTGCATTTAAATTGGAGCGATTTAACATTTTAAAGCGTTGAACTTCGTGAATAAAATACTAAAGATCGTCGCAAAATGGATGCCAAAGTGGATAAGGAACGCTCCATGTTGGAAATCTTGTATGCACAAATAATCAGTGACATGAAGGTTTGTCTGTTTTGGATTTTTGGTTGGTTCTTGTGTTGGTCATTCATTTTCAAATTAAAAATTAAATTTATTATTAATTCCCAAAATGATTAACATTAAAATTATCTATTTGTGTGTTATTTAAAAGTTAAAACCAATGTGGTAAATAAATTGCATGATTTATTTTATAAATATAAAATAAATTTTTAACTTTCTGACTTATGGGGGATGTCATTTAAATAGTATTTAATTATTTATTTTGTCAGTACTGTATTGTACTGTACTGTACATACAAATATTAATACAGATACACGTGGATTGTGTGGTGATTTTAATAATTAAAATTTAATTTCAAGTTAATTAAATTATAATTTATATATATATATTAGATAATATACTTTAATTTAAATGTTTAAAAATTATTGTATTTTTTATCTCTAGATCTCCAAATTTAAATATTGATTTAGTTCAGTTAGTCTTAAAAATAGTTGACTATTAATAATTGATTATTAATTAATTATTAATTTTAAAAAATGTCATCACAACAGTAATATAATTCTCATACAAATAAATGAGAAAGTGTAATAATACTTAATAAGTAGTTATAATACATGATTACAGCTTGTTGTGAAGAGTTTTTTGTGATGTTTTTTTGATATAATTTTTCTTGTAAGACAGAAATACCTACTGTTGTTATATTAATATATATTGTATATGCAGATTTTTGACATACGAATTACACAATAATTAAAATTGCTCTTTTTCCTTAGAGTGGTTTTCCTCTTTGGGAAGATTTTCTTTCAAAAGGTAGTAAATTACAGATAGCTTTGAAGTAAGTCAGATCCTAGATTTGCCTGATAAATGTTGAAAGTTGCTTCATGTGTCATGAAAATATTTTTTTATTCATTATCATGTAATGATGGAAATATTTCAAACTGTTTTGATTTTTTAGAACAACACTTACTTGCTTGAATACTTTCTTGGATTCTTTTCAAAAAGTGGCAGACATGGCTTCAGGAACAAGAGGTATCACCAATTATCACCAATGATCACATATGTACATCTCACTCAGCTTATGTCAATCTGTGTATCTTGTTTGTACATGAATGTACATTTTACTCACTTTACACTGTACACTAAACAAATATACACTTTATCATTTCATTTTTGCTTGCTATGTTTGTGTACACTATTTATGTGAATGTATTTTGATGATTTTATGCTTTATATGGTTTGCTAATACATATATTACATTTCTGTAAACAATTTCAACTGTTTTTTTATTTGTTAATTTTACATTCTTTGATTTTTGATGGCAGGTTCAACTAAAGAGATTGGTTCAGCTTTAACAAGATTGTGTTTGAGGCAAAGAAGTGTTGAAAGCAAGACGAAGCAACTCACAAAGTTAATTGGGATTTTAACCAAAATAATAAGTTGCACTAATAATTTTTATAAGCTCAAACAATGATTCATTTTTGGTCACTTTTTTGCAATTATTATTAAGTAAACTCAAAAATTTGTTATTCAATTTTTTAAACTATAGTTCTCTTATGGAAGCTTTGATAAATCCAATGTCAGAAAAATTAGAGGAGTGGAAGAGACAGCTGTCATGCATGGAAAGGGAACATGGAAAAGGTGTGTGCACGTTGCATATTTTTGAGAATTTTTTTATTTATCATTATCCTTTTTTTGTGTACAATGAGCTCTAAATATTTTATGTAGTAACTTTTCGTTTTATGATCAATGAACTATTGATGAACCAAATTTTGAATGTTTTAATTGAAGTTGCATTTAGAAGATTTTTATTATTTGTTTTAAATTCTGAAGTTTATTATTCGTAGAAAGCAAGAGGGTCCATCAGGAATTGAAAAAATCGTTAACAGAAGCACAGAAAGATGTGAAAAAAATTAAAAAAAGTTTGTAAATACTTTTTTGAAAATTAAGACTAGCTTTTTATGGACCTGGTCTCCCAAAATTTTATGTTTTAAATATTTTTTAACATTTTTCAAAGGTGGCAGTAATGAGAAAGTCGAGAAGTTGTATTCTCTTCCAAATGAAAAACTTTCAAATTTAAGAGACTTACAACTGAGCAGCGTGAAAAATGCAATGATACATGAGAGATACAAGTTGTGCATATTTGTTTCCTGCCTGAAACCTTTGCTTGTAAGTTGTGATGTTTGTCGTTCGTTGCGTTGAGTTCGGTTCTGTGCAGTCGGTAGAAACTTGTTCATGTGCTTGCTCTCTCATATGCAATATGTCTATTGTTTCAATTTCAGTGCAATTAATTTTATTTACCGTCATTATCGCAACTGTTGACCTTGATGGTAGAGTTGTGTACCTTTTAGCAACTTTCATCAATTAAGGTCAATGAAGTTATTACAACTAATTAAGTTTTTGATTATTACAACTAATTATATTTTTGAAGTTATTAAAACTAAAATCCTTAAAAGTTTGTAAACAGATTCTTCATACAATAATATTTTTTGTTTTTCATTTCAGTTTTTTTTTACCAAGGACAGGATTGTTAGATTAAATTTGTTAGATTGAGATGTTAAGATTAAGATGTTAGATTAAGTAATGAAATCATTATTTTTAAGTGGCATTAAGCTATTATGCCTGCCAACTTGATCATGAGGTAGTTCTCTGATTTGCAAAGAGGTCCCCAACTACTCAGATATTATGATTTACAATGATGTGTGCTGTGGATGTACAATGTAAATTTTGTGTTAGCTGATGCTTAAAGGATTATCATCTAATAATAAATAAACTGATATACATTTTCTGTAGTTTCCCTCAAATTTGCATTGCATAATTTATTTAATTTGCATTGTACAGGACCACGAAGTATCGATGCTTTCCGAGATAAGTCATGTGCAAGAGATTCTTGAGAGTTTGTGTTGGCTGGCTGACGACCCTGATACATTGCATCCTTCATGCGAACAGGTCATCTCAGATGCCATCGATAGAAACATCTCCACTCCCCCCCCAACATTAGAGGTCTGCCATTCTATTGATTCAATAACAAATTTACTCGTTGCTTTTTAGTTGATTATATCAATAATTTATTTCCCTATATATTATATTGGTACATAGTTTATTTTATGTTGCTTAAATTTTATATCAGCAGTTCATTATATACAGCATAGTTCACCTTACTAAACATTTAAACTCATTTATTCATGCTTTGACTATTGATTAAGCCATCCAATCAGAAACTTGCCCGTTCACCCTTACCACCTCCACCTGAAAATCAACCTCCTCTGCCACCAATCCTTCAAGAAACATCATCAACAACAACCTGTCATCACTTGCCAACACAAGAGTCGTCATCATCTGAGTTGAGTGAGGAATCGTCAACAGTCTCATCCTCCACTCAGCCAAACATTCTATCTGTACATTATTTTTTAAATTTTTATCTGAAGTTTGATTAATTTATTTATGATTGTACAATGTAGATTACAATTTCTATTAAATAATAGTTGTTCCTATTTATAAAAAACAGCAATCTGGTGATTTTATTTGGTCAGTTAGAGGAGTTATGTTTTGATCTCCAGATCCAATCCCATTCATGCTCCTCCTCGTCACTGCCACATCCAACTGCCACGTGCACATCTCTCCTCACATATTCTCACCTGCTGCGTTCAAAGAAGTCTCCATTCAGTCATGACGATCCTTACCAAGGTATCAAAATGCAAATGAGTGGAGGCTGTAGACCTCACACAATTTCTTCATCTTATGAGAGACCTGCTGTCCGTGCTGTCCTCTCATCTGACACCTACCTCCCCATGCAACAGACTGATTCCATGAACAAATACAAGTAAATCTTAAATGAAATGGCTGACTGATTATTCGATTGAACATAAATATTAAATTTATTATGAATGAATATGCCTAATAAATGATTCAAGTAAGTTTTAATATACTCTAGTTCACAGTATTCGTACCCAAGTGACTCGTCCACCAGTCAATACGCGGTGCCATGTATAATACCAAAGAGACGTTCGACGCAGGTGGTTGCCGGCGAGAAGGTTGCAGACATATATTCTCGCCCTTCGTTGATACAGAGTCACGGAGGCTATCGAACTCCAAGCATCAAACCTCTCCCTGTTGCTACTCCCACCGTTCCAGACCTCAACATTAGTTCTTGTAATCTTTTAATGCGTTTTAAAAATTTATTAATTTGTAAATCTTATATAAATAAATTTATATATAAAAATAAATGATTTAAATTTATTTTTCAAGCTCTTCCTCCAACCGGATATGTCAATATGAATCAGTTGGCCATGAAGCAACAGCAGCAGCAGCACACTGATCAGCAGCAATTTAACATCAAAGAATATAGGGAATCCATGCCAGAATTTGACAACTTGAAAATTCGGAAGGATCAGGTTAACCAAAAATTACAAAAATTGATATTATTTATACTCAAGTTTTTGGAGTGGGACATGAACAAAAATTCACTTTCATGTATTTTTTTATATCTTTTGAAGATCATTGTTGTCAGTCGATACATACCAACTAGCTCACTCGACAAAATTTTAAATGAAATACACAACAGTTGTATGATCATTTTTAACAGTATCAATTTTCCAATTGTAAGTGATAGAACTTATCAGCAATTAACAATTCAGACGCTGGGCAGCAGTATTTTAGCCGGCAGCAGTTCCATGGCCTCCGTTCCTAACAGTTCATCATCTCGCGAACACAATAAACCTCCGGTGAAACTAGATGGATACTCCAACGTTGGTTGGTTCTAACGTTCCATTCTTTCTTTTGATTAAATTTTTTTTCAAATTTTGTAATATTTATTTTTGCATGCTATCTGATATTAAAGTTTTATTTTAAACTTGCTGATTTGTTATATTTTCATGTTTTTCAGTTGTCCTTATTTTCTTTTTAGATTTGAACGAGTTAGCAATTAGGTTAGCAAAAGCATGTCATTTAGAAGACAATTCAATAGATAAATATTGCACACTGCCTAGAAGACCTTTTCATAATAACTTTTCCATCCCCAATCTTCGTCATCGTTACCGTCCTCCATCATTATCATCATTCACTGGCACTGCCAACCAATGGTCCCTATACACCATCGCAGGTTTTATGATTTTTTTTTTCATATTTAAATATATAATTTATTCCTGATTGGTGCTCCTGTCGCATTTATAAAAACTTGAGTTTTTACTTTTAATACGGCGCGTTATCTTATGTTGAAAAATTATTTATTAGCGTGTTTGCGGCAGAAAGTAAATTTTGGTTTTTTGCACTGAAATTGTTTTTATTTTGTCATCGCGTTGTAATTTGTGCTGCTGTCTGTTATGTTCAATATTTTAATACGATTGCTCTTGCATGCTTATTTATGAATCAAGATTTTTTCCCGTTTTTTTGAAATGTTGAGAAGGGAGACTAACATTGTGATTCGACATCGTAGTTTATTATTTTTGTATCCACCACTTTCAGTAACTCTATTCTTATCAAATTTCATTTTAACTATAGTTTTTCTATTAATTCCTTAAAGATAATCACCAAACTGATCAGGCAGTCCTTGCAAGCAATGATCTAGATTCTGTGTTCACAAACTGGGATCCACATCAATGCACAACAAGTTACAACAATAATGTTTGATAGAGTATGAACAATCTATATTATATAGTCTTTGTGTCAGTATATTTAATCAATTTTAAACGTCATTGTGTTGTTTTGTGTATTGTTTACAATTTTTAAATGAGGTGATACGTTGGAAATATGTTATTACATGTAAAGCAGGCACTGATACTCTTTATTATGCGTTCAATTGTGTGATAGTTTCTACCTGGTGCGTTTAAAATCATTTTTGTATAAAATTGATCTTGATCATTTTTATTGAAAACTTTATATCAGGCTTTAATTCCATTATTTATAACCGAATGGCATTGTTATCCTTTTTTGCATTTAAACTTTATTTCTTTTTTTTCTGGTGAACAGTTATATAATATTTGATCTTTTTAGTTTGAGAAATGTTCAATTTAGTCTTGTTTCTATTTTAGTCTGTTTTTTAGTAAACATCGTTTTTGTTAGTTCGTCAGGATTATCAAATTTACTTGAAAGATATAAATAAATACATAAAAGTTTTTAAAATGTTTAAACCTGATCATGATCTAATTGAAAATCATTCGTTGTGCGCCTAATGATGTCCCGCACTGATTCGTGATGTATTGATACATATCTGTTCGGCGGAAGCATAGACACTACATGCATGTTCTTCGAGGAAACCTTGTCTGTTTCCATTTTGAGATAGGCATTCTCAAATAGTTTGTATAATGCCAAAATGATCACTTTGGGTTGATAATGCTAGTTTTGAGAGAATTATTTAAATCAGTATTGTGTACAGTATATATTATACATTTATATATAAGGTAAATTCTCATTTATACAAATTTCGTTAAATGCGAGCAATATATATATTGTGTGTATATGTATGTATGTATATATATATATATATATATATATATGTATGTATGTATAAGATTTTACTACTAAGGCATTAAGGTCTATTAGACTCATCCAAGCTTCAGAGAAGTAAACAGCACGCTAACGGCTTAGATGAACAAGCGCTAAACGATGCATCACACGAAGCATGTGATAGGAGGGGTTATTCTTTTGTCGTATTCGAACCCAGTTACTGCACACACTCTGAAACAGAACCAGGCGACCTTAACCGCTAGGCCATTACGCTGCCCAAACTGCATGACGGTGGTATATGCAGAATTTTGTATGCATTTTTGTATTAATAAATAAAACTAAACTTTGCAGCAAATTTAATTCGTGATGCGGAGAGTTTTTTTTCAGCTCATTCTACATCAATATCAGATACCTACCAAATTGTGGAATGTTTCTGGAAAACCAGGTAAAGATTCTGTTGGCAACTTTTTTTGCAGTTGCTGATTTGTTTCCACCTACATATTTCGGTTACAAACATTTGGCTGTGCTGGAGGCTGGAAGTGCAGGATCCAGAATAATTTTTATAAAGTATCTTTTGCCTGATAATCCATGCTATGGTTTGTATATGCCAAAATTTGAGATAGATTCTGTCAGACAAAACGATAGGACGTTGTTTCATGTTGAAGAAAACGATGTGAAAGAGTACTTAAAAACATTCTTAGTGCTTCTCAGATCTAATTTCAGTAACGATGTTTTGAGGAACACAGAACTTTATTTTATACCTACTCATGGTTAATTTTTGTTTAGTTAGAATATAGCTGTTGAATCTGAGCTAATGTAATAAATAAATTTTTATTCGTTGTGTTTTAGAAAAATTAAAGAAAGATCAAATGAAAAAAATGTTGAGAATGGTTGATTCTTTGCTTTCGAATAAGTCATTTAATGAGATGTTGTACAACTCTGGCGTCAGCGCTCGGGTTTTAACCAGCGTTGAGGAAGTAGTTTACAAATGGGTGGCGGTAAATTACCTCCTTGATTTTTTCTCAATCTCAACCTCAGGTAGTTTGATTGATTTTGAATAATTTTAGATAACTCTGATTAATTTCTATTTTGAGACAGCTCATGTTATGACGAGTGGATTACTAGACATTGATGAATTTTCATTAAAAGTTGTGTATCAGCCGAATTACTCGACTTCAAATTTCAATTTTAAAGAAATTGTCAAAATATTTGGGAAACGATATAATCTTTTTGTCAGAAAATTCATTAACAGTGGGCGTAAAAAATTTAATTTAGAATTGATAAAAGTTTTATTAAAAAAATTGTATTATAACGATAGTGGTACTGAGCCAAGATCGCTTTCATATCCATGCAAATTGAAAGGTTTGTTAAACTCTATATCATTTAAAAAATTTTAAATAGCTGAATCAAACTATGTTGCTTTTAAATATTAATTTAGGTGACACATCTGAAGTGAGGGTAGATGATAGTGTTTACGTTTTAGAAGGTTCAGGTGATGTAGAAGAGTGCAGAAAATTAATTCTTTCCCTATTTCCTTTTCACAATTCATCAAGCTGTGTCATCAAACCATGCTTATATCACGAAGAAGGCATGCATCCTCCCATTCCACGGACCATGACTTTTTTTCTGCTCGGTGATTTTGCTCACATCTCTTCAATTTTCAAAATAGATCTCCATTCACACAACTTCTTTAAAACTTTAAAAACGAAAAGCCTTGAATTTTGCAGTAAGGTATGTTCAGATTATACGTATTTTTGTTTTTCATGACTGCTTATTTAAGCTTTATCCCCTCAAGACACTTGAAGAAAATGCAGTGATGTACAGTGATTTGCAGGAGACGTATTTGACTGACTTGTGTCTCAGCAGTAACTACATGGAGCTTGTGCTCACTCGATCATTAGGCCTGTCTGACAAGCACGAAAAACTTTCTCTTTTGAATAGTCACATTTTTGAAACAATTCCCGGTGAGTTTTTTTTTAGTAAAACACTTTTTTTTATCCTCAGTTGATGTATGTTTGTACAGATTGGCCTCTGGGACTGGTTATTATGGATTACGAAAATAACAAATGTAAGGAACATGTTTCATCCGTTGCAAACAATATCCAGGTGCACATTATACCTACATCCACATCACAGTTCCACATTTTATTAATTTTTACATGTAACTGCCTGAACGTATATTCAAGTATAAAACGCGTTTTTATTTATTTATTGACATGAAGTTGGCGTAAATTTGATCATTTAGGATTTTCTTTCAATTTCAAAAATCAAACCAATATTTTGATTTAAAACAAATCGAAATAAAATTGTTTATTCCGTAAGTTCAAATAATTAAATTTAATTAAATGGTTCAAAACTTTGAATTACAAAAAGTTTAAAGTGCGTTCAATTGTTTTAACATGATAAATTAAAATTATTGAATTGCTTGAGTTCTTTGGTAAATTTTTATCCGAGCCTCAGTCTGTTCATTGCTCTCTTTTCGTCTGATCTGCCGAGTCTCAGCATTCCCATTCCACGTTTGTCCTCGATGATGTACTCTCCATCGGACAAGTAATCGTCGTCCAAGTCGCTTGTTCTGTATGGTCTGAATCTTTTGCCCAGTCTTAGATTTCTCATTCCTCTCTTCACGTACGAGTCTTCGTCTTCATCCATTACATAACTTGCGGCATGTTTATCTTTTTCAGCTGGTTGTACTGGCGTGGATGAAGAGCTTTCGAACATAGTGGCTGTCAAAAAAAATTTGCAAATAAGATAATTAATTGAATAAAATAAAGCTAGTGTTTAAATGGAAAAAATCAACCAGTTTTCATCTTTCGATGTTTTGGCTGAATTGCATGATTCTATCTCTAATCATTCATTAACTATGCGTCGAACATGACATTAATAAAATATCAGGAACAAAGATGAGAGGACTGGCAATTGAATATGACATGCTTATCTGCTACTACATCGAGGATGAGAAGAGATGTCATATGTTTGCCCCGTTTGTTAACTTTTGTTATAAATTTATAAATATGGCTTTTCAAGCAAGGCCAAAAATAATTTGACCAATTTATAAAAATATTCCTGACAAAAAAGGTTGTTGCATACACATGTATGGGGTTAACCACGTAAATGTTTGTGAAAATAATTACTGCCAGATAAATTTGTATTTTAATCATAGCCGTCACCGTAAAGCAGCATGTATTCTCGGTTTGGGAAATCATTCGAAGAAGAATGGCCACTGTCAACTTGCAACCTTTCTTTATTTTTACTATTATTTTCTGCACCTTTGTTGCTGCGCAGTGCGTGTAAAAATTCCAATTGGCTTAAATCTTTCTATATTTTTATATTTTATAGAAATTTTAAAAAATTCTATCCAAGAAGATTTTAAAAATTGAAGTATGTTTAATTTTCATGAAAAAGTTTGTTTCTTTGAAAGAATAATGTATTCTAATTGTCTCAATGCAGACAAGCGGAGTAAATTAAGTATGTCGTCTTGTCAATCATCATCATGACCGCAGGTTAGTTCGTTTTTGTGTCCGCGTTTTATATACTGTTGGTTTTATCAACGTTAAATGTTTTAAATATGCCTACATGATATTTTCCATGTTGAAACGTTTAAACTAGCTTTCCATTGGCAACTATATATTTTGCTTCAAATATTTGAGTGGTGTCATATTTTTATTGTCAAATGCTTCTAGTCAAGTGTCTGCATTCTTGCGAGCTATCAATCTACCAATCAATTTTTCTTACACAATTTATCGTAAAACATGCAAACAGAATTTCAAATGTAAAATTTTACGAGATCTTCTTAACAATCCCAACTTTGTTATCAATATGTTTTGTACAGTTCACGTAAAAATATATTTAAGCTTGATGACGTTAAAACCAGGACAATCCGTTCTTTATGTCAGAACCAGCGCAGGACAGATACAAATATATCAATCTGAGTTGAGATGTATATGCTTCGACGGTTGGATGCACTTGGGAAAACCTGGCCACGATGCACGCACGAGCTACTTACTTTCTTGCGTGTTTCACCTCTCCTTTGTCTTTTAATGTCAATTTTTTCTTCTTAAAATGTTGCGATGTTTGTTGGCTTTCTAGACCTTCTAATTGGATGTTTCAGTCGCGCCATTTAAAAATAATTGCTCAACTTTCAACCTCTGATGACCCTTGTTAGTTTGTGCTGGTACGTCTGTTTAGCAACAGTAAATGTGCTCTACGTTATTATTGTTGCTTGTAAAAGTAAGCGCTAACTTAAAAAGATAATAAGCAGGCGTTTTAAATTTGTTAGATACAGCTGTTAATTTGTTTGTTGTTGGTTGTTGTGCAGCTTTGTTGATGAATTGTCTAGAAATTTTAGAAGTTGTCGTCTAGCTGAACATTAAAAAATGAAATGAAATATTTAACTTGTTTTTACAAATTTGTGAGTTTTTATTTAAAAAAAAATTAACTGAAAAATATTTTAATAAAGCATCTTATTTACTTTGTCTGTATAAAAAGCGACTGCAGTGGAATGATTGAAGCGGGCGCGTGTTGGTGCAGAGGCGGACGAACAAAAACTTTCCTTCATCAGTAGCACTCAACTCAAAGCTTAACAAGAAGGGAACGTTCGATAAATCACGTGTACAAACATTTTCACCAAACAGAGAGAGGCATATATAAAATTCTCAAAGTTTCAAAAATGTGAAAGCACGACCCATCAATGCACCATCAATACTGTATGCTCTGAAAAAACATTTCATCGTTAAATAATCATCCGCTCAGCTGCAAGTTCAAAAAAACCAATATTGAAAAAAATGATGGCTAACTAACTATGTGTATTTCTTTCATTTGAATTATCAGTTTTGTTAATAACCAATATAATTATTTGGAGTACATGTATGGCGAATTCACTGTCGGTATTGTAGTAACACTGAACAAAATAATAGAAAGTTTCATTCAATTAAGCATATTTTAATTAGAGGCATCATATCGATCGAAGAATGAGTCGGGTAATAAATGTTCATACAATATAGAATATGTTCATGTAAGAATAATGGAAACATAGACAGGTGAGGGTTGAGATTTAAGTGCCTTGCAGACAATGCCGACTCGATGTTAATTAGCATTACGCATTGGTTAATTGAGACATAAAGACGAAGCACTCGCACAGCAGAAGAATAATTTAATTTCCTCAAATATACAACTCGACCTGCTGAATGAGCGGCTTCCCACGTGACCAGGGAACTAACGACACGACATCCTACCTTTCGAACATTGAATACGAAATTTCCTGTCAAAGATTCTATCTCATATTAAATTTAAACTTCTATGCTCATATTGTTCAAATGTTCTTGGATTTATAAATATAAATATTTACTAAATAAATATAAATATCTACTAAATAAATATAAATATCTACTAAATAAATATAAATATCTACTGAGAGTTTTGTAAATAATTGTTGGTAAATATATGTTACGTATATTTTTACGCAACAAAAGGATTTATTCTTGCGTAAATATCTTGTTGAGTTTGATGATGAGTTTTGTATTGCCTGCTGCTTTCTTATTGGCCGAAATATTTGTTCACATCTAGAAAAGATCTTCAAGCTAAATCGGCGATCAAAGGTTGCCTTCGAATGCGTGCTCTGCTATTGATTAAAAATGGATAAATGCAAATGCTAATGCTTATTCATTTTCATATCTCCAAAGCACAATTGATAATGTCAACATTCTCGCTCGCTTTCAGAGTAGCACTAGAAGTTCTACGCTTTCAATCTATTTTTATATATCGATGTTGATTTTTGTCTTCATGCTATGTCGTTCTATTTCATCCTTGCATTCCAGGACAAGTCGATTTTAATGAAAACTTGATGTAGGTAAAAGAAAAACATACTAATAAACAATATTTGTGTGCGTGCGTGTGTGTGTGTGTGTGTATTTATATGTATGTATGTATGTTAAAACCAAAACATGTTGAGTGACACTGAACCGTCAAACATCAAGTAACAAATGGATTAACACTTTGATTTGTCGTTAATTGCACATGTCGGCATTCAGTTGGATATTTTCAAGCACACAGACACGCAGGAACCGCTGCAACAATCACGAAATGTGGTTAGTTGCGAAAAACAGTTCCCTGCTGTCGCCCGATCTGACGCCGATCATTTTACATATTGCCTTAAGAAATTTAAGGGTGTTGGGGTCCATCGGGCCGAGAACCTCGATACATATTGGCAAAAATTCCATCGAGGGGAGGGCGTTCCCATATTTTTTCATTTTCTCGTCCGCTGCCCTGGCCGCGGCCAAACCGCATTCTTTACTTGTCAGGTTTACATATCGTTCGGCAAGGGTGCCAGGGACCGTAACATCCCACGCCAAACATCTGCCGGCTCTCCAAGGTATTAGTGTGCATCCGTCCGGGCGCCTACCATCATGCGCAGAAATGCCGGATGGTTCCTTGAGAACTGGGATTGAAGCCTTGGAGAAGAGCCGACAAATGTATTCGTTTAGCGCTGAGTGAAGAAATGTATGTATGTATGTATGTATGTATATATGTATGTATGTATGTATGTATGTATGTATGTATGTATGTATGTATGTATGTATGTATGTATGTATGTATGTATGTATGTATGTATGTATGTATGTATGTATGTATGTATGTATGTATGTATGTATGTATGTATGTATGTATGTATGTATGTATGTATGTATGAATGTATGTATGTATGTATGTATGTATGTATGTATGTATGTATGTATGTATGTATGTATGTATGTATGTATGTATGTATGTATGTATGTATTTATGTATGTATGTATGTATGTATGTATGTATGTATGTATGTATGTATGTATGTATGATGTATGTATGTATGTATGTATGTATGTATGTATGTATGTATGTATGTATGTATGTATGTATGTATGTATGTATGTATGTATGTATGTATGTATGTATGTATGTATGTATGTATGTATGTATGTATGTATGTATGTATGTATGTATGTATGTATGTATGTATGTATGTATGTATGTATGTATGTATTTATGTATGTATGTATGTATGTATGTATGTATGTATGTATGTATGTATGTATGTATGTATGTATGTATGTATGTATGTATGTATGTATGTATGTATGTATGTATGTATGTATGTATGTATGTATGTATGTTTGTATGTTTGTTTGTACATAAAGGGAATGATGGAGAAAAACTTGAATTCCGATAACGTCACGTGAGGAACGATGCATCAATTACTCACTCATCCCCTTCCTTTATTGTTGGACGTGGGGGATTATTGCGGGACGGTAGCTCCCGACATGGAGGCATTCTTAGGATCTGCATCTGCTTCTTTATTGCTTCTTTATATCTGCACTGCACCGAGTAGGAACACATGTCATCGTTGGCATGCCTCAACTCTTCCACGTTGTCCTCCTCATCTCTTTCGCTTGCTAGCTGCCGTGCACGTGCATAACTATTTATTTTATAATCTATAATTCATTGCGCTGAAACTCCTTAATTGATTGTTTGTGATTAATTTTTGAACCATCATGTTTCGTTATTAAGTTGGTGTTGGGTCTGGGAGATATGTTGTTGATGTCGATGTTGTTGTTGGATGATGTTGGCGTTGTTGTTGAATGATGTCGTCGTTGTTGTTGAATGATGTCGTCGTTGATGTTGGATGATGTGTTGATATTGTTGTTGGGGCTAGATAATGCGTTGTTTGGATATATTGTATGTTTGTAGCACGTGTTGTTTAATCATGTTGCATTGGTTTTGTGCTATTCTTGAGATGTTGCATTAATACAGTTGGATAATCTTTTGATAAATTAAATTTTTCGCAAAAAATTTTTTGTGAGAAAGCAACATTTTTATGCTGCACTTTAAATTAATTTATCATCAGAAACATGTCTTTCTCTTTAAAAAATTTAATCAACGAAAACTTTTCGAACAACCTACAAAACTAGTTTAGCAAAGCGTTTCAAGAATAAAGGTTATTTTGTTGTACAAGCTAATTTACAACTATGCACAGACACAACAAGGACTCCTCAAATAACGCAATTTATCTCTTTTAAATTTCTCGCGTTACTGAACGTTAGACCGATTTGCTAAAAGAATGCTTTAGCTTTGCTGTCGATGCTTTGTGAAAGTTTCTTTGTGTCTGTAGATATGTTCTGCAATAAATGTATTTGCACTCGATGCTAATTTGAAAAACTGAAAAGTTTTTCAGCAGTCAGAGGCTTAACAAACGTTCCCGTGGAAAAACCTACGCTCCAGCGCATGGATAAGCATCTGCGTGTGTGCATGTTGTCGTTCTAAGCATTTCAAATACCGGTTGATAAATTTTTTCTGCATTTTTTTAATAATAAAATTAGGATCATGTTCTACATTTAATTTCAAACAAAAATCTATTTTGCACCGGCGGACGAAACAAACAAGTTTTGTGGAAAAACTGTTGAAATGATAAAAATAGTAGCACAAAGTAATTCTAACGCAACATTTTTTACTTGGGAGCTTAAAGATTTGCCCGGTCATAATTTTTTGGAACCGGATGTTCCAAAGCTTTCATTAAAACCTGCGGAATGTTCTGGCAGCTGCATACCAAAATTTACATTGTCCACGATGCTTTCTGGCCATGCAATTCTTTTAATTTATACTATTTACAAAATCCTCCATTCAGCCGAGAAGTCCTCAAGTACTAATGCTAATTTACTGCAAACTCAATGAGCGCATTAAAATGAACGCAAAATATTTTTTCATATCCAAAAACTCGTTTCAATTCTTACCAAAAAAAATTTCGTAACGTGTATTAGCGCGTGTTCATTGCGTGGAATACGTGCGTACGATAGTTTATAATGTTCTCTCATGCAATTGTTAAAAATAACAGAAGTATAAAATTGTATAGGAAGGTGTTTTATGTAAGGATTTGTAGGAGAATATGAAACAATTTGTTGGTGGTGGTGGGTGTTGTGTTATTGTTTATCGTCATTGTTGTTTTTGTGATTGTGTTGTTTGTTGTTGTTGTTACAGAACCAAAATTTGCCACACCGTAACACGGAATTGAAGGAATTGAAGGAACGCTGCCATGGTTAATGAATTAATTAAATTGCTATCGCTTGTAAATAAATAAGATGCATGAACTATCAGCAGTTGTCAGCAATGTGTATCGACAACTTCAAATTGCAACAAATTTTAAGTTTCAACAACACGGAACAAAATGTTTTCATTTCAATAGTTTCAAACTTTAATTATAAATTTTGAAAAAGAAAAATTTTTCTAACCACTCTATCAGACTTTACGTTTTCGATATAAATGCTCCAATTTATATGACTTAGTTTACAAATCCATAGAGTATAAAAAAATGTCCTAAGTTTTATCAACATTCATTTGAAAATGTCACAAAATGTTTAAAAATGATTGTGAGAGCGGATGCTTGTGTATTTCAAATTTATGCACCTACAATATTTTTTCTTGGATGAGTTGCACCTATGCATTCCTTTATCGATTGCTTGCGATTTTTTAAAAAATAAATAAAAATATGAAATGCTTAACGTAATGAAATGCTTTCTTTAATTTGTTCAAATGAATTTTTTCATTTGAACAAAATTTGAAAGGATAAAAAGTACAAACTTTTCTTACTAGTACGTAGAAATTGATTTGATTGAATAATTAAACAACTCTTACAAATCAGAAGAAAAATATGTATCTCATTAGATTTAAATAAATCACAAAAATTTTAAATAGAAAACAAGATGGAATTTATTAAATATTCAACAATTGAAGTATAGTTGAAATAATTTTTTGTGACATGAAAATATATTACCACTCAATGTCACAACCACGGTTTTTTCCCTTCAAAATTAAAAGACATTTTAATGTGAAAAATTTTTATGAAAAAAAAAATATCGTATAAAAAATAATGCAAAAATATGCAAGAGAAGTGAACGTGGAAAGACATATTCACAACAACAACAACATCAACAACGACAACATCATCAGCAACTGTGACCACAAAATCAACTAGGACAACAAAAACCGCCACAATAATAACCATAACATTAACAACAGCAACAACAACAAGCGTTGACAACAACAAACGACGTCAACAACAGCAAATAACGACAACAACAACAACAATAAATGATTGACGATAACAGCATAATGTTGACAACAACAAACAATGACAACAAAAGCAGCAGCAACAAACGACGACAACAACAAACGATGACCACAACAACGGCGAAAAAATAACAAATTAGATTGAAGACGCTGGTGAACGAATGACGAAAAAAAGAATGAATGAATGAATGAATGAATGAATGAATGAATGAATGAATGAATGAATGAATGAATGAATGAATGAATGAATGAATGAATGAATGAATGAATGAATGAATGAATGAATGAATGAATGAATGAATGAATGAATGAATGAATGAATGAATGAATGAATGAATGAATGAATGAATGAATGAATGAATGAATGAATGAATGAATGAATGAATGAATGAATGAATGAATGATGAATGAATGATGAATGAATGAATGTAAGAACGAAAGAAATAATAAAAAATAAATTAAATTATTAATCGAATGAATCATCTTTTAATAAATTTACGAGATTATGTTACTCTTTTGATGAAATGTCACCAATAAATTTAATTATTTTCATATATTCCTACTGTCAACACACATAATAGAAATTAAAAATACGCCTATTTTATTTGCATTTGCATTTGCCACAGACACACACACACACAAACACAAATATATATCTATATATGTATATATATGTAGTTATAAATTGCGCTATATGATTAATTTCAATTAATTACTATTATCTTGATTATTTGTTATCTTCAAATAAAGTCAGTGCAGAAACAACGTATTTATATTCGTTGAGCAGGCAGCCTTTGTAATAAAGAATATATGATGACGCTAGAAAACAATTTGCGTAAAATTACCGACACCGTTGTAACAGAACACCATTACAACGGAACATATTCCAACACCAACATCATTGCAACATCAACATCATTGCAACAACAACATCATTGCAACACCAACAACAACACTGAGGGACAGAACAATGTATCTTGCAACGGAACATTTATCAGCATGAAATTTGAATAACAACAAGAGCAGGTGAACATGTTGGCATATCGCTGGCTGGCATTACAAATGCATGAATTATAACGTATACCCATTCGGTCATGTGCTCATTTGGTTGCTCCCACTAACAAAGCAACAAAGAAGTCTTTGAGCAGAAAAGAAGCACACATGCTCACTTCATCCGCAAGCTACTTATGACGTCTGTTCGCTGCTCACATTAAATATGTGCTACCTTGTTACTGCTGCTGTTCATGTGGTGGTGATGTTGTTGTTGATGTTGCTGTAGGAGTGATGTTGTTGATGTTGTTGATGTATTGGTGATGTTGTTGATGTTGTTGATGTTGTTGTTGTTGATGTTGTTGTTGTTGTTGTTGATTTTGTTGTTGTTGTTGATGATGTTGTTGTTGATGTTGCACCATTGATGATGTTATGTTGTACCGTTGATGTTATGTTAATGTTATGATGATATCATTGTAGATTTCATTATTTCGCAAGTTAAAAATTTGAAACGTTATTTAGTGCTGCTGCCAATGTAAGTTCCCTTTGACGTACTTAGCTTCCATTTTCAAGGTTAAGAATGATCATTGGTGGGTGGCGGACGATTTGTTTTGTTTCCTCCCGGTATAAATTGTTGAATGTTTGTCGTTCAGTCTCCCGCCAAGATGCTGTCAGGTAATTATGTTCGGCTAATTGATTTATGCTGTTTGTCGAACGCCACTTGAAGTTTATTGTTGATTTATTGGACGCCGATAATTGAGACTAACGCATGTTTAAATTCGTTAGTGTGTGTTGGTTCGTTTCAGCAATACTTAAGATGCAATGGGATCGTCTGTTCGTTTGTGCATTCAATTTAATTCCACTAAATTTTGGATTTTTTGCACTGGAGTCTGGTATTCTACACTCTGAAGTGCAGTACTCTCGCGTATTGTATTGTATACATTGTTTTGTTTTGTACATGGTTGTGTATGGCCCATTGTATATGTACTGTATTGTATTGTAATGTATTGTATTGTACATTGTATACATATTTTATTGTATGGTATTATATGCATTGTGTTGTGTTTTATTTGCAAGTATTTGCATAACACTTGGCTGAACGACATTTGTTTATTCACTTAGGTGAAGCTTGTTGATGAGCAGAGGAAGTGAAGAATGAATAATTTGCTCACTCTTTATTAGAAATGATTCAACGTCCGTTAATTTGTTTTTTTGTACAAATGTTTTCAAACTTCTTTCACTATCTACGATTTCAACTGAGTTAGCATTATTTTATTAGTACCCTTAAAATTACTGGAAGAAAAAAACTGAAATTGTTGAACAATGTAGGTACATAAACATGTTTAAGTGTACAAAATCATACACTTGCGTACAAATACACTTGAACGCACGCACACACTATGTTCCTTTCATAGTTCATTCGCAAACAAATACGTCCACAGTCGTTCAACTCAAAGGCTGTTTGAACGTTTCTGTGAGTCTAGTAGGCAGAATTAAAAATGCTCGCTAAGCCTTGTAACTTCATTGAAGCAATCCAATTAAGCAGCATGAGGCAGGCATCAGATGAAACTTTTTCACTTCTGTTCTGCTTGTTCTTATTTCTTTCCTCTGCTTGTTTTGGCTTAATTCTTTAAATTATCCGCTTCACGCGTAGTCACTGTTTTGTTGAAGCCGCTTTTTGAATACAGCTTTGTTAATATTTTAATGGCTTTTGATGTAGATGTTGCATGTGGTGGAGTTGTATGTTGTACGTGGTGAGGGAGTCGTATGTGGTGGAAGAGTTTTACGTGGTGGGGAAGTTTTACGTGGTGGGGGAGTTGTACGTGGTGGGGGAGTTGTACGTGGTGGGGGAGTTGTATGTGGTGGAGGAGTTGTACGTAGTGGGGGAGTTGTACGTGGTGGGGGAGTTATATGTGGTGGAGGAGTTGTACGTGGAGTAGGTGTTACACGTGCAAATGAGCTGTAACAACAAAGGTTGAAATATTTTTACCCACATTTGTAATCATTAAGATGGAAACATGATTTATGAATAATTAAAGTTGTAAATAATTCACGTTCTTTATACGCACGCGACTGAGTTTTTACTGGAGCCTGTCAAAAATGGATGTTGGTGGGTGGCTGGGTCGGTGTATGCATCTTCTCTGATTCGTGTTGGTCTTCTTCTATCTTATGAGCGCAAATGCGTCCAGTTTGTATGTTTGTATTAAACTTTTGTATGTTTGTATTAATTTTTTGTATGTTTGTAATAAAATTTTGTATGTTTACATTAAATTTTTGTATGTTTGTATTAAATTTTGTATGTTCGTATTAAATTTTTGTGGTCGGTCGATTGTGCAAATTTTCAGAGCCTAATACACTTTGTAGGTGTTTTTCAGCCAATTTTGAAAAAAATGGAAGAAAGATATTTTGTTAAGCGATGTGTGGAAGTTTTTTTTGTACTGGTGTTGTTTAGGACGGTTGTTTCGCAAGCTGCCCGTTATATTCTATATTACATACTATAAAATCCTTTTCAAAACAAGGGCGAAGAATGAATAAATATTTTAAATTGATTAAAATTTATTGGTTCATTTATTTATTTATTCATTATTTTATTCATTTGCAGTACTTTAGCTAACTGAAAGACCTACAAATTTTCATTTGTTTGTCTTATTATTTTTATAAAAGTTGAATTTGTTAATGGAAAAAAGATTTGATTACGCTATGAGGCTTCGCTGTAGGCAACGCAACACGCAGCACACCACAGCAGACCACACGACACCACAGCAGACCACACTACACCACAGCAGACCACACTACACCACAGCAGACCACACTACACCACAGCAGACCACACTACACCACAGCAGACCACACTACACCACAGCAGACCACACTACACCACAGCAGACCACACTACACCACAGCAGACCACAACACACCACAGTAGACCACACCACAGCAGACCACACCACAGCACATTTTTTGTTTAATGCAGAAATTATATGGAGATCATCTTGATTAAAATTACATCGGTCATGTTCATTTTTCTGTTGCTAAAAAAATGTAGGATTAAAGTATTATCCTCAATGTCATCATTACATCAACATTGCAGCATTATCATTTGTGATGTCATCAAACATTGCAATATAATCATTGACTTCATTGTCACATCAACGTCTCAATTTGATTGCTGATATCACATCACCTTCACTTTTATTTACCGCTAATTTATTCTGTTGAAATTATTTTTATCATTTAATTCTGAGCATAAAATGCTTTAAATTATTTTCATTAATTAAATTATCAGCCGTCATCTGTGTTGCCAACCAAATCTTGCTTTTGTCAATGTAAGAAACAAAAGTCATCCATTGAAACTTCGTGACTTTTTAATTATTCCTTATAAATTGAGGATATTTTTTTCATTGGCACTCTTTTTAATAATTTTTTTATTTCATGTGCAAATTAAATTTAAAAAAATACTCAAACAGCAGTGCCAATTTTTGGATTGTTTTTTTTTTAAATATATTGGGAGGTTGGGGTAAGAACTTTTTTGTGGGCACCCCACCAAAATTTATTTGCGGAAGTCCTTTGCCCTCATCATTATCGCGACCGTCGCAGCTGTCCTCACTTCAGCAATGATAACTCAGTTTGATGGTAGCACGTATGAAATGTAAACAACACTTTTCCATAAAAACATATCTCAAGCAAACAATAATTATCAGTGGGTAAATACTTGAAAATTTGAGCAAATGTGTGCTGGCTTAAGCGTCATCACCTCAATGAATCAGTGAAACTGCTACTTAGAAGATGCGAGCCATCACAAATCATGTTATTACTGCCATTCGCTGTCACGGAGTTAACAAAGTATTTGCATCAATTATCTTCATTGTTTCGTAGTGTTCACTATTGTTTTATTTTCAAACAGCTCATTTCTATTTAATTCTACATTCTAGATTTTCAAATAAATTTGATATTTGCCTTATTTCATTGCTTTATTTTATTAAACTTACAGTATTACGAAATTATTTAAGCTCTGTTGGAGTGTAAAATGATGAGAAGTGAAGGACACGTAGTGGGAACGAGAACATGCAGCTCACGCCTTTGGAATGGGATGCTCAACTAATAACAATAACATGACAAATTTGCTGTTTATTTCTTAAATTAACGTCAACTGAAGGAAATTATTTTTAAAAAACTTCTTAAAACACAATAATAACTCGAGCATTTTATGGTGGTGAAAGTTTTTAATTTTCGGTATTTTGAAGAAATTCAATCCAAAGTTCCCACACCGCGCTAACAACGGCAATGCAATACAACTTGTTCTAACAATTAGTTACGTCAAACATTGTTTTCAATTCTAAAGTAGTTCAAAACCGCTCGTCCAATTTTTTTAAGATCTACTGGGAGCAATTAAGCTGCAGGCCGAAAAATTTTACCTTCTAACAATACCAGGCATTTACAAACTCCTGCTCTCGTGCGCGTGCATGCCCATAATGCAAACTTATAAGTTCGTGCTGGGCTAACATGAACGCTGAAGTATTCAACTAAATTGCATTTAATGAAGAGATATCATTTCGACGACGCAATTCTTCAGGAGGAGGCTCCATTCTATCTGTCGTTAATTGGAACCTTCAATCGCAATTCTAATCGGCTCTCATAAACTTCTAGCGTTTTACTCTTAAATTAACTTCATCTGAGTTTACTGATATTTTGTTAGGTTCACAGAAAGGTGTTCATTGATTTAATGAGGGTTGTTCTTCATCCGTTGTCGCATTCGTTATAAACGTATAAAATGAGTCATAAAGTTTAACATGCATATTTTAACACTGCTTTCGCAATTTAGCTGGCATGTTTTATGATATTCTTGGTATGATATGATCACTTACTAGTGATAATTATGAACTATTTTCTTTTAAAAACGCCAAATAACTTTTTAATGAAAATGAAATCTACTTAAAATGTCATCAAGTGTTTTTTATATACTATATAATATTTTTTATATTTTATATAAGTATTTTATATACTAACTTATTTATCTATTAACTTGTTAATTTGTTCATTTATTTGTTATGTTGCTCTAATTCTTTGCTCAATTTCATTTCATAGAATTGTAAAAATTATTTAAATGTTATTTTCCGAAACTATTGCAACTGAAGACACAAAGGAAAAGATTTTTCATTCGAATTGTTGATACATTTCGTTGAAGAGAATTGATTGACCGGCAGGTGTTTGTGAATTTCTGATTACAATCGCTGTTGTGAATGTTTCTAGGGCCTATCTTTTGAGATTGTTTTTGATAAAAGTGTTTTAATACATTAGTTAATTTATTAAAAATATTGTTACTGATGTGTATTTGAAAATCTATGAAAAAACTTTAATATTTCAAATGATATATGTGCTATCGAACTTAATCAATTCTGCATTGGTGCACGAATTGTAGAAGCATTATTAGTTGATCCGCGGCAAATGTTCTCCTAATAAGCTGCCTACATTCCATCAATTAATCGAAATTGTTTGGTGAATATTTTATAAACTCTGACAACATCCAGATTTAAGATTTTTTTGTCTAAATTTTGTTCTTTATTTGAAATTTCTCTTCAGGCAGTTCGTAAATTTTGGATTAATTTTATGATGAAAAAAAATTTCATTTATCCTTTGGCTATATTTTTAAACCACTTTTTCCATTTTTTTCTAATATTTAAAAAATGAATTTTTGATTTTCGCAAAAATTTAAAAAAACTGTAGCAATTCTTTGTTATTGATACCTATAAAAAAATACGTTGCAACTGAAAGAACAACCTTTAAAAGCATAAAAAATAATGGATGTATGTGAAGCTTCCGATGGAACGATTGACCACTTTACACCTTAAAGCACAAACACATGCAAACGCACCTACGCACCAAACACAGGCTCTTACGCACACATATTTACATGTAAACATCACAGATTTCGACACGATTCTACACAGGCACGCACACACGGTCAAAATACATGTATGTATCTTTTAAATAAATAGTTGGAAAAAAATTGGTGACGTTTACATGAATTAATGGCGGATTGACGGCTAAATAAATAAATTTGTCTCAAAGAAGTTGTCACCTGACAGGCGTCACTTCAACAAATTTATTTGAATAGGAAAGTGCCGCAACACATGTGACGCGCAATCACTCCGACTTAATGTTTGCCAACTTTTAAAATGTTGCAAGTTTCACATGTATTGAACGTGCCAATGTTATAAATATTACTCGGAACGATGTAGGTCTCATGTTTCGTTGTTACATATCAGGTTTTTAACAATTGAATTAGCTTGATTAAGGCCGTTAGGATGGAAATGGTTATCAATATTTCGCAAAGTAATGTTTATGCGTGATGTATACGTGTTGCGTTAGGCTTCTTACGAGAAAGTTGTCATTTGTTTTGTTTGGCTGACGGGTAAAATGAATATTTAAAATTAAAAAAATTTAATTAGGCCAGTTTTATTGAATTATCGAAATTGATTTAGAAATACAGACTCAAGGAAGTCCTGGAAAGTGCATTTGAAATATTTTATTCTGAATAAAAACCCTGCTATGAATTCAATTCCTAAATTTTAAAAACAATTGAAATCAAACCGAATCTAATTTTTTATTTAATTTGACTATTTTTGTAAATTAAAAGTTAACTGACATAAAAACGAAAAAGTTACGACGAATTTTAACTAAGTTTAAAAAAGTTTTAAAATTGCAGCAGTAACGAACAAGCGCTAAAAAATTTATCATGCGATGAAGATGGCCGAAAAAAGAAAGTGGCTCAATAAATCGAGCTGACGGATGCTTTCATTACCTCACATCTTCACTTTTAGCGGCTCTGCTCGGAAGATATGAACTGAGTTTTCAACAATTAGTCGCACATATCTCACACTGAGTATCTCGCCTTTCATGGCTCCAGTGAACGCGCTCTTAAGTATCACCATTGCAGGTGGTATCATTTTAAGTATCAGAGTAAAGTCATTATATCAATAACTATCATCTTTAGTCTCATTATGAAGCATTATTCAAGTTTCATTATTAACATCGTCGTAAATTTTTCATAAATATCATTGTACATTGTCTTTTTCAATCTTTGTTTTAAAAACCGTTTAAAATTTGTTTTAAATTCTTACCTACACTAACTAAAAATTTTTATTGGTGCGGGAACCCGCTAGCTCAAACAACCTGCTAACTCGATTGCTGCACCCTGTGAAATGCCTGACCTCCAAATTTAAAATGATCATATAAATTATTTTTCTACATTCGCAAGCGCATGAAAAAACTTTAAATTTACTTAGCACCTTTGAAAAATAAAATATTATCGTAAAAAAATTATAACCCGTATGTCAGGCTTGATCGGAACTTCCGTTATAACAAACGCTACAAATCTTCATCGACGCAACGAAGATTTAAAAAAATCTTAATAAAAATTAAATAAACAAACTATCAAATAAAAATTTTTAAACACCCTAGCCTTATTTTTAGAAAGATATCTACTAATAAACTAATAATAATAATAATAATAACAGCGATTGAAGATGTTAGTAACCTATGACGAGAACTACGAGGAAGCTAGCGATGATGACGACCTTCATGATTTCTTCTTCTTCTTCACAGCAGTAACCAACAACGATCAAATTATTTTACTCTAAAAAAATCGCTTGATACTTAATTATTCGAGAGAAAAAAAAGAGATGAAGAGTTTACAACGTAGAAGTCAGTCTGTTGGCGGAAAATGTTGGAAGACAACCCGATGGACGCCGCATTTATAGAAAATTCAACCGATGATGATGACGAGGATGATGATGAAGATGATGATGAGGAGGAGGATGACGACAATGACGACGATGCTGACGACGAAGCAGAGAATGTGGGCGTGCTCGCGCGTGTGTGTTTGATTGTTCTCTTGTGAGTTGCATGATTGTGATGTGTCTCAGT